CCCGATCGTCGAGAGAGGAGCAAGCGAGAGATATGTGATTTGGCCAGCGCTCGCAAGCTTCCCGTTCGGAGTATGCCGAAAGCCCCACCGTGCTTGGCGTTGACTGCGGACAGGCCTGAATTATCTCGGCGAGGCTCGAGCCCAGGGAGCTACCCGACAAATACGCCGAGCGCTCGTATCTAAACGAGCCACAGCACATTCTCGCCTGGCAAAGACCGAATTGAGCAATGTACCATCAAAACATCACCTACATTGATCAAACTTAGCTTGATTGAATGTCCCGCTTCTCAATATCCCCGTTCAATGCTGGATTTCAATTGCATTATTTCAGACCAAGTGAGATTTAGTGTAACGTTGAGAACGGAGAGCGTAGGTAGTGGGTCATACCTCACCTTGAGAAAGCGAAGTTTGGAGGTGCTGTCAGGGTTTATGAGTCTCACATTACTCAGTCTCGTCAGTCTCGCATTGCCTTCGTTAATTCATGACCAGGGGAGGCACTGCAACAGATCTGGCAGGGAGGCGAAGCTGAAACTGGCGCGGGATCTGCACAGGGACCAGTAATACTGTACTAAATAAGCCTAGCGCCCGCGTTGCTGGGTGGGGCCCCGAAAGGCTCGTAAAGTATCGCACTCTGTCCGAAAAGCCCGAGGTCGCCACACCTCCCTTCCTCATGCAACCCGATTTCCAGGAAACGTCGGTTCCCAGCCTCAACCGCAACAGACATGGCCGGCACAAAACGCAAGGCACACCACAAAAGTCGCTTAGGTAAGACACACCTCCTCCTTCTCTTTGTTTGATGCTTGGCCCCACCCTTGAGCGCAGAAAAGCAACAAAACGAAAAAAAAAAAGAGACAGAATGAACGAAAGAAAAGAAGCGGACGGTTTCCCGCCCTTGGCCTTTTGCTCCTCTGGGTCACGATTAACAGGGTATAGGCTGTAAGAACTGCAAGGCCCGGAAAGTCAAGGTGCGCATTGTGTACAGTGGCCCCGTGTTGTGAGATGACCGCAAAGGAGCAGCCGGCTCGAGATCCTTGGTGTCGGAGCGATCTATGCTCCAGGCGTCTAGTTGAGTCTCGAAGACCCCAACACGGCTAGCAAAACGCCCTCGCCACTGACACGTCATGGCATCCCCTACAGTGCGATGAGAACAAGCCGTCATGTTCAAACTGCGTTAGGCGCCAAGTAGAGTGTGATTTTTCCCCAATGGGAACTCCCCAGCCGCCGCCCGTGTCTCCCGGGGGCCTCAATATGACGGATTTGGAGCTGCTGCATCATTACACCACCGCCACGTACCGGACCTTGGTAGAAAGCCCAGTATGTCAGCCTCGTCATTTTCCCACAACCTCTGCACGGCCTACCTACCTTGGGTAAGGTACAGACGAGAAATCTAACCACCGACCTCATCTCGGTCTCAAACAGACGGTGAGGGAGTTCTACAGGAAGACGGTCGTGCAGGTGGGGCTCAGCTGCGACTACATCATGAGGGCCATACTAGCTGTGTCCAGTCTGCACCTCGCCCATCACCGTCCACAAGGGCGAGACCACTACCAGGCCGTGGCCATCGCCCACCACCAGGCCGCGTCGCAGGCCGCCATGCCGCTCATCTCGGACGCGACGCCTGAGAACGCGCAGATGCTTTTCCTGTTCTCCGTCCTGACGACTTATTATTGTGAGTTGAGTCTTGAGATAGGAACTATCTCTCACCTTACCTACCTATCTTACCCTTTTCGCATCCCCCTACCCTCCCTCCCCGCCCATTTGCATTGTTTCGTCCGGTTTCCCACGGCTTGGAGGGCTCACATGGCAAATTCAGCTCTGGGGTGGCCGCGCAAACCCGGTGATGTCCTCCCTCGCGCGAACTCGGGGTTCCCCGACTGGGTGTATCTTGTACGCGGGACGAAGGGCTTCATCGACCTGGCAGGCGTGCCGAGTGAGGGGCCGCTGGCGCCGTTGTTCGCGCACTCGATCAGCCGCTTCATGCTGCGGGAAGGGCCGGAGGCGGCCGACTCGTCGGCGCACCCGGCGCTGGCGCACCTCGCCGAGGCCTTTGCGCAGCGGCCGCTGGAGCCGGGCCTGCGCCAGATCTACGGGACGGCGCTGCAGGAGCTGAAGAAGTCGTTCGGCCAGGCGCAGGCGTGCGCGCCGCAGTACGAGATGACGGACGCCTTCACGTGGCTCTTCCTGATCGCCGAGGACCTGCTGCCGCTGCTGCGGACGCCGACGCAGGAGGCCGTCGCCATCTTTGCCTTCTTCTGCGTGCTGCTCAAGAAACTCGAGGGCCACTGGTGGATGCAGGACTGGGGCCGGCACCTCATTGCTCACGCGTACGGGCTGCTGGACGAGGAGGGTCGCCTGTTGGTTCGCTGGGCGGTGGAGGAGACTGGCTGGGTGCCGCCGTCCGCCATGGAACGCTTCTGAGGTAACGGAGGCTTCTTGCGTGTCTTGTCTGTGTATTTATTAAATGTATCCTTGGTCAAAACCGATTCGCTTTTCATCGTAGGCACTCAGGTCACGCAAGGAAAAGGCAATGGGACGAAGAAAAAGCAGTGGCAAAGGAAGAAAACAGTAAAGAGGCAAATGTATATAATTCTAAATAGTACATAGGTAGGGAGGTGCATTGATCTGTCTAGAGCATGTAAGGTAGGGAATTATTACAGTTCACTCTTCACGCTCAAGCTCTTGCCTGACGAATGGTGATCTTTGAGCCCCCCTTAACGGTAAAAGTCGTACCGTTGACAACAGCACCATTCACAGTAAACTTGGACTGGCTCGCGGGAACCCGCAGCGGCAGCGGGACCGAGACTGTTCCCGTGGTGCCAGCCGGGGCCTCCACGGTCATGGTCAGGAGATCCCTACAGAATCCCCAGCTTACGGCAACAGCACCGCGAGGCGTGGGGACCTTGCCCTGGGCGAAGGTGAGGCCGATTATCTGCGGGTTCACTGCCCACTCCGCCCAGCCGGGCTTGGTCGGCTGGACGCCCAGCACGAATCGGCTCAGCGACGCCGTCGGGCCAGCGCTCCATCCGTGACACATGCTCGTGACGACGCCGAGCCCCGGGCGGCCGGACTCGTCCAAGGTCTCCCAAAAGGAACCGGTGTAGTTGGCGTTGCGGATGTCCGCCATCGGCGCCCACAGCGTGTCGAGCAGCTCCCTGGCGGCGTCCGAGTTCTGCGAGCTGAAGGCAGCGCGGAGATGGTATGCAGATGCGTAGGGGCTCATGTATCGCTGGAAGCCGTGCGCAAGGACTCCGCTTGAAAAGGCCAGTGGGCCCTTGGCCCCGACGAGCTCCGCCGAGAGGGTCGAAAGGATGGATTCGGACGAGTGGGACGGGTCCACATTGACACCGGCAAGGATGGCGATCGCATTGGAATCCTGGCCAAACCCATCCCGGATCTTCTCGGAGTAGACGTACGCGCCCAGCTCGTCACTCCAGAGCTGCGTGTCGATGGCGGACCGCAGCGTAGCGAGGCGGTCTTGGTAGACCGAGACGTCGACCCCGGCATCGGCCAAGAGCGTGGACGTCTCTTGGAGCGAGTAGGCGTAGAGGACGTTGAACTTGGTGACGACGCCAGACTGGGCCGGGTCGTAGTAGTTCCAGTCGCCGCCAAACGTGACGTCGCTGAGGTTGAAGAGACCACTGGGCAGCACTTGCGAGTGGGACCAGTCGAGCATCCTGACCACCCTGGGCGCCCACGTCCGCGCGAAGTCGACGTCGCCGGTGTGCATGTACACCTGCGAGACGGCGGTGAGCAGGTTCCAGGAGTAGCCGATCAGGCCTGTCAGGTTGACATTCAAGGGGGTGGACAACGGTTCCTGCTGGATCTTGGCCGTGGGGGTGAAGAAGCCGGGTGCGGCCTGGTACGAGGCGAGAAGCTCGAGGGCGCCCTCGATGAACTCCAGCCCGTGGGTGCTGGCCAGAGCGGCAGAGCCTGCCACGTCTAGGTCTCCGGTGTATGCGATCCGGTCTCGGCGCGAACCGTCGACAGACACGTCAAGCGGGTTGGTGCCCGCCAGGAAGTCGGCGAGGCAGCTCTTGTCGGTCAGGTTGTGCTGGTAGGTCACCTCGCCCGCGGTATCGGTTGCGACCAAGTCTTTGAAGAGAGCCCGGTGGCCAAAGGAAGCACCGATGCCGTAGGATCCGTAGAACTTGGAGTATTGCGTGAAGCTGAGCACCTGCTGGCCGTCGATATCGACAGCGATATCCATCATGGCGACCCGGGCGCGTACCGAGTGCCAGGTGCCGAGGGAGAGGGTCACGTTCGAAGGGATAGTCGCCCTGGTGAGCTCGGTGTTTTCGGTGGTCGACCCCACGTAGGCCGCGATGATCCTTGCTTCCACGTCAACGGACAGGTAGATGCCCGAGTTGAGGGTGTCGGACAGCACGGTGAAGCCGAAGCCGCCGGCGAGCGGCTTGACCTTGAAGTCGAGATTGTACGCCGTGCTCATGACGGCAACCAGGCCTGCGTTGGCCTGGGGAGCAAGACTGTCGATCAAGGCACCCTCGCTGGTGATCTCCCAGAAGTCGGGGACGGAGTTCTTGGGGATCTCGCTCAGCTGAACAGTCCTGGCGCCGACCGTCCAGATGTCCGTGATCGAGCTGTCCGAGCTCTTGAATGACCCGGGGAGCTTGTTGAGGGGAGTCGTGTGGACCGTGGGAACAAGGCCAACGTTGCGCAACGTCAGCTCACCGGGCGACGACAGATTCAGCTTCTGGTACCGAAGGCCTCCCTGGATGAGGCGGTTGGTGACCTGACCCGGGCCAGTGATGTTGTAACGGTTGACCCGGTAAGTGTCCATAGCGGCTGCGAGCGGGAGGGGACCGTCGCCCTGGAGACCGGGGCTCGGTCAGCGGTTACGAGCCTTTTCCACGGCGGTCCCAATAAGGTACCTAGGTAGCGAATAAGGGGAGACAGAACGCACCATGTACAAATCCAAGGCGGCCTTGGTCTCGGAGTAGGTAATCTCGAACATCGACGTGTCGCCCGTTGCACTGACGACCTCAAAGGCCGGAATGCCCTCTACCTCGACCCCGTAGTCAAGCACGAAAACGCCGGGCTCCGTCGCAGTTGACGATAGCACGATTGGCCCATCGTGCGCCGTGTGGAACGCAGCGTCTGCTCGCGGCAGATGCGGGTGTTTCCGAGTAACAGCAGCACTGGCGATGGCCGCCAGGCTCAGGGAGAGCAGCCTGATCATGACGTGCCGAGTTGATGCCGTCATGGAAGCACAGGCGAGAGGAGAGGAAGACTTGGTTGCAGGAAAAGTGAAGCTGAGGGTGAAGGATTCATGGGAGGGGACCTAGACAGTGAGGCTCCGTTCGAGCTTCTTAAATACCTTACCAACACCTTGACCATTTCCTTTGGGTGTTGACTCCGTAAATACGGCGCTCTCGGCATTCCCGCAACTCGGAGGCACGGAGATTGAAGTCCCCTCGACTCATCCGTTATCCAGGCCATTACCTACCGAGGCAGGTTCTATACCACGAGCAAGCGACGGGCCAAGAGTTTCTCATGTCGCCGCGTGGGACCGAGCTGTACGAACCGAGAGCGAGAATGCAATCGTCATTGAAGGGAACGATCTGTGGGGCCAACCCACGCGGAGAGTCCCGAGCGAGCGGAACAAGGGAGATGAGCGCTCCACAGCCACGATCGCACTAATTATGCATTATCGGCATCGATTGCACCTGCGACAAGTGCCGGGGGCGAGCGGCGGAGCACGTGGCGGACTGGCCGTTTTTTGCAAGGCGTGAACCTGGCCAAATCATTCGACTTTGTCTCACTGCTGGGTTCCGCTTAGCCTCGTTTTGTCGTATTTTTCCCGAGTCTCAAGTCACCAACGCCGAGGTATCCTTCCCCTCCGATATTTCGAGATCCGAAAAAATCAGGGCATCCAGCGGAAGGTGGCTGCAGGTTCAACGTCACCGATCCGACCTCATACCCACCTGCGGTATTCGCAATTCTACGGCAATTATGGCTCCAACCGAAAAAGCAGACAACAAGATGCCTCACAGCCAAGGGGCTTTTGACGACGGCCCTCCTCCGCCCTATGAGCTGCATTCGACCGGACAGTTCTTGTCTACCACAGCCGCGGTCGCATGTAAGACGCACGCCCGTCTGTTGGCCGGAAGCTGCCTACCTTACCTTAACGTACTAACCAAACGGCCAGTGGACGGCACCCTTAATGTCGAGCTCTCGTCATCCAACGCCAGCGAGCTGCGCGCGTTGTTGCCGGCTGTCACCCCTTCTGAGCCCGTGCGACCAGACGCGGCGTCCGGACCCTGCCCACACCTCAACATTGTGATTCAAGTTGTTGGCAGTCGAGGTGAGTCGACTACTCAACCCCTATCCAGCGACTGCACTGTGCGCAATGCCACTGTTGCGTATAAAGCCCCCACCTTCCTCGGCACTTTATATACTTAAGCCCTCTCTCTGGTACCTAGGTGATGTCCAGCCATTCATCGCGTACGGTACCGCTCTGCAACGGTACGGCCACCGGGTGCGCCTTGCCACACATGGGTGTTTCTCCCAGTTTGTCCGGGACTCGGGTCTCGAGTTCTACTCGATCGGGGGCGACCCCGCGGACCTCATGGCGGTAAGCTAGGAGCAACCACCCGACGGCAGCCACCGTGATGTTTACGGGCTGCCTTTGGAAAGTTGCACGCCACTAACCTTGGGCCCCGCATGATACAGTACATGGTCAAGAACCCTGGTCTGATGCCTTCGTTCGAGTCTCTTCGCGGCGGTGACATCGGCCGCAAGCGACGCATGATCGACGAGATGCTCCGGGGCTGCTGGGCCTCCTGCATCGAACCGGACGCCGAGACCAAACGTCCTTTCGTGGCCGACGCCATCATTGCGAACCCCCCAAGCTTCGCCCATGTCCATTGTGCACAGGCTCTCGGGATACCTGCGCACATCATGTTCACCATGCCGTGGAATGCCACCCGAGCCTTTCCCCATCCGCTAGTCAAGATGAGCTCCACAGACATCGAACCCGGCACCGCAAACTGGCTTACCTATGGCGTGGTCGAGCTCATGACGTGGCAAGGGTGAGTTGGATCCTCTTTCTGTCTCTCAGGCCAAGAGAATGATGGGGCGACGGTGGTTGCAGCAGAACTGACACCTCAAGCGCACGCAACTACACAGCGTCGGGGATGTAATCAACCGCTGGAGAAAGGAGCAACTTGAACTGGACAAACTGGCCGATTCCATGGGACCCTCCATCACAACCTACCTGCGTATCCCGCACACGTACTGCTGGTCGCCTGCTCTGGTCCCCAAACCGGCGGACTGGGGCTCGGAAATCGGTAAGAGCAGCTCTTTTTGCCCTGCTAAACAAACCGTACATTGAAGCTAAGGGACGAGTCGGACGACTTGCATGTCGGCTGACGGATGTTTCGTCTCCCTACTAACAACGCTAACGACAGATGTCTGTGGGTTTTTCATGCGCGACGAGCCGAGCTACACCCCTCCACCCGACCTCGACAGCTTCCTGGCACAGGGGCCAGCCCCTGTCTATGTAGGTTTCGGCAGCATCGTTCTCGACCACCCGGACCGGCTTTACAAGGCGATCATCGAGGCAGCCAGACGGTGCGGCGTCAGGGTTATCATCTCCCGCGGTTGGAGTAACCTAGGGGGCGACGCCTGTAACACGGCCGATGTGTTCCACTTGGGAGATTGTCCTCATGGCGAGTCCGCCCCCACCCCTAGAAAGCCAATGCATGACACAGTTTCAAGGGCTGACGATGGTAAACATTCAGAATGGCTGTTCAAGAGGGTTGCGGCAGTCGTACATCACGGAGGAGCTGGCACCACCGCATGCGGCCTTGTGAATGCGCGGCCAACTCTGATCGTCCCCTTTTTTGGCGAGTATGTCCCACACAGCCCTCTTCTCTCTTTCCACCAACCCCTCCACCCCCACAAAAAAGAAGAGAAAAAAAAAATCAGGAATTGATCTGACTCGCCTACCAGTCAACCCTTTTGGGGAAGCGTGGTCGCGGCAGCCGGTGCTGGTCCCAAGCCGATCCCGCAAAAGGAGCTCCAGGCCGACAACCTGACCGACGCAATCCGGTACATCACCTCGGCCGCGGCCTACGATGCCGCGACCCGGCTCGCCGCGCAGATGCGCCACGAGTCCGGCGTCGACGCTGCCGTCCACTCGTTCCACCGGAACCTGCCCGTCGCGGTGCACACCTGCGATATCATCCCGGACCAGGTGGCGCGGTGGTCCATGACGAAGCACGGGAAGACCGTCAAGCTCTCGGACGCGGCCGTCGCCGTGCTCGTCGCGCAAAAGAAGATCCGGATTAGTCAGGTGAAGCCGTAAGTCAACGCCTAAACTCTCCAGTCTACGGTTTGGGTCGGTCACCCTGCTCACATGGAAATTGGTAGGCTACGCACCCGAGAATACGACACTGATGTCCGCCGGTGGGATCCGATATCGGGTGGAGCCGCATCGGTTATGGGGACCGTGACCGACTTTGGCCTGTCGCTGGGTGGGCTCTTCGTCGACCCATACAAGGCGTACAAGCGAGCTGCGGCGGGTGGTGGCCGTGGCTCGTCGGCCGCCGGCGCCGCTGCACTTGCGGTTGGCTCGAGCGCCGGGTCCATGACGGGGGTGCTGGCCAAGGGCATGCTCGTCGACATGCCGCTGGCGCTGGCCGAGGGCATGAAGAACGCCCCGAAGCTGTACGGTGAGGAGGTGCCGGACCACGGCAAGGTCACGCACTGGCAGAGCGGCGGTAAGGTCGCGGCTAAGGTAGGGTTGAGCCCCGTTGTGAGTTCAGTCTCAAAACATCTTTGTCTCTGACTTGGCGTTCGTAGACCTTCGGCTCAGGCTTTTACCACGGCATAACCGGAGTGGCCATGCAGCCGTGGGAGGGGGCGAAGAAGGACGGCTTCAAGGGCTTCCTCAAGGGAGCAGGCAAAGGCACGATTGGTTTGATCACCAAACCTGGAGCAGGTCAGTATTTGCGTCACATTCCATCATTCCATCGCATACACTTTGCCATGTCAGGGGCTGATACATGTTTGGATAGCGCTCTTTGGACTGGTGGGATACCCGGCGCTTGGGATCGCGAAGTCACTTTCCGCCAAGAAGGGTGTGGAGAAAGCCATCCTAGGTGCGAAAGGCGAGCAGGTTGACATTTGTGCATCGCATGGGGTAGGGGGTCAGGATGTTGCTCAAATCACGGCGCGATTCGAGAACTTGTGTTTGTGACGGGGGCAGTGTACGAATCGTCATAGTTTTTCCTCATATTAGCTTAATTACTGCTGATTATCTCGTGCATAAACACCTGTGGCATTTGTTGCCGAGAACAAGATACAGCTGCCGGTTGCTGCCGACATGTCAGCACGAGCATGATCCTAGTCTCCTGTCGAGGCTCCGTTGTTTGGGGTTGGATTGGGCATAGCGTTTGCCGTAGCCACGCTAGATATTTTTCTTTGCATCAGATAATTACTCTCTTTTCCAGCTGTTTGCCTGCCACTGATTTACTGAGTACGTTGGTCGTTTTATCCTCAAGGATAACGTTCGAGAGTGCTTCAAAAACGCAGTTGGTTTGCTAGTTGTCTGTCCAAAGTCTTGGAGCCCAGTGTAAAGCATCTCAAACGTGCACGGGTTACTCGTAATGGAAGCGTCACAAGATGCTTCAGATCTTTCACAGCGGAACTGCAAAGTTACTTGGGAACATGTAAGATACGGCAAATTATTAACCCTAGTACTAGTTACTTGGTTGTCTCCTATCCTAAGACCTCGGAGGATGGCAGTTTCTACTGCAGCAAACCACTGATGGTATCCGCCGGGCGAAGCCTTCGCTGGCCTTTATGACCTCGACAGCTCTTGTTCCGCCTTACTCAGTCGGGTTTTTTTCCAGCACGGGAGAAGGGGCATCTCCCAGACCCTTCTCCGCCGCCGTGTCGCGCGCGGGGGGGCCGTCGAAGATGTGTGCAATGTCCTCGAGCGAGGGACCCTTGGTCTCGGGGAAGACGAACCACACGCCGACGAACTCAATAACGATCCAGACAATGAAGACGATGTAGAGGCGCCACTGGATGTTCTCGAGGCCCACCGGGATGGCAAAGGTCGACAGGATCATGAAGGAGAATTGCACGAAATAGAAAAAGGCGAGGCCGCGGGTCCTGAGGCGATAGGGGAGAATCTCGGGGATGTACAGACCGAGGTTGCCGTTGAAGCCGAAGTTGTAAGCCGGCGAGAAGAGGTAGAGGAAGACAACGACGGTGTATGCGGCGGCCTTGTTGTCGTTGTCTTCGGCGAAGACGGCGCTGCCAGCGGTGATGCAGATGACGACGATCCACATGGCGACGAGGGAGCACAGGAACATGATCCTCCGGCCGATCTTGGCGGGCAGCGTGGCGAAGTAGAGGGCGCTGAACCAGGACAGCATCTGGTTGGTGGCGTTGATCAGGGTCTGCTGGAGATCCGACTTGAGGCCGACCGAGGTGAGAATGGGCGAGAGATAGTACGACACAAAGGCGTTGCCGGACATTTGCGAGCAGATGGCGGCCCACACGATGATGAAGGACCGCTTCCGGTTCCCAGGTGTCTTGAAGAACTCGGCGAGGTCCTGCAGGACGTTCTGCTTGGGCATCTCCTTCTCGGCCGCGAGCGCCGTCAAGATCTCGTTGTACTCAAAGACGACAACGGGGTCGGAGGCATCGCCTTCTCCGTGATATGTGACGAGCATGTCCAGGGCCTCCTCGTTGCGTCCCTTGTCGACCAGCCAGCGAGGAGACTCGGGAACGAACCAGACCAGAAGAACTTGGATGACGGACGGAAACGCTTGCAGCGATGAGGGGATCCTCCACGACGCGGTACCGTCGATGCGGAAGGTGCCGAATGTGCACCAGCCGGCAACAATGGAGCCGATGGAGTAGAAGGTCAGGAACAGCGCGGTCATGGTACTGCGCTGGGCCGGGTGCGCAATCTCGGTGACCCAGGGCGAGCCGACGCCGGCGACCACAACACTGCCGGCGCCGATGATGACACGGGCGATGACGAACATGGCGATGTTGACGGCGGCGCCCTGCAGCGCAGCGCCGAGGCAGCAGAGAGCAGATCCGGTGGCGAGGCCGATGCGGCGTCCGAACCGATCGGCGACCGAGGAAATCAAGAAGACGCCGGCGATGCCTCCGAGGGGGTAGGCGGCGTTGAAGATGCCAAGAGTGGCCCCCGTGGGCTTCCCGAAATAGCTCTGCCAGTGCGTGACAGACTGCAAACCGTTCATCATCGAGCCGTCGAAACTGGGCAGGAAGCATGGTTAGCATAGGCACTCTCTCCTCGCTTACACGCCCGCCGTAAGCCCACCGAAGGGGCAGGCCAGGCGGCCGCCTCCCCGCCACTGCGCAGATGAAAGAGACTCGGAAAGAGAGCAGACTAACCCCTGAGAGAAGATGGACAACAGTGGCACGAAAATCCACAGGTTGAGAGTGCGCAGGTTCTTGTAGCGCCACCAATGAGCGGTATCAACGGGACCCTCCGGCATGCTGTCGTAGGGAGAGTCGATGACCTCCCGATGGGCCGTGTCGACGCCTGAAGCCGCCTTCGCCATTGGCTGTTTGCTTTGGGGGGGGCGGACTGAGAGGAAAGAACAGGGCGACAGAGTGGGTGACGCTTTCGAGATGGCGAGGCAAGGCCAGAACTGCCAGAGGTGTTAAGGTCTGCGGCAGGAATCTGTCACTGGCTGAGACAAGACAAGATCTGCGATGGTCAGGGTGAGCGGCAATAATATATCTCGAGGCTTGTTTGATGCCGGCCCGACCGCCGGGGCGAGAAGTGCCAGCAATAGGCCCGCCTGACCCTGCAGTCTTTCCACCTGCACCCCAGGTCGCCGCCCCCGCTCCCCGCTGCCCACCCCCCTGGACCCCATGGGACCTATCTTATTATTTTTTCTTTGCGGGGAGCACCGGTCCCCCGGCCTTCAGTGTATGTACTGTGTAGTGCAACCCTGCGCGCAATCGAGGGAATGTGTATCGGTCGAGGTTTGCCCCGGCACGCGCGGCCCAAGATCTGGATTGGTCCCAAAATCTAGAGGCAGAGTCCACAACTGCCCCAAAATTGATTAGCCCTGCGAGCCACAGCACGCTTGGGTCCACACACATGCCATCTCAGGGGTTGGACATCCCAGCACGGCAGAGCTGCGCAGTACCGAGATGGGGTGCACGCGTGCTCATGGTGTGGGGCTCGGACGACATTTCCCCGGATTGTATTGTATTGTAGGTATAACATACTCCGATGCCCCATTCTCACCGAGTGTCTGGAACAGGGGCTTGTGGTCTACTGCGGCCAAACAACCCGATCATGGAGCTGCAAGCGAGCTCCCCCGGATATTCACCACATGATGCGAGCACACAAGGTTGGTTGGCCAGTGGCTTTCGCCGGCCCTCCCCCCCCCCCTTCCCCTTTTTTTTTTCTTCCCCGCTGCGAGTCCCCATGGGGATGTCCAGGCTCTCGGTAGTCCAGAATGCATGCCGGGAACCGGGCAAAGACATGCCGAGCAGCGCCTTCACTAACTTCACGCATCTGCAGGTAATGGAAGGCAGAGGCCAAGAATGAAGAACGCGATCTCGTGAGTACCCAGCGATGCAAATCACCCCCCAGTTTACTGTACCCCAGCTCTCGGTACCGCCGGTGGTGGCAACGCCACGAGGACCATGTGGGGAAGTGGTTCGGCTCATGAGCTCATGTGCATCCTTGCAACAGTTGTGAGCGGTGCAAGCTTCGCAAGTCAAAGTGCGACCGGGAGCATCCCTCGTGCCAGCGGTGCAAAGACGCAGGAGTGTCCTGCCGGTACCAGGGCCGGAAACGGCCAGGCTTCCCGGCCGGCCACCGGGAGCTCTTGGAGGACAAGATCCGTGAGTCCAGACCATGCCATGATGCCCCTAGACCAGCCACCATGTGTGTGAAACAGCAAAGTACGGTCTCGGCATCGTCTGACTAGATGCGATTGTCATGCTAGGCCGGCTCGAAGCGGAGGTGCAGGTGCTTCGACAGAGCGACGAACAGCAGCAGCAACATCAAGAGCAACAGCCGCAACAACCGCAGCAACAACAACAAGAGCACCATCAACAGCAACAAAGCACTCCGGCCCGGACACTGCGTCCGGTTGTTACCGCCGCTGCGGCCCCCCCTGCCGCGACCTTTGAGCGGAACCGGCGCATCGCGGAGCGGCAACCACCAACCAGCCTCGTCTTGTCGCTCGTGTCTCTGTACTTCCGACACATTTCCCCATGGTTCCCCTTCCTAGACCCGCCACAAGTCTTCTCCGACATTGGGTCCGTACAAGACCCGTCGCTACTCCACTACGCCCTCTTCGGCATATCCCTCCCCTTTTCCTACGACATCCGGCTGAACCAGGCATCCAGCGACTCGTTCTGGAAGTACTCCAAGAGGCGCATCTTCATCGAGGCGCTCGAGGAGCCGTCGTACTCAGCCCTGGAAGCCCTGACCATCCTGACGCTGGACATTTCCGGGATCACCAACGGCCCGCAGGTGTGGGGGGCTCTGGCGGTGGCGGTGAAGCTCGCCGGGCAGCTGATGACGAGCGGGCCGCGAGTGTTCCGGATGTCTGCGACAGCGCCCATCGAGAGCCGGACGCTGAGTCCCGCCGACAAGACGTGCCGGCAGCGGCTCTTCTGGGCCATCTACGCACTCGACTGCTATGTCTCCGTCACCACCAGCCAGGCCTGTGGTCTAGCCGAGGAGCAGGTCCAGGCCTTCCCCCCCTTGCAGGACTCCACATGGCGCGACCGTGGACGTGACGCCGAGGGTGGCATCACGCCCCTTTACGTCTTCAGATACCAGCTGGAGCTGATGGGCATCGTCCGGCGACTGCACCGCGTGTACCTCGAGTACACGGCCGGCGGGCTCGGCGTCGACGAGACAGGGGCTTGGCTACAGAAGTACTCCTCTTGCCTGGCTGAAATGGCGCAGTGGATGGTGTCGCTGCCGCCGTGCATGGCCCTGCAGCGCCCCGAGGGGGGCAGGCCCAGGGGCGTCGTCCCTTCGGTCCTCATGCTGCACGCATTCTTCCACGCCATGGTGATACAGCTCCACGGTGTGATCGCCTATCCGCCGGAGCAGAACCTGGCGACCCACGCGTCCCAGTTGGCCACCGACAGCCGGCAGCAATGCCTAGCCAGCGCTGCGATGGTCGTGGGCATCGCCGATGTCGTCGCGGCCGAGGACGTCGGCGACCGGCTGGGCTGGCCGTTCGCCTGGTCGCTCTGGGTGACGGCCAGGTACTTGCTTGTCGCCAAACTAAACAGCGCGGCCGAGGCGGCGTCTGAGGGCCATTTCCATGTCCTGCTCGGCTCTCTGAAGCAGATGTCCCAGTACTGGCAGATCTCGGGCAAGTACTGGAGGCTTCTCAACCAAGCCATGGGTGACTTGCGCAGCGGTAGGGGAGATGATGCCAACGGCCAGAGCGGCGTTCTCGGCCTGCTGGCAGACTTCCGAGTGTCCACGAGCGACCTCGAGGACCAGTTCCGAACGGATCCCGTCCTCCACAGCGCGCTGTCCTCGAGAGAACAGGTTGCCAGCCCGCGAAACCGCGTTGCTCGTGAGGGACAAGGCGACGCCGCCGCGCCCTTCCCGTGGGAGGAGACGAGCTACTTAGAGGGCCCGGGCCCGGGCCACGTGGCGTTTGAGAACTGGTTCATCATGCCGCTGTTTGCGGCGTCGGCATCGCAGTACTATCCGACTCCAGATGCTGCTTTCGACGAGACTGAGAACGGGGCGGCTTTCTATTCGTTTTGAATTTGGATCTCATGTACTTTATCTAAGCTTGCTTGGAGGTATCCAACTCTGTACAAAAACAACGTGGATGATTTTATGTACGACGTTAAACACGAAACCTGATCGGGTCCCGCTGTTGGAGCCCCTCGGCCCATCAACGACTCAAGAGGTGTTCCATTACCTCAGTTTTGCTCCACGACAGCTTTTTGTGTTGAGCGCCGGACCACAAAGTCCATGGGACTGGAGCTGTCCAGAACATGCACCGGCTGCCCCGGCAGCTTGACATGTACAGGCACCGTGACGGCGGGATCGGCCAATTCCACGCGCAGCGCCACGCTCTGCACGCCAGGCGAGACTCCCCGCCAGCTGACATGAACCATCCCGGTGGGGGACCCGTCGACCGCCTTCATGGGCACTGCGGCCTTGAACTCGGGGAACAGCGCGAGCCTCGGCTCGACGCAGACGGCCGCCCAGCCCGGCCCGGCCGGCCTCACCCCGGCAACCTCGGCCGTGAGCTCGTACAGAGGCGCCGAGCCCCAGGCGTGGCAGTCGGACCGCTGCGAGACAGCGTCCTCCTCCCATGTCGTCACGCCGTTGTCCAACTGGGCACGCCAGGGCGCCCAGAAGCCGTGAAACAGCTCGTCGTACAGCCCGCCGCCGACGGCGCTCAGCGCCCGCAGCGTGTAGAAGGCCATGGACACGGACGCCTGCACGAACCGGCCGTTTGTTTCACCGGACAGACAATGTCGGAGCATGTCCCTGGCAGCCGGCCCGGGCGCCGCCGCCCCGCTCAGGACGGCCCAGACCTGGTTATGCACGCTGTAGTCGCCCGCCGCGTCCGCCCCGGCCGCCAGGCTGTCCGTGAAGAAGGTCCTGTCAAAGCAGTGGGCCCTCAGCCCGCGCACAACGCCCGCCGCGCGCTCCACATACTCCTCGGCCAGATGCGGGCGGCCGGCGACGCGCGCGAGCTCGGCCGCCCGCTTGAGCGCGTACGCGTAGAGGTGGTTCGTGTACGTGCAGACGCTGGTGCGCACAGCGGCGGGCGGGATGCCGTAGGGCCGCCACTGCTCGGTCCAGTCGACAAAGTTCCAGACGCCGTCGCGGTTGTCTGAGACGACGAGGCCCGTGGCGGCGCGGTCGACGCGGGCGTCGAAGTAGCCCAGCACGGCGTCGACGACGGGCCCGAACGGCGCTAGGAACGCCGCGTCCCCGAAAAAGGCCCAGTGGTCCGCCAGCATGGCCACCCAGAAGAGCGAGAAGTGCGGGATGACCTGCGGCTTGTGCGCCGGCGCCCGGCTCGACGTCAGGCCCAGGCCCGGCTGGAACGAGTCCCGCAGCTGCAGCATGGCCTGGCGCGCGAGCCGGTCGTCCCCCGACACGTAGTACGTGAAGAGGATGGTGCTGCGCGTGTCCATAGCGTACTGCAGCTGCTCGTAGAAGGGGCAGTCCTCGTACGTGTCGTGCATGCAGTTGACCAGGGTCCGCACGCTGGTCGACCAGAGCTTGTCCATCCCTGCGGCGTCCGGGCCGGCGGCTTGGGCGCTGGCTACTACATCGAGGGGGTAGTTGGCCTCTTGGACGTCGACGCCTTCAAAGACGAGGTCGGACGGCCCGACGTCGATGGTGAGCTGGAGGAAGCGGAAGGACCGGAAGTGGAAGGGCGCGAAAACCTCTCGGTTTTCTTCGTCTGCGTAGTGGCCCAGCAGTTGCTCCGGAGGTGCTGCGCCTTGCAACTCGTACTGGTCCACGGGCCCGAACAGGGACTTGCTGTAGTCGCACCGGTGGCCCTTGCGCCTCAGATACGGAACGAGCACGGGGGTGTCCTCGTAGCTCTCGGCGTACCGCACAGACAGTTTGCTCCCTGCGGTCGAGGACCGCCCGAACCGGAAGCGAAGAAAGGCCGTCATGTGGTGCGGCGCCTCGATGTCAATGCGGTGGCTGGATCCGGCCGGGAGCACGAGTCCGCCGCGGGGGCTTGTCTCCGAGCGGTCCTCGGCACCACCGCCGCCGTGAACGAGCACCGCCTCCCAGTCCGCCAGAGGGAGCCTGCTTTGAACATTGTGCAGGGATGTGAAGTGTGCCGTCTTGAGCGCCATGCGCGGAATCAGGCGCGGGGACAGATGCCATGGTGGCACGACGCCGGTGGATTTTTGGAAGCGGTGACTCCGGGCAGCGACCCACTCGAGCTCCTGGCCGGCCGGCCGGGTAACTCTTTCGTATGTATGCAGGAAGTCATCCTCGGGCTCGTTAATGGGGAGAATGGTGAAGGGATCAATGGCGGTCTCCCATGCTGAACCGCCGCGGAGCTCGTGCGCCAGCGAGCTTCCGCTGGTGTCCTCGTTTTGCTTGTCGGCGGCCACGATCCGGAGGCCGCCCACCGGGCCGCGGGGGAAGGTGGCAGCGTAGTAGGTGGAGTTGAAGAAGCGCAGCACCAGGACGCGGATGCGGTTTGTGCCCGGGACGAGAAACGGGCCGATGTCGACTTCGTCATAGAACCACCTGCTCAAGTCTCCCTTGACGGGGCCGAAGGTGACGAGCCGGCTGTTGACAAAGAGCTTGTACCGCGTATCGGCCGTCAGGTGGAGCTTCACGCTCTCGGGGGGCTCTCCGTCGAGCACAAGGTCTCTCCGAAAATGGACCAACAGCCCGGCTGTGTCAGCCCTCTCTTCGGTGAAGGAGGGGTGCCATATCCACGTGTCATCGAACTGCTCTGCGGCCATTGCTGTCCGGAGACAGTGGGAGACTAACCAGAAGTCGTATACCCCTAACGCGTCTGAGTGGGTGCCAGTCAGATGCGTAGATCGTCCGAGTCCGGAAAGCGGTGCGTGACAGGTGCCTGTGCCGGGGGAAGTATAGGGTTAGGGAGGGAAGGTACACACTACACACACAGCGCTAGGATGGCGCTCCATGCAGCCTCGGTTTGTTGATATATACCAAGTTAAGATTTACACTTGCGTGCACTAGTGCCGTGTGTGCTGCCGCGGCCGAGTCATGCTCGCAGGTGTCCGAAGCACTCTTCCCGGGGCCACGGACTTGGTTCGGGGTTAAGGGGATCCAAGGGTCCACCAAGTCGGCTCGTCGTCGGACAATGTTCGTCCGCCGAGTCCATGGGTGAGGATCCCTGCACGCATGCACTAAACGAGTAAACGGCCCTGTACGAGTTATACGGAGTAAACAAGGGACCGTTTCTCCTCCTCCCAAATTGCTTACTCGGCCCACACGTGCCCGATGGGAACCCCGGACTCAAGGAAATCTCCCCACATCGCCTACCGTCCCCGCCTTGGTTCGGCAGGGTCGGTTGCTCAACACAGTGAACTACCTACCTTACATGGTAGGTACCCTACCTTGCTGACCCCGCATGCAAGGAAGGGCGAGGCGGCGACCAAGAACGTGGCATTGTGCAGCGCGGATCCGGGGTAGAGCCAGGCACATAGCCAAGGCACCTAAGGTCCCTTACCTCATACCTGAATTATAATAAATAGTCAAGGTGCTTGTCTGGATGCAATATCCAACGGCACGGCACAGCAGTTGGGCACTTTCTGCATCTGGCACAGCACTGGTCTTGAGTCTCGACACGAGGAACATTCTGAAAGACATCCTGAACGCCTCGCTCGCAATGGCTGGCTCCAATCTACGCCAGTGGCTTGCTGCCGCCATGGTGGCGCACGCCACCGCCGCAGCCGTGACGTATCCGGTGCCTGCTGCGGTGCCGACCAATGCCGCTAAGCTCGACTCAATGCCTGTCGGGCTCTCGTGAGTGTTACCACATCCCAATACTGTGTGTGTGTGTGTGGGTGTGTGTGTAAGGCTCGTGGCTGATATCAATGATGCCGTTGCGCATCTTTGCAGCTTTGAGTTCTTCATGTGGCCGTCATACATGAAAAACATCACGCCTCCGCTCCTCTGCATGGAGCACTTCAAGGACTTGTACGGCAGAACGATGCCCGTCCGTATCGGCGGCACCACCCAGGATCGGGCCACATATGACCCCAACCTGGAGGCGTACGTGTCCTACCACGTCGACGATCTGCTGGAAGCCCCCATGACGCTCACCTACGGGCCGAAGTTCTTTGACCTGATCCGTGAGTCGTGCGGCCGACGCCAGCTCGGCTGGTGCTTGAAATGGAACCATGCTGACCAGCTCTCGGGACCGCAGCTGCCCTCGGTACTCAAACCATGCTTGGTACGTCTTGGAAACATGCGTTGGCTGTGTCCCTCCATATCACGCGCTGACGACCCTGGGCAAAGGTTTCAACCGTGGCGACAACAACAGAAGCAACACCTTCGCGGCCATTATGGAGGCAAAGAAGAGGGCTCTGAAGTACCTCTGGGCCATCGAGATTGGAAACGAGCCGGACCGTAGGTCAACGTGGTTCTCTTCCCCCAAAAACAAACAAAGGGGTTCGTGCTAACCATGGGAACGTCACCGAAAGTCTACTATCTTTTCTGGAACAAGCCGGTTGCCGTCGCGCCATGGAACGAAACGCAGGAGGGTTATGACGCGGCAAACTGGATCCAGCAGTTCATCGACACATGGAAGACGCCGCTGCCCATGATCTCAGCCGGCGCATATGGAATCCCTTATCCGTATCAGCCCGACTGGCCAAACACCGAGTTCCTCATCAACGATGTTTTCAACGCGACCGTCAAGGGCGCCGTGTCGCGCTACTGCACCCACCTATACGCCCTCGCGGATGGATCGTCTCTCGCAGCCGACATGTCACACATGCAGACCGCCGCGGACGTCTCCCTCCTCGTCCCAAAGGTGGCCGCAGCCAAGTCCGTTAATCGTCCTTACATTCTTGGTGAGACGGGCTTTCACGGACAGGACATCGCCGCGGACGCGACCTTCGGGGGCGCGCTCCAGATTTTGGACAAGACCCTCCGCGCCACGTCCGTCGGCATCGAGCGACTCTTCTACCACCAGGGAACGATCAACCAAGGCATGTGGATCTCCCTTCCCTGCTTCCATACTCCCATTTATCTCACCTGGAACCCGACCTTCCCAACTTCCCCTTCATCTCCTTTTCTCGTATTTGGGCTTTTTCGAAGCTGACTGGTGCCGCAGCCTACTTCAACTGGTGGTCGGATAACCAGGTTAACGCCCCCTTCTACGGCGGTTACATGGCCACCCTCGCCCTTGCTGGGGGCGACCGAATCATCGCGAGCGACGCTGGTAACGACTCATTTGCCCAATACGTCATCTACAAGAAGAACAAGCCCTGCAAGGTGGTTTTGATCAATACCGAGTATTACTCTGGCAACGGCACACGCACAACGACGTCCTTCACCCTGTCGGGTCTGTCCTCCTCTCAAAATCTCACCGCTCTGCGGATGACTGCGGCGTCGAGCGTGGTGACGACGAGCCGGGATGCCACCGACACATCGTCCGGGCCTACGATCGGAGGTGTGTCGGGAAAAGCTTGCCTTGTCAACCCCCCCTCCCCCCCTCACCCCACCTTCCGTTTCCCCAAAACCTTCTCTTCCTTTACGGCGCGGTCCACGGTCATTGCTAATCAAGTTGTGTTCTCCCAAACAGGCCAGACCTTCTCCCATCAGACCTGCGCGAAGGAGGGTCGTCCTCGGTATGAAACCGCAAGTGTCAAGAAAGGCCAGGCGACCTTTACCCTTGCCGCATCCGAGGCTCTGCTGGTGTATCTTTGAGCGCTCCCACAAAGGTTTACAGGCGAGGGGTCCGCGGCTGGAACTGAATACCTTAATCAGCGCACGCTCACTTAGAGCGCTTGACCGATAGTTAGCAATACCTAGATCCATGTATTCCAAGACATCATGATTAGGCTTGTTGGTATCGTTTATGGGTGACTAAACGTCCTTATCCGTGCGTGCATGTATGCCTCTTGCGCCTGGCGAAAATGGGGCAGTTCTTCAACGCGGTGTTCAAATGCGAGTTCAGTCATTACACGAACCGCCATATGCTTCCACTGACAGTGTCCCCCATTTTCGTTTTCCAGCTACTTTTTCAGAATGAAATTGAGCTTACAAGCATCTCACGCTGCAAGATAGCTCATTGAAAGTTACCAGATTGTAACACACAAGAACGGTTTGCCATCCATCGCAGAGAAGAGTGCATCGGTGTTGTAAGTGCCCTTTTTGGTATGTTTAAGCTGCTCGCCATCATAAGCAGCTCATCTCTTCCGAACAAAACGAGCCAGCCCGTGCGTCTCAGGAAAGAAACAGCAATGAATTCCGCGGTTGTCACATTTGTGGGAGTTTACAAGAACGGAACTGAGCTGCTTCGGGTTATCCCTTCGTTGCGAAGACGAAACCGAGCAGTCCGAGTCTGCCTGCCAAGAATGAGGCTGGTAAGAACCCGAGCGTCCAGCCAGGGATATACAACCCGGACAAGTTTGTCCCTAGTTTCCGAAGTATCGTCAACCTTCAGCAACACGCCGGACTTTGTTACTGCGTAAGGTAGGTACTCAACTTGATACTCCGCTCGTCGACCCGCTCGTGCAGTGCCGAGCAAACTGGGGGACCTGGGGCCCCAGTGCGGGGAACCTCGTGGCCCTGTCCACTCCACAGTTTACGCTCGGATAGTGGGCCCAGAAGCCAGGGGCGGCAGAACGAGTGACGTCTCTTTCTCGGGGTTATACTCTCCGCAAAACGAGCGTCATATGAAGTCGCGGCACTCAACATGGACAAGTTGGACATGATGCCGGAGATAAAGCTCCCTCTGCTTTCGTTGGGACGTGACCGGTAGACTCACTCCCGAACTACACTCGCGTCCTGTCTTTCGCTCGGCGGCGGCGGAGCTCAATTTCACCCACAATGGAGCGGGCCAATGCGGGCAGCCTTCGCAGGCTGGTACCCCTTGTATCTACTCTGGCCCTGAGCGTCGTGGCGTTTGCATCCAGCTCGACGGCAGCATCATCCACCGGCTTCGCAAGCCCTCCAGCAAACGTGCGGCCCAAGTTCCGCTACTGGTAAGCACGGCAACCCCCATCCCCATTGACGTTCCCGTGTTTCTGTCGTCCAGTATGTCTGAACCGCTCCAGGCTGCCCGATGCGGGTGTGTCGGAGGATGTACTCCGGGCCGACATTGCCAACATTTCAGCCGTTGGCGCCGGAGGGCTCGAGTTCATCCCTTTCTACATGTATGGACTTGTGGGCTCGGAGTACGGCCTCGATTCCTGGGCGGAGGACGGCTATGGCACACCCAAGTACAAGAGGATCTTCAAGGTCGCCGCCCAGGCCGTCAAGGACCACGGCCTGGTCATGGACTTCGCCATTGGCGCCAACCAGGGTCAGGGAGCCCCCGCTGTTCCCGAATCTCGGGGTCTCGCAGTCGAGCTTGTAAGTCTCGCATGCCCACCGGTGGTCCACCACTGCTTTGGGAGCTCCGTCCTGACCTAAAATCCCCGTGGCTCGCAGCTGCTCGGAAACACCGCCATCGGCCCCGGCGAAACCTACACCGGCTCCGTCCCCCCACCGGACGAGGCCGTGCAGGCATACCTTGATGGGCTGGGCTTTCAGCACCCCTTGGAGGAATGGGGCAGCGCGAATCTAACAGGTGTCATCGCGGCAAAGGTCAACAAAGGTTTGACGGACCCCAATCCCCGAGTCCCGCTCCTTCACCAAGCCCGATGATGCCAATCTTGGATGCTGACGAGCGAGAGTAGTTACGGCTCCTACCGGCACCGGTGGGATCGAAGGGTACCTCACCCATGTAGACCTGGACCTGGACTCGGCCATCGACTTGACGCTCGCCGCGGCCGCCAACGGCTCATTGAACTTCACACCGCCGGAGCCCAACTCAACCTGGAGGATATTCTCCTTTTGGGAGAAGTACACCAACCAGAAGTCATGTGTGGGCGTTGCGCAGGCCAGCACCGTCATCGCCAACGGCTCGTGGACCGTCGATCACTTCAGCGTTGCGGGAGCTAAGATCACGACGGGCTTCTTTGACCAGCACATCCTCGATGACGCTGACGCTGCAAAACTGATCAAGGCCGTTGGGAACTACGGTAAGTCGGCTGCACGGCCCGCCATCTCCCTCTCCGCGTCTCTGAGGAGCTGATGCGGCTGCTAACGCGTTCACCAGCGTGGGAGGACAGCATGGAGTTCCTGGCCACCCTGTATTGGACCCCAGGCCTGCTCGACAGGTTTGAGAAGGGCCGCGGCTACAGCCTCCTCAAGTACCTCCCGGTTCTGTTCCGGCCTGATAACAACTGGGGTGCCGCCTCGCCCAGCTACGCCGAGATTTTTACCTCGACCAACTCGACAGCCGTCGACCTCGACTATCGCCGCACGCTTAACGAGGGCTACCATGAGTACTTGGCATACATTGACGAGTGGGCGAAGAAGACTGGGACGCGGGGGTACTCCGCCCAGCCTGCTTACAACCTGCCCCTGAACATGGTATGTGCCCGACCGCCCCTTTGCTCCGGCGTGCCATTGTTCTTTGTTACTGACAAGCCGCACAGCTCTCTGGCGTACCGCTTGTCACAGCGCCTGAGCTGGAATCGCTCACGTTCGCGGACAACATCGACGCCTACCGCCAGTTTACGGGGGCAGCGCACCTCTCCGGCCGGAACATCATCTCCTCGGAGGCCGGCGCCGTTCAAGTTGCGGCTTACTCGCAGACGGTGCCAGAGATGCTGGGCATCATGACCCGCTCCTACGCCGGCGGCGTCAACCAGGTTGTCGTCCACGGCTTCCCTTACTCCGGGGCTTACTACAGCACGACCTGGCCGGGCTACACGGCATTCTTTTATAAGTTCACCGACATGTGGAACCAGATCCAGCCCGCCTGGCAGCATCTCAGAGATGTCTTTGACTTCATGGGCCGGACGCAGTGGGTTGTGCAGCAAGGGACCGCAAAGGTGGATCTGGCGCTCTACCTCGACAAGATCCCCTGGACCGCCACAACCTCGTACTCGTCGGACAATCTTCGCAGCGCCGGTACGTAACTGCATCCGACCATAGCCCCGTTTGGAGGATAGGCGTTTCTCAATGATCAAAAGCTAAGCTGATAGATGTCACGGCAGGCTACACCTACGAGTACCTCAGTGCCGACAACCTCGGCGCGACCCAGGCGACCGTGACGCAGGGCATTCTGGCGGCCGACGGGCCGGCGTACAAAGCCCTCATTTTTAAAGGCCAGACCACCATCTCGGTCTCCGGCGCCGAGAATGTCCTGAGGCTGGCCCGCGCAGGCCTCCCAATCATCATTGTCGGCACCCCTCCGCAAGAGGCCGACTCGGCCACGCCCGGGGCGCAGAGCAGCGTGCGCAGCTTGATGCAAAAGATCCTCGCGTCGAAAAACACCCACCAGGTCTCGGACGTCTCGGGCGTCCCCAAGGCGCTCTCGGACCTGGGCCTGACCCCACGGGTCGCCATCGGTTGTGAGGGCGGCCAGATCTACCCCGTATGGAGGAATGACGCGTCCTCGGGGGTCGACTATGTCTATCTGTTCAACCAGGGTGGTTCCGTCAGCAGCTGCCCTTTGACGTTCTCGGTCTCGAAGAACGTGCTGCCTTTTGTGTACGACGCCTGGACGGGGAACAAGACGGCCCTGTTCACCTACGGCCGAAGCTCCGCCGGCCTCACCGCCGAGGTGTCGCTCGCGACGAACCAGACCATGATCCTGGCCTTCAAGCCATCTTCGGCCAGCGGAGGCGTCAAGTGCCCCCTGACGGCGACCAACGGGACGAAACCCATCTTCAAGAGCGTCACCTCGGGCATGACCACGGTCGGGCTGTTCGGGCCCACGACGATCGAATCGACCAGCGGCAAGCACTGGTCGTTTGACGTGGCGGTCCCGGCACCCACCAACCTCACCAGCTGGAACATCACCATCAAGAGTTGGCACTCGGCGTCCAACCGCTCAGCGGTGCAAACCGCCGTCACAACAACAAGCTTCGCCGACCATTCTTTGGTGGCGTGGAAGCTCCTCGGCGACGGTTATGAGGCTGTCTCTGGCCTGGGCGTCTACTCCGCCGCCTTCACGGTCCCAGCCGGCGTCCGCAAGGGCAAGCTGGGTGCGAGGCTCCGACTCGGGCCGGTCGATAACACGGTCCGGGTGTGGGTGGATGGCAGAGCCCTGCCCCCGGTAGATATTACCAACGCCGTGGTTGACATTGGCGACGCGCTTTGGAGCAATGCCGCCCCCGGCTCGAGCCACGTCGTGCAGGTGGAAGCGTCGAGCACCTTGTTCAACCGCGTCAAGGCCGACTTGGACACTGTGATGGTGTTCGGGGCTCCCGCGTCGTATCTGCAACCGCAGTATGCCTCTGACGAGTCGAAGGACCACGGCCTGCTGGGTCCCGTGGTGGTGGAATGGTATGTCGAGCAGGAACTTGCGGATAAGGGGAACTGTTGAGAGTTCATCCGGCGAGCTCCGAACACGGCGCCAGTTGGCTGTGGAAGTTCTACTGAGAAGCTTAATAACTCAGTTTCTATCATGGCATTCTCGCAAATATTCAGCACATAATACTCACACAATGGTTACGTAGAACCCGGATTGCTCATAGTAGGCCCCCAAAACTGTGTGCCTGTCTGCTTGCTTTTTCGGGGTTTGTCTTTGGTTCTTTTTCTGATAGTAGCCTGGAATTCCTGTCGTCAACTGCATTATGAAGCTCTTCCCGATAGTCTTTTCGGGTGCTTCTTGGGCCTGTAGAACCCGGCCGGCGAACTCCCGGATCTGCGCATGGGTTGGTGGGACACCTAGAGCGACCTGGGCTAAGACCCATCGCGTAAGATGATCTTCTTGTACTCGGCTAAGTGTCTGTTGCGGTTCGGCCGCAGTTGAATGGGTCTGAGTACCACGAAGGCGGCCGCGAATAGTAGAGCGTGGGATGCCGAACTCGCTACAGATGCTTCGCAATGACTGGCGCCCAAGACGGTATTGCTCAACTGCATCTTGTATATCTTGCTCTGAGTAAGCCATCTTGAACTGGCAATCAGTTCGATCCAAAAAAAAGGCCGTTCGGCCAGAGATTGAGTGAGTTGTGGTAAGTTGAAGTGGTTGGGTTGAAAAAGCGGTCTGGACTTACAAAGTGGGTGGAATGGGGGTTGGTCGACTTAGAACTTTTGCCCTCGTAACGGAAGGTGTGCCGTTTTACTGACATTCCCAGAAATGCAAATGGGCCTGATAGCTGTCTGCTTACTTTGGTTCTACCAACTGGAACAACTTCAAAAATTACGAGCAAGCATGTAAGATACCTTAGGAGTGTCCATCAAGAAACGCAGGATCCCGTGGCACATCCACTTCCGCGCGTAGGCCACTGAGGTGCAGCGATCATCAGGTTCGAAGTCCCGCGGGGACCTAGTACTTCCAGGTTGTAGTTCTCACGTCCACTCTGGCTAGCCGTGGGTGCCAAGCAACTTGACCTTGTTCTGCGGTCGGTCTACTTTTCCTGGTGCTACCATAGCTTGGCCGGGCGGCGGCGGCGCAGGCTTCAGTCCCATCGAATCTGCCCTAGTAGTGCGAGCGCAGGTCGTCCATGGTAGGCTAGATACGGTAGGCAGCATCTCCTTGCCAGCTATGAGTGCCTACCGGGGGGTCTTGTTGCATGGCGTCCCGGCCGGTAGCTGCATCTTGCTGAGCAAGCGAGACCGAGACGGACGTCATGACACCCGCGCCTGATGCGCGGTACAGGTCGTCCCCTTGGTCGCAGTCCGAGCACCTACCTACCAGTTAGATCACAAAGATGGCTTAAGGTTCGGAAGCGGACACGGAGCCAAGACGGTGCCGCCACGGCGCTACCACCACCACGGCACCACCCCTCCCCTCCCCCTCGTCCATCCCCTGCTCCTCCACCACCGCCGGTAGTGCCGTAAGGTAGATGTACTGTGTACCTAGGTAGTACCACTGCTTTTGAGCTTTCAAGTTATGACCGGGTTCACCCTAATCCATCGACCCGGAACCCAATTTCCTGACCATTTGGTAAATCCAACAAGTTTCGAATTCAGCCATCACACCAACCGCCAAGGCACGCTAGCCTGTTACCCTGTGATATCGACCGCTGTGGCTTGATGGTTTGTGGCATGGAGGGCCGATGGACCAATAAGTCGTGGCTGGGTTTGTCCCAGCTGAAAACTGCCAAGTCACCATCGAACGAACACCCCAGCCGCCGCTATTGCACCCTTCTGAGCTCTCGTTGGCTTCAAGGGAGGATAAAACACACCGAGAACGCGAATTCCCGTCTCAAGCCCTAAACCATCAAAGCCTCTCTCATTAAAGTTTACCCTGAATACGACTGCTAGTATAATCTGCTACGTGGCCGGCCAATGGCTTCGACGTCCAGCCTGCCTAGTACCCCGAGGGTCAATATCGGTGCTCTGACCACGACCTTCACTCCCCAAGGGGGTTGCGATGTGCTTCAGATGGTCTCTAGCGGACTACGCCCCGGCTTCTTTGCACTGCGCCCCGGATCTCGTTGTGTAGTGACAATGACAACGCGACAAAGCTTCTTCGCAGCAGAGTCTTGCTTCCCGGGCGTCCTTGGTGCGTCTCTCAACGGCGCCGAGGGATACGGTACCACACGACCTGTTTACTCGCCGGGGAGTGTATGTCCCGCGGGTACCTGCCCGCCTGCATCGTGTCGCGTACACCAGAGTCGCCGGCGCCAACAACAACACCCGGATGGATATCAACAAACATGGATCTCTGGAACCTACTGTTCGAAGGGGAGACGGCAACAGGATGCTGCCCGAGGTGGGTGCGTACTACTAGTAGTACTGATGATACTGGTCTTTGTATTGTACGTGGTAGAGTTCGATTTGGCCCGACGCTAACCCTTCACTTCTAGTGGCTTTTCCTGTGCGGATGGCATCGGTTATGGGTGCACAATGATGGCGACACCGGGGCAGGTCTTCGCGGGCTATTCATTCGATCCAAATCGGGTTGCACTAGTGTGCCGACTATAGCCACCGTCGCAAGCACCTATGTTCCGGACGATGGGCCGATTGGATATGGGGGGATATTGGTCCTGATCGGTGGGAGTCCATATACCGGAGGGGCTGCACAGGCGCCATCCGAGACAGGATCGCACTCCCTACAACCTACCAACAGTCCCGTCAACCCGGGAAACGTCACTAGCTATGACGTTGGAGGGTTGTCAACGACCGCCAAGATTAGCATCGGGGTCGCCGTCCCGCTTGTCGTTCTCTTGCTGACAGCCGCCTTCTTTTTCGTCTTCCGGGCTCGGCGCAAACGGTTTCAACAGCCTACGGCATCTGGAGGAGGGATGTCGTCGGACTTTGCTCTCGGGTCTAAGCCGGAGTTGGGGGCAAGTCAGGGGGCTGCTCTTGCAGGGGCACACGGCGCTCCATACAGAAAACCAGAACCCGAGAACACACAGCTGTATGAGATGGACCATGTCGCGGGGGCTCGTAGGCCGGCTGAGTTGTATGCTAGCTGATACCACTAATCGGAGTGTGATGCAGGAGTGGCAGCCCCCGTGGAGGTGCAAAGCTAATCCTGAGCCAGTAGGTTCTTTTGGGTTCCTAAACGTCCTGATTTTAACCCCTGACTACCTTCACCACGCGCATATCATGCAGCGCGATGTCAAACGAAACGTTCTTTCCCATACCAGTCTGACCCGTGTACATCTCCTTCCACTGGAAGTCGCCCTGGCCCAGGTCCGGCACACCCGCAAAGTTCACCGAGTACCTGCCCGCCGCCGTACCAGCACACAGCCCAATCACCACGCCATCACTAAGCGGACCAGCCCAGTACGGATAAATCTTGCCAGCCACGGGCGCGGGCTGGCCCGGCGGGCGGAAGGTGGTGGCGGCGCGGCCAAGCGAGTCCTGGTTGATGTCGATGAGGCCCTTGTTGCGGATGATGGCAAGGGTGGAGTCCTTGATCTTGTTCAGGTCGAGACCCAGCACGAGCGGCGACTTGGTGATGGCCCAGAGCCCAAAGTGCAAGCGCTCCTCATTGGTGTTGAGCCTCGACGACCCGAGGTAGAGCATATCGAGGTCGTTGAAGCCGCCGGGCCCGCTGTACTGCGCGATACCGGCTGCCGCGCTGCCGATGCGCTCGACGCTGGCCCAGTCGCCCCAGTTGTCGACGCTCATCCTTTTTGGGAGGATACCAGGGTTAGTGAGGTTGTTCCTTTTTCTTTTGGGAGGATGGGGGGTTGGTTTGCCTTGGAGTTTAGGGCTCACCTCCAAGAATGCCCGTACTGGGCTCCCCATTCCCAAACCTTGTCACGGCCCCAGTTGCACAGGTTGAAGTGAATCTTGCGTGTGTTCTGTACGCGGAGGATGCTGTCGCGCATCGGCGCATACCTGCGAACAATGTCAGTCATTTAATTCTCGATTAAAAGTTATCTTGACGTCTCTGTAGACTGTGACCAAAGCCGATGTGTCTGGACCAGGGCAGCATCAAAAGGAATAACTAGCATGGATTTGACGTACCACGTCTTGGTGCTGCCACCCGGGCTGTTACAGGTCTGTGGACGCGGGTTTTGATTGCATGGGGTATAGCAATTGTCGTATTTCCTGACCACGAGAGTCTTAGTTCCAGGATCAAGAGAGAGGAGGGATCGGAAATCATAGAACACGACACGATAACCGGCAATGACATACCAAAAGTCAACTCCCCAGCTGACCAGCTGATCGATGTCGGACGCTTCATGGCCTTCGCTTCCAGGGTATCCAGCGCAAGTCTTTTGCCCGGCGTCGCCATACAGACCCAACTTTAGGCCCATGTTGTGGATCTGGTCAGCGACGGCCTTGATGCCGTTGGGCCATTTCTTCGGATCAGGCACAAGCTTTCCACCTGCATCTCGGCTGCCGGTCGACCAGCAGTCGTCAATGTTGATATCTGAGACACGTACAATCAGTTTCTTCTCATATTTCGCCACCTACGTAGGGTATTGTGGAAAAGGAAACGACACAAGCTGAAAAGGAAACCCACACTCGTAGCCGAGATCCTTCAGACCTAGTGAGATGAACTTGTTGGCCGTGTCAATAGCGTACTTGGCCGAGGCAGCATCACACTGAGCTACGTTCTGCAACCATACGAGGTCAGTGAGTGGAAAATGGACAATAAGAATCACCCTCATTTGGGGGACTCAGAGGTGGCTTCACCCAGCTACTCCAGCCCATGTGCGGCTTCAGCCCGATACCGTTATCCAGAGCGTTGGCCACTTGCCAGTACTGGCTCAAGCTGAGTAGAAGCGGCAGAGTGTTGGACGTGTGCTTCATGGCGAGTTTCAAAAAGAGGTGGAAGGGCCGATACTGTATTCGTGCTGGTAGCGGTGGATGAGAATGGAGACTGACCTCGCGATTATCCCGACCGTATTTATAGGCATTATGATGGGTAAAAGCCCTGCTCTGCCCAGCGATCACCGGCCATCAGTGTAGGTAGGACGCTCAAAGCCCCTTGGCGGCGTAATTCACGGCTTAGTGCTCCCAAAGGTGCTCAAGTGGTTATACAGCCGCCCCAATCATGGGCGTTTCCATATGATTGTGTAGTACTGTTGCCACTTTGTTGTCCATCTCAGTATGGACCCGATTGGTGGGCTTGTAGACGAATATGCTGATCGACGAGTCCCGAATTTGGCAGCCATGGTCGGGTTAGGGTTCACCTATCCCGGACGCGGACACCCTTCGTGGCGCCCACCAGAGCCACGGGTCCGTGACGAACATGTACCTAAACACCACTGATTAGAACTTCTTAAGCGCTCCAATAATCAACTCGGCTTTGCCTCGTTTGTTGACGAAAAGCTGTTGTATGCACCTCGCTGTGCAACCAGGGAGCAGTACCAAAGCTGCCCAACGACCTGGAGATGCTTCCATCAAGTTCACGTACGTCCTGAACTTTTCAATTGCGAACCTGAGACTTGTCTGAATTGCGTTGATATCATTACGGTCGAGGTCCCCAATCACATGATCTCTAAGCTCAACTTGAGGACCGTCAGGCGTGTCAGGACGTCTGCTTCTGAGTTCTGGAAAATCTACCGCGTAGCCTTCGAACCGCCGTGGCAACTGTGAGGGACACTGTGGTCCTCGGAGTTGTGATGACAGCGGGGAAAATTCTTCCGTGGCGCTGACTCGAGGACTAGAGAACGGCACTTTCCGGCAGGTCATGGAGTGTTGTTGGGCTTAGGGAGCAAGGCTATCTAGGACCACAAGGGTACACCACAGTATCGGCGGTATCCTCATTAGTAGTACTTGTCCTGGTTCAATGGGATGTCCAATGCACATGGGATACTAGTACCTTAGCCTTAGGTCCATTAGATTTACGTACCTTGATCATACTCCTACACACTACAGTCGCCACCGTTCTGAACGTAATAGAATTTTTGCATCCCTTCAGCATGTTCATACAGAAGCAGCCTTGACTTCACCTTAGCGATAAACTAGATACACCCAATTATCCTAGCTAGATGGTAATTTAGCTGCCCGGGCTTTTGTCAATGTCTCGCAACGTCCACAGTATACGTCCGTCATTCCAGTCGCTCTCCTTCTCTCCGCACAGCCTAGGATAGCTTCGATATTAAGGACTGGCGAAGGCCGTTGTGTCTTTCTTCACTCGCGAGTCGCAGTGGACCGATACCATAAATTACAATGCCGGCAATGGACAAATCTGCCATAATAAGGGAACAGCGCCAACCAAATGACTATGGTCTACACATAATCCATTTTACGAACTGTGTTTGTGACGGTGCAAGCCACCGGTCCACTTCCGTATTGAAAATTAAGACTTCCTTTTGCATTCGGAGGACTTGCATTTCCTTCTTCTGCCGTGCTCCAGCAGCCGTCAAGGTTCTGGGCGTAATAAGCCTTCTTGTCTCCCTTCACCATGCCGTCCTGAACCGGCGACGAAAGTCGACAACGCATCCGAGACTGTCTCGCGAAGTTTACAAGGCGTGGAAGTGCTCGCGATACCACTATACGTTGCCGCAGATGGTCAACTCAGCCCTTAGTTCCTCTCTGCTGCAGAAACTCTAGTTCGAGTCGAACTGTTCGACGCTTGCAGCGGCGGCCGAAAAGGAGGCATCTATGATCCCGGTCGATACGCTCGACAACAACCTCGATCTCTTGATGATCACGGCAGGCGGAAACGACCTCCATCTTGTAAGTGTTGGCTCTGTTAGAAGACTTCCAGCGGCCAAGGCTTTCAATGGCGGGCAACACGACGCCATCGGGGCAGCTGACAGGTCACAGGCCACTGAATGACATGTGTCTCACAATTTGCCCATAGTTTGAGGAATGGGGGATGATGGCAGGAAAACTGTTGGATCCATCCTATCACGTAAATGCTGCGCTGTTACCGACCTGTTGTACTACCCAAACGTGCGTTGGGCAGCAGCAGCGACAGCCTTATAAGCCGACAAAACGGGTCGCAAAGGCTTTTCCCACTACACTGCCGAGGACTCCGTTCATAAACGGCATGGAAAGGAGTAGCAGATCCCGATGCATGTTCTCCTCTATGCTTCCCGCACCTACCCCAAGTGCTGGTTCGATAACCCGTAAGCATCCGAACCAGTCCAGACACATCGTGATCCCATGGCGCTTTACAACGGAGTTATCATATTCGGCGAGATCAACGCGGAAGATAGAGTGTCCTCTCCACCTTCCTTCGTCCACGCGCCAGAGCACAGGCTGTATCAACAGCCGGTCGCCTTTATAGGCAATGGTCCCGTTTTCCTTTCTTACTCAGGTACTGAACTATAACACTCATGGAATTGATCCCTATCCCGAGCTGCGTCCTTCTGCTATGAGGCATTATTGACAGGTTATTCATCCGACAGGTATCATTATAGATGAAACATTGGGTAATATTGGTCCAGCCGCTTCCAATCGAGACATTGGTGAGCTTATGTCGAGGGATACCTCGATTGCGCAATTGCCACTTCGAGACGGAGGCACACACGACTGCGCCCAACCCGATGGGACCACGATCCAGCCCATGGTTGCAGCCAAGGAGACGGCGCTAGGCTCGGTTTACGCCCAGACAGTCCCAGATGGCCATTTCCGCCTCCTCGAGATCCTGGCTGGCACAGGCGACACCCAGAGCCGATGCCGCTTGCACGTCTGCGCCATCAACGATAACTGCGGGGCATACGAGGCCCTGTCCTATACCTGGAAGACGGAGACGATAGCCAGCCTGAGCGAGGTTTCTATCCTATGTAACGACGTCGAGTTCACGGTGGGCGCGAACTTGCACATGGCACTCGCACGGCTCCGACGCGAGGACGCACCGCGCGTCATCTGGGCGGATGCTATCTGCATCAACCAAAACGATGAGAAGGAGCGGGGCCAGCAGGTCGCGGCGATGGGGACCATCTTTCACAGTGCAAGTAGGGTGATAGTATGGCTAGGGCCCGACGAAGACGTGGAACAAGCCCCGGTTCCGGCTTCTCAGATGGCCTCGGAGAAGGCTTTTGCCGGTGTCTGTTCGGTTATCTTGACGTGGGCCGAAGACCCGATTACGACAGCCTATGATCGCCGTCGAATTATTGCCAATAACCGCCCCCAATACCGGGTTCATAGATCGAATGCGGACAAGACGTGGAACTCTGGTGACGGAGGAGCGCTGTCGGCGAGGAGCAACGTGTGAACCGCCGTGCTCCGTCTATATGGAAAACGATGGTTCAGTCGCCTCTGGGTCATCCAGGAGGTTGCCCGCGCCCGGCGGGCTACGGTAGTTTGGGGCCGGTGCGAGATAGCATGGCAGTGGGTTGGCCTTGCCGCCGCCATCATTCGGACAAACTGGAATCGCATCATCCCTCCCAATGGCTTTGAATTTCGAGGTGACCGCTGCCTCAGACAGAGTTCTCGCCAGGTCCCAGAAGGCGTCATGAACACCTACTTTATGTACAGGGTCTCGCGGTCTCAGCTGTACTTTGACCCACTCCGGTTCTCCTTTTGCGAGCTCCTAGCCGTCACCATACAGTTTGGATGCCAAGACGATCGGGACAAGGTCTACGGGCTCCTCGGGCTAGAGACGACGGACAACCTCGGAGGGCTACTTACGCCCGATTATACGAGGTCCCTCGCGGACCTCTATCGCACTATTGCCTTCGCCCTTCTCAAGCTTGGGACGTCCCTGGACTTCCTTGCGTACGCCGGTCGACCATCTTACGAACAGGGTGGACATGGACAGAATCTCATTCGGCCTGGCTTCATCATGGATGTTCCGCCGCCAGAGCTAAACCCATTGTCCCTTCTACCATCATGGGTCCCGCGGTGGCACTTGACCAAGGCACAGACACTCTCGCCCTTGGACAAACATCCGGACTTTGCCGCTGGGTCGCCTTGCACGAAATCAGCGATGTTTAAGCGCCCAAAGAACGACAAGGACGACGACCATGACAAAACATGCCACAGTCCCGACCGGCTCAGCGTCCGCGGCGTCATGATAGAGCGTGTCACGGGCAAACATCGGCTCATAGAGTGGGAGTACGAGCCGAACGCGTACTCTGCAGACTGTCACGAGCTCACGAACCTCCTCATCAAGTACAGGCACACCAAGTGGAGCTTAGAGAGGCTGGCTATGACACTAACGGCGGGCAAGAGCTGGTACGGCACACCCGTCGAGAGCCGCGCCGCCCCCCTCGCCCACTTTGCGCGTTGTCTTCTCAGCTACGGCATGCGCCGCGTCCTGGATCCGTGGTTCCTCGGCGCACGCGGGGAAGGTGACGCTGGGGAGTGTGCCCGGCCGGAAGAGCTGGCAAAGTGGTTACGGTAAGTGAGTTGGAAGAGATGGCTCAGGGAGGGAACGCGAATCTGTTCATAGATGCGATGGCATCGGCTTGTGTTGGGAGGTGCCTGTTTACCACCTCGTCCGGCATGCAAGGAGTCGGGCCGTTGGCGACGTCGCCGGGGGACATGGTGGCCGTGATCAATAGCACCCCTATGCCGTTCGTCATCCGCTATTCTGGGGAGACACGGGGCTATGAGCTCCTGGGCGAGTGTTATATTGATGATCTGATCCACGGGGAGGCATTTGACGGTTCCAAGTACAAGGAGTGTTGGATCGACCTAGTCTAGCCCCATCTGTTCGTCGTTAACACTTGAGGACATTCCCTGCCTTGCTACTAAGTGTTGAACGTAGGGGGTCACACAGGTTGTAAGTCGGACCCCCCCCTTTCCGACCACCCCACTTTCCGACCACTTAGCAAATTCTCACCGCTCTTCCAACCCAACCACTTTAACTTACCATAACTCAGTCAATTTCAGGCCAAACAAGCTTATTTTTGACTATATTTCCGTCAGTTCAAGATGCCTTATACTGAACAGGACTTACAAGATGCGATTGCAGAATACTACCAGGGTGGCCGTTCGATGAGAAGTATCTGCCGGGAATTCGGCATACCAAGGACTACACTTCACGACCGCCTCTCTGGCTCCCAAACCCATTCAACTGCGGCCGAATCGCAACAGACCCTTAGCCGGGTACAGGAAGATCATCTTACCCGATGGGTCTTGACCCAGGTTGCCCTCGGTGTTCCACCAACTTATGCCCAGATCAGGGAGTTCGCCAGCCGAGTTCTACAGGCACAAGGAGCCAGCCGTACGACTGTCGGAAAGGGCTGGATGACCCGGTTCCTTCGCAGGAACCCAGTCCTTCGAACCCAGCGAGCCTGTAAGATAGACTCGGTCCGCATCAATGGGGCCACTGACTCAGTCATCCGCAGTTGGTGGCCGCGACTGAATATCCCAGCTATCAAGGACATCCTACCAGCTAACCGCTATAACTTTGACGAATTCGGCATTATGGAAGGCCAGGGAACCAACGGCTTGGTGGTTGGAAGCTCACGAACGCATGCGGTTCAACAGAGAGTTCCTGGTTCGCGAGCCTGGACCTCTTTTCTTGAGTGTATCTTAGCGACAGGGGTAGCGCTCCCACCAACTGTCATCTTCAAAGGGAAGAGCCTTCAATAACAATAGTTCCCGGTCAAAAAGGAGGAACTAAAGGAGTGGAAGTAGGCTTCAACTGCTACTGGCTAGATAAACAGAGTGGTTGCATTAGAATGGCTTCAAGAGGTGTTTATCCCCCAGACCCGGCTACAAGATCCCTCCCAGAGACGGCTATTGATACTAGATGGCCATGACAGCTATAGAACTGACGACTTTATATGGGCATGCTATAAGAACAATATCCAATTGCTCTTTTTGCCTCCCTATACGTCCTATGTTCTTCAACCGTTAGATTTGTCAGTGTTCTCCCCCTTGAAGCACATATACCGGAAGCTCCTCAATAAGTTGACCTCCTGGTCCGAATCGACAGTATTAGGCAAGCAGATGATGATCAAATGTATCGTGGAAGCTCGTAAAGAGGCCATTACAGCCTATAATATCAAGGCGGGATAGAGGGCATCTGGGTTATGGCCGGTCAATATGGCTAAACCCCTGATGAGCCGGCTTCTACTAGAAAATTCAAACAGCGTAGCCGGGGTTGATGAACAAATGGCTTCTATACAGACCCCGGTACCTGTTCAAGCCTCTCAGGCTTTGACAGTAGCCACCATCGCATTCCTCAACACACTACAGAAGAAGTCAGACTTACGTGGTCAACTAAATAACCTGGCCATCCGGAAACAAGACCTCTCTACCCGCAGGCTTTTGTTCAAGAAGGTTGAAAAAGCTTTTGATCAGAAGGACTTTGAATTGGCTCGGCTACGACAGGAAAACGAAGCTCTGAAGGCTCAGTTAGAAGCGGCCCGGCCGTCAAGGAGGAAGAAGGTAGTTCTTGATCCAAACAGTATGTTCGCTTCGATTGAACAGATCCACCAGGCTCAAATTGAGGCCGGCCGTATAGATGACTCGGTGGCTGAAGAGAGCGGGTCAGAAAGTGCAGAATCAGAGGTCTCCTGTATTGTGGTAGGTTAAATAGACTGCAATATATGGGGTTGAAGAAGATGGGTGGGTTTGTAGACCAAGATTTGCCAAGTGGTCGGAAAGTGGGGTGGTCGGAATGGGGGGGGTCCGACTTATTGCTCGCTTGAGGAGTCTAAGACGGTAGGGACCTTGTTGCCTTATATACATGGAGAGCCTGTCTCCCAATCCTCTGCCCCTCTTCCTGCTATACCGGTACCTTCAGCACCATGCCTAGCTTGTTATCTCTGCCCCTGATTTCCGCAATACTGCTACACAGACATAAACATCTAGCCATAGCCCGACACACCCGCCGCCGTGATTGACGGCAGGAATACAGATGTAGAAGTCGCTGAGCGTGAAGCCATGGCCGTTGGCCATAGTTCAGCAGCCGGCACCCTTCTAGGCGTAAAAGAACTTCTTGCATCCCTTCACCATGTTTATCTAGAACTAGCCAAGGAGTGATCCCAGCTGGGATACTACTACTATATTCTGCCTTCGCACCTAGCAACTACTCCCTGCGACGTCTCGATTGTCTATGTGGTTCCTTTTCGGCGCGCTGCTCTGGTCCTGGAGTTGCCAGGCAACCTTTGTGCTATACCCTTGCCGGCCTCTGGCAGCGTTTGCGATCGAAAGAGGAGTTTTCCGATCATGTATGACGGCATTGTAAGTAGATTCCATGTTCCATTGCTGGATGAGGTACATTCACTAATCTTATTGCTGCTCGTAGAAACAAAACACTTCCCTGCGCAGATCTGTTCTTGGAGCGGACCATGCAGCAGGAAGAGTACTGGTGGATTCCCCAGAACCTGACAGAAGGGTGCACTTCGAGCTGCCGGGCCAGCCTCGACTCGTGGGTGTCGTCAGTCCAAGCAGCATGCTCAGGCCAAACGCTTCGGTGGGAAGGTCGGCTCGTCGCGCCGGACACACTGCCTCAGATGTATCGCCACACCTTCACCTTGGCTTGTATCCCAGGCGGCGCCTCTGGGTGGTGTCTTGTCGACAGCCAGGAGTGGGTGGGAAGTGACATGCTGCGGAACGATGAGCACATGTGCGCCACTGGCCACGTGGAATACGACCATGACCTATGTTTTACCAAGGACTTTGACCCGTTTGCCGTGGAGCCAGGCGACGTGCGGCTAGCCAATCTCTACGACCGGTCCATGGTATGCAGCGAGTGTTTCCTTCAGATCCTGCACCGGAGACTCCTGAACCCAGGTCTTGCCGACGGAGACTGGACGGACTACCTGATCGCTCAGCATTCCGACCTGCAGACCTACTGCAGCACTAACATGCCACTTACCGCCACGAGGACGTCTACTGCGGTCCCGCCAGTCACCGGAACAGCCACGCTGACCACGTCTGGACCCGCTGCGTTCACGACCTGCGCTGGTGCCCTGGTGACGCCGCCCTCAGAACCCGGAGTGACCTGCCACATGCTCTCGGAGCAGTACAACGTCACAACGGGTGACCTCACAGTCCTCACTAATGATTGGGACTGTCAATTCACCGAGTCAGTCTGCATTCCGCCTCCATGTCAGATCATGATGATTGGTTGGATGGAGACATGGTACGTGTCGCCTCGGCTTTGCCCCTGGTCCCGAACCGCATCAAAAGGAGACACACTACTAACACTTTGTTTCCGCAACAGCGAGACCTTGGCTCGCAAAGTGTCCACGGGTAGTTCCAACATTACCGTGGTGCAGTTTGGCGAATGGAACCCGCGAATCATCGGACCCTGCGACGACATCCGTGGAAACCAGTACATTTGCGCGTCGCCCCAAGGTGGTATTTACGTGCCGCCACCTCCGGTGCACGCCTCATCCACCACGTTGGCCAAGTATTACACCACAGCCCAACCGGCTCGTCCAACCCACCCCGGCACCACAACAAACTGCGGAAAGTACTATGAAGTCGATGCCGGCGAGACGTGCCAGAACCTGGCCTTTACAGCGTAAGTCCTCCACCTGTGTACCTAGCCGCACCCGCCCCCCCCCTTTTGGGCTAGTCAAGCATCATCGGTAGGCTTACCCTCCAAAACAGAGGTATTTCCCTGTCCGACTTTCTCAGCCTCAATCCCCAGATCGAGGGCGATTGCATCAACCTATGGTTGGGGTATTCGTACTGCGTGGCCCCCGTAACTCCCGCAACTCCCGGCACGGACGGGAAATGTGGCCCTGACAACGACAACACCATTTGTGCCGGCACAGGCTTCGGGAAATGCTGTTCGGTGCACGGGTTCTGCGGGAGTAGCCAGCAGCACTGCGGAGCGGATTACTGTTATAGTGCCGAGCGAGGGCGGCCCATATGGTTACTCTCCCGATGGACGATGCGGTCCCGACCATAACGACTGGATATGCGGGAGTGAGTTTGGGAACTGCTGCTCGATATACGGCTGGTGCGGCAGTGGCAGCGACTTTTGTGAAGCTGGGGTCTGTTGTGAGTACTATACCACCTTACCCGAAAGGCCGAAACCCCTTTTCCGCCACTGCGGGCCAAAGACAAGATAGGAGAGATACTAATCGCGGAAAACTACAGACAGTGGACAGTGTGAGACGGACAACGGTGGCCCCAGTTTAGACGGCTCCTGCGGCCCTAACTTCGCTGGTAACAAAACCTGCCTAGGCACGCAGTTTGGTAGCTGTTGTAGCCTGCATGGGTATTGTGGCGACGGGCCGTCTTACTGCGGCCCCGGGAACTGCTATTCTGGCTTGTGCAGCGGGGGGCCATGATATTCGATATCAATCATAGGAATGGGAACAATGTTATGTGCGGCGATCTGTTGCATCTGGCCACGATGAATCGTTCCACCCGGCCATCTTATGGCGATAGGACCCGGCCAATGACTTGCCGAATCCGGTTGGCCACTGTCCCAATGCTAGGGCCCACAGTCCAAATACTGGATCCGCTGAATCGTGCAACGTGGGACATTTCACGCGAGATCTGGCTAAATAAAAACTGTATCTTTGCCGCAAAGAAAACATGGGTCAGCGCAGCTTGGCACGCTGCTATCCGGCATTCAACAGGCCCGACTCACCAAAGTACCTGGTAGTTTGAACTTCTTGCTAATCTAATAAACTCGAGAAATCACAGCCATGATAAAACAATCCTCCAAAATAGCCCTCGCTCTCTTCGTACTCATCGCAGCGCTCTATCTCAGCAACCGCTATCACAATTTCCTCCCGCAAGACCGAGTCTCCGCGATCATGTCCGCCTCCCCCGAACCCGAGCAAGCGCTCATGTCTCTTGACGACTACATCACCCTCTGCGCCGACCTCCACAATACCCTCCTCGCCAAATCCTTCTCCCCAAACTCGCCGCCACCAGAGACCTCAACCGACCTTCTTCAACGCTACGAATCCTTCCGCGCCAATCCGCCCTTGGACTCCTCCAGCTACTACGACGACGACGCGCCCTCGCTCGATCTGGTTTCGCCTCTCGCCACCCTCCTCTCTCGGCTTAAGACCACTGTTCCTCTCCCGGGTGGTACTTTCACCGCTCTATCGCCCCTCTTCTACCAGCCTATGCCAGAATGGTTCTTCCCGCCCCTCTATAGGCACGCCTTCGACGCGGCTTCCCCGTATCTCTCCTCTATCCCCAACGCCGACCCTCCAACGCCTTACCTGCTATGGACGGCGGTCTCTTCGTAGATATCTACACCCTCTATGGCATCTGGCTTGACACCCCGCGTGGCCCCGCAATGCTTCCCTCGGACAACTGTCTACCCCTCGACTACCTCCTTAAACAGGAATTATCCCGCTGGGAATCCGGCCGCTACGTCTACGATTCCAGTGTAGAAGAAGGGCTCAGAGTCCAAAAATGGGTCCCCATCCCTGCCACCATCGAGGGGGCGGTGGCTTATTTCCCCAACCTGCAAGTCGTAGAAGCTATCTCGGAGTGGGAGCGCTTGCTCTGCGCGATCGAGTCCAAAATGCCCTCCTCGTCAATTCGGACTCCGGAAGGAGAAAACTCAGAACGAGAACGCGGGGAGCCGTTGCCATGGGGGCGATGCAAGACCTACGCTTCAGCAAGTTCGCCAAGCATTTCCTAAGCCGTGCACGAAGACCTATGGGATGGACTTTTGTAGCGCCGGGCATTGGCACTTTCACCAACGAAAGCCTGTGCGAGGCATATGCGACGGAAGCAGAAGATACATTCAGGCGTATATTCACGACTTCGGAGGAAGGTGAAGATTGGGTTACCCTACTTCTTCCCAGCCTCTCCGGCGACAAAAGACCAGTCACGGTTCCGACGGATGTGAGCCGTGTGCCTGATCTCGAGATCAACTCGTTCGACAAGCCCTTCGGATTTGGAAAGGCTACGGTTGGGCGACGGGCAGGGCTGTATACCTCCTGGGCGGACGAGTGGGACGGAGACTTGGTGCAACTGGTGTGTCCGTCTGGGCGGCAGAACGCTGGTGTGTTCAGTGGTCCATGTCCCTGGGGACCCAGCAGAATGCCTCGGTTGGCTGAGTTGCTGGGCCATTGGGCGAACTTAGTCGAGGACGGAGCCTGGTGTATAGATGCAGATGGTGTCGAGGAGGATGCTATGTGGTTCGACTCACATCTGGACTCGGCAAATCTGAACTGGGACGACGTTTCGGAGTGAAAGAGTGGCGGGGAACGGCCATACGTAATCGTTGTTCTACAAATCAAGGAGTTTCTCGAAGCAACGGTGTCCTCTCTTGCTAGATCCCGACCCCTTTCTCGCCGTCTACATCCCCGTGCTGGAACTTGTCCAGCAGGATGTTACAATACCTTCACATACTGTTGTCATCGGTAATGTCATCTACGTGCCGCAATCTGAAATGGCGCGGAGGGATGCGCAAACCTGATGATGTGACGTTCGTAGATATCGGGTTTTCGAGGAATGACTCGGCAACGATGCCGCGGTGCTACTTTCTCGTCGGCATGGCACTCTGTGTGCGGGCGAGCCAGGAGTATGGTGGAGAAGTCTGTTCAAACGACTTTCACATGGACTACAACGCAGTTTGCCTCGGCCGACAGCCATACTGCTTTGACCCATGAGGTTGTACTCGGAACTCGCACAGACATCATTAGATGGCAATGCGCCACCCCTCTTCAGTAACGGCTTGCGAATGTAACCCCCGGATTCTCAAACGGCACGCAGCGCCGAGACCTGTACCCCGTTCTTCCCCGCATAACCAACGGCTTATAAACGAGGGTAGAGACGATGCAGAGAGTCCGCCGTAGTAACCTGCCGTTTATGGAAAGCACATCCGGCTAGATCTTATAGCGGATAGACGACGATCTATGATTTTTGCGTCCTTAGATCCTCCGAGAAATGCCAGCCAGATCAGAGACCGGAGGACGGTGGTGGCGTTATTTAGGGCGGTATCTATGCCTTGACAGAAGAAAAAGGAGAGTGCTGGCGCCAGGACGGCTGGTTAATAGGAGAGTTGGCGAATAAGGCCGATCATAAGCATCGTCTTTCCTATACTAGCGTGTCCTTTTATCTAGAGCAATCGATACAGCGGACGATCGGATCCGCTATCGTTCTAGTCTATAAACGCTATATACTCTGCGGTACGAAGGATCCACTTATATACGTTATTGAACAGCTTATCCTTACTCTTCTCGATCCGCTCTATATTATATTACGGATTAACGAAGGAATGGCCTGTGCCATGGTACGGTGGGTTCCACTGTCACACTTCTCTAATAAAGATACTAAGACCTAGTATATAATATATTAACTTAGAGGCTGAGCCACTAGGTACTTTGAGCCTACTCTTAAGGACTATGTTAAGAATAATACTAAGCAATAGTAACTATTTATATATAAGTTGTTTAGCAACTATAAGAAATTCGAAAACAAGCTTATTGTGACGGTGGAACCCACCGTATCATGGCATAGGCCATTGCTTAGTCATGTGCCCGGCTTCCAGTGCATGCATGCATGATTGGTCAACCTGGTTAGTGCCCTACCTTCCACATCTGGGCACATGCCCCACATCCTGTATTTAGACTTCTTCGCACTTTGCAGTCTTCGAGGATTCCTTTCTTCCTGCAAGTTCAATATTCTTGCAATGCAGTCAGTTTACTACCAGAGCCTTGACCCTAGCTTTGAATGACGGCCCTCGTAACACTTACCAAGGTATTTAGAGACTAAGATAAGGCAACTTATATATAGAATTGACTTATATAGCTATAGCAGACCAAGTTAGCATCGACGTATATAATTATATTCTAGCAAGACGCCCTTAAGGCCAGTATTAACAAAGCAGATCTAATATAGCTATTCTATAATAGCCTTAAAGAGGATATAAAGGATAAGCTATATAAGGAAGACCAATCTATAACTCTCGATAAGTATATCGCTAGGGCAATTCAGATTAATAACTGATTATTTGCTAGAAAGCAATAGCAGAAGAGTTAAGGATAACTCATTGTCGAGATCTCAAGTAATGATAACGTATCTTATAAGCGAGATGAACATATAAGCGAATTGAACACTTTGACTGCGATGCGTCTTCTCTCCATACCACAACTAAAGTTCTCTACACCCAACGATGTCTTCGGCTTCAAGAGAGTCTAGGGTAATCTTAGCCCTTGAAGCTATTCAAAAGAACGCAAAACTTAGTCTTTGCGCCGCAGCAAAGATCTATAACGTCATAGTCAATACCATCCGAAACCGACGCGACGGCAAGCCTGGACGACGCGATACTACGCCCAACTCACACCAGCTTACCGATTCCGAAGAAAAGGCTCTTGTTCAGTATATAATTGAGCTATCTAAGCGAGCCTTTCCCCTGATACTACGTGGTATAGAAGATATAGCCAACCAATTGCTATACGTACGTAATATGCCCCCTGTTGGCAAGCTCTAGGTGTATAACTTCGTCAAATGCTAGCTAGAGCTCTAGACGTATTATACGCGTAGATATAACTACCAGAGGGCTAAATACGAGGATCTAAAGGTCATTGGCGAATGGTTTACCCTTATATAGAATATTAAGGCCAAGTATAGTATCATAGATAATAATATCTATAACTTCGATAAGACTAGGTTTATAATAGGCATTATCTTCCTAGGTATGGTAGTAACAACCTTAGATGGCCGTAGCAAGGCGAAGCTAGCCTAGCCTGGCAATTGCGAATGGGCGACCGTAATCCAAGGTGTTAATACCCTTGGCTGGGCTATCCCTCCGTTTATCATCTTAGCAGTACAATACTACCTCGCCAACTGGTATACTAAGTGCAACCTCCTGGCTGATTAGCGTATTATAACCACCGACAATGGCTGGATTACTAATAGAGTAGGCCTTAATTAGATTAAGCACTTTGGCTATTATATAATATCTCGGATAAAGGGTAAATACCGGTTGTTGATCTTTAATGGCCATAAAAGCTACTACTTAACCGAGTTCAAGCTCTACTACTAGTAGAACAAGATTATTATACTCTATATACCTCTATATTCCTCCTACCTCCTCTAGCCACTTGATGTTGGCTGCTTTAGGCTATTGAAGCAGGTGTATGGTCGCCAGATCGAGGACTTAATATATATATATATCAGCTATATAAACAAGCTCGAGTTCCTTTATATCTTTCGCATAGCCTTCTTTATATCTATTACCAAGAGGAATATATAGGGCGGTTTTATAGAGCCTAGCCTTATACTATATAATCTAGAGAGAGTACTTTCGAAGCTAGATATCAAGCTTTATATACTAATACCCCCAACCTTACGGCCAGGCGCTATATAATCTTAGGTCTTCCAGATACTATATAACCCCCGAGAAGCCAACTTACAGTCAACGCTCATCAAGAGTCGCATTGACAACCATCAAAATAGCTCCCTGACTTCGATGTTGGCTGCTATAGACCAGCTTACCAAGGGTATAATGGCTATAATGTACTAGGTGGCCCTCCTTTAGGTAGAGGTATCTTCGCTCTGCAAGGCCAACGAGGCGCTAAGCAAGCGCCGAAGAGCTAAAAGAACGTGTATATATATATATATTCTCCTACTCCGCTATGCCTAGCTATTTACAAGGCGCGCCGGACTCTCTACTGCTATGTACAAAGGAAAAACCGTACCGTTTAGGCCGGGTGAAAACCTTCATCAAAAATAATAGGAAAGACATGGTTCCAGTGATACACGCTGCTGCAAGTAAAGAAAAAGGCCTTGGGAAGGCCTTGGGCCAACGGCTAGTAGGGTGCTAGCCCAGCTAAGCCGTGGCCACGGGTGTGGTTAGCCGAGCTCCCTGGCTTCCAGTTTTTGATCTAGGTTCTGGGCGAGCCTGTATTCCCCTAGCCGGCCCGAGTTCATCAGCCAACCCAGTACCTTCTTCAGAAGTCTTCGGTTCCGGTAGCCTAGGCCCTGTAAAACAAGGCTAAGGTCCCGGTGGGTGCGTATTAGTTGCCTAGGCCAAGTTCTTGGTATAGGTGGTATAGAGCACCAAATCACAAGATGCTCTACTGTCTCTCTGGCTTCCCCGCATTCGCAATAGGGAGTAGGCTGGTTACGGGCCTTTTGTTTGAAAAGGAAGTCCCGTAGGCCTATAGCCCCTATACGAGCCTGTACTAGTAGGGAGCTCTTAGCCTTTGTAAGGCCTTGGTGTTTCTATAGGCTCTGGTTCGTGAAGAGGACTGTTGATAGGCCTTCGTCAGCTAGCCTAGTTGGCTGTCCCTGGACTTGGGTATTCCACCTAGCCTCCCAGGCTCTTAATAGTGCCCAGTCTTCTTGGGTCTTAGCCAATGGTGGGCCCAAGGCCTTAGCTTGGGTATTCCATTCGGCCACTGTAGCCGAGGCCTTTTCGGCATCTGTTGGCCTTTCTAGGCTCCAGGGCCGGCGCCGTAGCGACCGGAACCTTCGTTGGAGCCTGTTGCAAGCCCCTTGGATGATTTCCTTTGGTGGGCGTCTCGGGGCCTCTGGGCCTAGCCCGGCCTGTAGGGTAGGCTCGTTGAGCCGGCCTTCGAAGTCGGCCAGCCTCTTGTTAAGGTAGAGGTCTAGGGGAGGGATCCAAGTTTCCGTCTCGAGGTTCCGTATAGGGGTAGCCTTGTAGGCTCCGGTTATGATGCGTAGGCTTCAGTTCTGGGCCTTTGCTAGGTCCCTGGCTAGGCCTTGTAGTGGGCCGTTGAGTGTTGTAGGCTTGTGGAAGCTGGATGCCCCATAGGCTATTGCGCTACGAATGCACTTGGTATAGACCTCTCTGGCCCTGATTAGCCCCGGGCCCCAGGTCTTGGCTGCTATCCTTGATAGGGCAAAGTCTTGGGTTCTTAGCTTGGTAGCTATGCTGGCTCCGTGGGCCTTCCAAGAAAGCCTCCAGTCGAGCCAGACCCCTAAGAACCGGGCTGAAGCCGTTGGTTTAACCATAGTATGGTCATGAGGGTGGCCCGGTTTGGCTAGTCGTAGTGGTTCAGACCACTGTTTACGGCCTTTGTTGAAGTGGATCAGCTCTGACTTGGCCCCATTAAATTCCATTCCGTAGGATCTAGCCCACTGTAGACATGTAGCCCAGGCTTGTTCCAGTTGCCGGCAGTTAATATAGGGGTCCCTTCCAAAGGCTAGGAGGTTGGTATCATCTGCGAATCCCACTAAGCTAACCAGAGGGTGCTTTTCCTTTAGTACTTTATATAGCGAGGCTATATAGTATAAAGAGGACTGGTGATAGTGGTGATCCTTGTGGCACTCCAGCTCGAATGTTGATTTCCGGGGCAAGTTGGCCGTCGAATAGGAGTGTGGCCTTCCGGCCTGTTAGCCACGACCGTAGCCAACCTACAAGCCATGGTGGCCTTGAAGTCCTTAGATTATCACTCTACAAACGTACTACCTAAGCGTAATCGCGAAGATCCGCCTTATAGAGGTAATCTAATCAGAGAGGCAAGGCCAAACCTCTCTACCGGACCAAGCATAACAATACTAGGCCACGGGACTCCAAGGTTTACACCTTAAGCCCTCTACAAGAGGCATAATACTTCCTCCCTCTTGGATGACCAACATACGCGTCTGTCCTTTCCGGCCGGCTATACTACTCTTTTAGAGCTATGAGTTCCTTATAGCGGCGACACTATACATTTGATCCCCAGCTATAGTACTCTCTAGTACGTCCTGTCGGCGGTTTCCTCCTCTATCGTACGCCTCTGGCTAAAGGAGTATGCTCCCTGCCGCATACGATATTCCTACGGGTCCTTCGCCAAGGGAATAGCTATATCTCTCCTATAGCCTAGGTACGAGCCAGGGCCATACCTCTATCATCCTCCTCTCGGTCTAGTATAGCCGCTATAGCCTACCTTCCGCCAGGCGTAACCCTGACTTCCAGCTTCCCGTTGCCTTGCTAGGTCTCCCTTATAAGGCCGACCGTATCTTACAATAGGCCGTCGTACGAGCTACCATGCCAACGTAGTTCGCTTAGTCGCTCTGCTACTAACCTGCCCTGATCTACCTATCTTGCCTCCTATCCTTAGATCCAACTATAGTATTGCAAAGGGCAAAGTACCTTGTAAGAGGGCCCGGCTGCCTATGTTGCCTCCCTTAATAAGCCCGTATTCCCTCTCTCTCCTGCTCTTATAGTTGGTCGTACGATCAGTCGGCGATACCGGCTTTCGCTCTATATCCTTGTCGCCGTACGACTAGCCCTCTAGCGTTCGTTGCGGGCGCCTTTAGAACTAGGCAGGGCCGGGGGTGCCCTATCTCTTCTTTAAAACGTCGAAAGAGTCGGGTAGTTTTCGTACCTAGTATCCCCCTAGTCTTATAAACTTATTATAGGTAGATTGTCGTAGTTGTCGTCAATGGTAGTCGTTGTACGGGGTAGTGCGGGATTTTCGGTGCACTCGAAAATCCTTACTTTCTTGGCGCGAAAACCAACAATCCGACAGCTATACGGCCGCGTAGAAGCTGTGCGTCGCTGTAACCCCTTGGAATCGAAAGAAAAGATCACAAAGGACCTAATTCCCGATTTTTGCAATGCCCGGCCGCCTGCGTGGGCGGCCCCCGATGTTTGTTCACCGGGAAGGGGAGAACGTGTATATAGCTTGGAGGATCACTTGCAGTACAAGATGCAAAGGAACTACTAGACTAAAAGGCTATAGTTGGGGAGATAGCATAAGAAATACAGCCGGATGGTGGTGGTATAGGGGGGGGCTTGTACGAAGGTTCGGTGCTATAGTGTATGCGGCAAGCCTGGTTATAATGCCCGCACTTGTCAGGAGGTTGCAGAAGCATCTGATTCAGCCGTTTCTGATGTAATTATAGTAGGTTCATAATATTATTATGTTGTAATTGTAGTTGACTATTATAGTATGGTGGCAAGTGTTTAATTCGCTTATATGTTCATCTCGCTTATAAGATACGTTAGCAATTAAGCTAACTATAGTAAAAAGCACTAGTACCTTAGCATAGCGTATAGTATCTATATAGGATCTATAGATATAGATACCACTTAATATAAAGTAGGAAAGGGATAGAAGGATAAGTCCTAAGTTACTTGCTTTAATTATAGTAAAAAGGGATGTTTTAAACAGGAATGCCAAAGCAAGAAGAATTAGAGAAAGATACCCAGCAAGGAAAGTACTACAATCGATAAGTGTCACGAATTAACCAACGGCAGGCTGCAGGGCAGACGGCCGTATGTAGGGACGCGGGGGCGTCCCGGGCCAATCATTTAGACAACTAGGCGGACCAGTCAGAGATAGGCAAAGGTGCTAAGGTGCCAATATCGCTGAGCACTCTGCAGGATGTAAGCGATCAGAGTAATTAGGGGCATATTACGATAAGCACCTGGGTGTTTATCCGAATCGAAGCACTAAGCATCTAAGAAGATAGCTAGTATATAGTCACTCGTTCTAGAGGACTCTGGGAGTTCTCCAGTAAGCAATACAAGCAATAGCCTACACCTATTGTATAGATATTGCGGCAAGCATTGTTATAAACCTTTTGGCTTTACCGAGACCTATAGTCCGACTAGCAGTTACCTTCGACCGGCGAACCCTTTTAGAGGTAGGACTGCCTATGGTTTCGTTATAATAAGTTAACCTATATAGTTAAAATAGCTGTAGCAAGCTATACTGAGGACGATTTCGATAACGCTATCGACTAGAGTATAGCCAAAAGAAGCATTGACAATTCCTTACAGTTAGAAAATAATAGCCCTAGAGTTATATTCAAAGAACCTATTATAGGCTATAATATTACCGCTGCTATAGTATCGCAACTCGTAGAAGATTAGAGCTTCTAGTTAACTTAGAATAAAGAAGGTCAATAGAGAATATATGTCATGAACTAACCTGCAAAGGCCGGTGGAGGCCGACCTGCGTGGTCGACGGGCGGCGCCTATGTCCAATCATTGCGAGTCAGAAAGGACCAATGAGGATTAGGGAGATATGACGAAACCATAGGCAGTCCTGCCTCTGAAAGGGTTCGCCGGTCGAAGGTAACTGCTAGTCGGACTGTAGGTCTCGGTAAAGCCAAAAGGTTCATAACAATACTGGCCGCAATATCTACACAATAGGTAGAGGCTATTGCTTGTATTGCTTACTGGAGAACTCCTAGAGTCCTCTAGAACAAGTGACTATATACTAGCTATCTTCTTGGGTGCTTAGTGCTTCGATTCGGATAAGCACCCAGGTGCTTATCGTAATATGCCCCTAATTACTTTGATCGCTTACATCCTATAGAGTGCTTAGCGATACTGGTACCTTAGCACCTTTGCCTATCTCTGACTAGTCCGCCTAGTTGTTCTAATAATTGGCTCGGGACGCCCCTACGTCCCTATATACGGCCGTCTACCCTGTAGCCTGCCGTTGGTTAATTCGTGATACGATGCCCCTCCTCTAGGGTCGATGCCCCGATGACTAAGTTCCTAAAATAACCAATAGTCCTGGCTATCTTCCTTATATCTTGCCCTAGTAGGTTCTTCCCTCCTGTATTGTCGCTATTATACCTGACCGTATAGAGAAAAAGAAACGAACAAGTTCTGACTGTCGTTGCGATCAGGTGTACTTCCTTATGCGGACCGGTGTTATTATGCCTTCCTATACCTATTGCCACGAGAAGAAACTGGAGTATGTCGCTTATAAGCGTTACAAGTGTTGCCTTCCTTGCGTCAAGGCAGGTCGTTCTAATTATAATATCTATGGCGTAGATTGTAAGTCTGCCGCTTTTCTTTGCTCTTATGCTTGCTGACTTCCGTAGTACGTCCTTTTATTAAGGAAAAGGAGCGTTTTAATGCCAAGTGTCGGGCTACGATTAGCAAATTGCTTCGTTTGGAGCAACAGTCGTAGGCGTTAGAAGAGAGGGCTTATATAGCCTTCCGTCGGGAGTCTTATTTGTTGGACGAGGAGGAGAAGGAGGAGTCGGAGCAGGCCTCCTTGGCCGCTCTGCCTTCGGATGGCACGGTAGCAGCGTCCTTAGGTACTACCGCTTCGCCTTCTTTGTCGGATTTCCTTGTTCCGGGTCCTGCTTTATCAGATCACTTGGATCCCAACTGGTTGTCGGACGTCCCTATAGACTAGAGTATTATTGGGGGAGGTCCCTTGTTCCTAGCTCTATAGGGTTCTGGTAGTAGAAGCCCTCCGGTTTCTTAAGGTAGTAGGGGTTTATAGCTGGTAGTAGCTAGGTCTTGGTCGCACCTACTATATAGGTGTTATCTATAGTGTTGCTGCCTATAGCTGTTCTTTCCTGCCTAGAGTTCTTAATCTAATTCTTATTGTCTGTCTTCTAACAAATGAAATGGCTTAGTAGTATAGCTTGGTTATTACACCCGAGTAAATGCTCTAGGGGATTGTAGGTTCGAATCCTACCTACGCCTTATCTTTACGTAAGTGGCTTTACCGTAGGGTAAGGCGACTTATACGGAGATTTTTACGCCTTTCTCCTAGCCGATCTAGGTTTTACCGGTAGAATTCTCTTAGTTTTTCTACGCAGTTAAGATGCTCTGCTGGTTCCTATAAGTTGTCTTCTGGTCCGAAGTCGAGCTATTTAATTAAGTATTCTAGCCTTCCGTTAGTTATTTATAAATCCAAGATCTCTTCAATATCCTATTCTTCTTTTTTGTCCTCGGCTTTAATATCCTTTATAAGCCGTACGTTCTTAGGTACTAGTTCAAGGAGCAAGATATAGAAGACGTTAGTATATAGCTTTATTATTAGTAGTAACAAAAGTCGGTAGTTGGATGTCGAAATTTTTGCGTTAATCTTAAACGGTCCAATCTTCCTAAAGTCGAGTTTCTAGCTTGGCCGTTTCGTTCTTAAATTCCGAGAAATAAGGTAGACTATGTCTCCTCTCTTAAGGCGAGGTCCCTCGAGCCGATATTTATCGTAGTACTCCTTTATCCTAAGCCTAACGAACTTAAGTTTTTCCTTTAGTATTGCATATAGCGCATGTATTTTTTCTACCTTGACTTTTGCCCTAGGTACCGTAATATCTGGTCCCTAGTGTAAATCTGCTTTATAACCAAAGTTCGCGAAGAATAGAGTAACCTTTATTGTCTCTATTGGTATAGTATTGTATGCAAGCTATGCCGCTGGCAATAGATCAACCTAGTCGTCCTATTAGAAGTTGACAAACGTTCTAAGGTATTGTTTGACGATCTAGTTAAGCCTTTCTATCTGGCCATCTGTCTGCGGGTAATATGCTATTGAAAGCTTACTTTCTATACCCAAACGCTTTATAAGCGCTTGCCAAAACTTTAATGCGAACTTGGTGTCTCGGTCTATGATCTATTCTCCTGGCCATCTATATATTAATACGATATACCGGTAGATTATATCCGCAAGTTGCTCTGCTAACTATAATTCTTTGTACGGGAAGAAGTAGCTCCACTTGGTGAGTCGGTCAACTATAGTAAGGATGCTATCGTACTTTGTTCCGGTAGTTAAGTCCTTCGAAAGTAGTAGTTTGGTAATGAAGTCTATCGTCACCGAGTTCCATAGTCGTTCTGCAACTAGCAATAGCTCTAAGAGCCTGTATAGTTTGTGCCGTACTAACTTGCTTCGATTGCAAAGGTCACATTCCTATATAATGTTCTTGACTCTGGTCCTAAGTCCTAGGAAGTCGTAGTGCTGCCGAACCTTGGCGACTGTTTTGGCGATTCCTATATATCCTCCAAGCTTCGACTTGTAGATCGTTTTGATCAGTTCTATTTGATCCTATAGTATAACGTAGGCCTTGCCGTTGTACTATAACGCTCTATCTCTCTAAGAGATACCTGCCTTTTTGTCTGCGTCGTTCTGCTTTCGGTCCTAGAAGTCTTTTCCTAGCCGTTCTTCCCTGAAGACTATATAACATTCTTCAAACGGTTGCAGAGGTTATATATCGGGATCTTCGTCCTATTGTAGAAGCATGTCGTCGTCGAGATCTTCTATCGGTTAGGGAGCGTACCGTAGGGAACCGTCTGGCTATTGTTAAAGTAATAGTAGCAAGGCTTCTGGTTGGCTATTCCTAAAGTGGTCTGGCCTTCTACTTAATGCATCTGCTCGTATGTTTTCCGAGCCTTTTTTATAATTGATTTTAAAGTTGAACTCCGAAAGGAATTCTGCCTATCGAGTCTGTCGTCCATTTAATACTTTAGTAGTAATAAAGTACCGCAAGTTCTTATAGTCTATATAGACCTGAACTTTATAGGTTGTACTACTAAGGTATAGTCTCTATTCTTAAAAAGCTTCGATAATAGCTAGTAACTCCTTGTTGTAAATTAGGTAGTTAAGCCATAGTCCTTCGAGCTTCTTTGAAAAGAATATAACTAGGTGTAACTTTCTATATTTATTGTGCTAACCTAGCTATCCCCCGATCGTATAATCGGATGCGTCGGTTTCTACCTTAAATGGCTTCTATAGGTCTAGTAACTAGAGCACTAGGTCGGCGATAATCGTATTATAGATCTTCTAAAATACTTACTTATGCTCGGCTTCCTACCGGAACTCGATATCTTTCTTTGTAAGTTCGTACAATAGTTATATAAGGTCGCTAAAGTTCCTGATAAACATTCGGTAGAAGTTGGCGAATCCGATAAATCCTTATACTTCTATCGTCGTTGTTAGTCGTAGCTATATTTTGATTGCTTTAATCTTCGCTAGCTCTATCCTAATTCTACTAGGCGAAATTTTATATCTAAGAAACACTGTTTTCGTAATGTAGAATTCGCTCTTGTCCTTATTAACTAATAATTTATATTCGTAGAGTGTATCTAGTACTGCCTTTATATGTTTCTTATATTCCTCGAGTATCTTAGAGAAGATAAGGATATTATCTAGGTAATAGACCGCGAATCGGTTGAGGAATAGGCGGATCGTATAGTTAACGACCGCCTAGAAGGTTGCTAGTGCGTTCGTTAATCTAAAGGGCATTATAAGGTACTTATAATGGCCGTAGGGAGTATAAAACGCTATCTTCTATTTATCCCCTTCCTTAATGCAAATATAGGCGTATACTATTAGAAGGTCGAGGCAAGTAAAGTAATAGGCGCCTGCTAACTAGTCTCGAAGTCGCAAGATAAATGGTAGGGGGTACCAGTTCTTTACCGTCTTTCCGTTCAGCTGTCAGTAGTCTATATACATCCGAAGCTTCCTATCCTTTTTTGGAACGAATAGGACCGGGTAGCCTGCCGGTGATATTGATAGTCTAATATACTCTATCTTAAGGTTCTTCTCAAGATATCTCCTTAACTTAGTATCTTGCTTTTCGTTAGTAACTGCCACCTCTTCCTAAGTCCATAGTGCGCTGCCTGGCATTGTCTGTCTCTTGCGGTAGATCTATAGGGGCCGCCTTCTAGGGCGATCTTCCCTGTTGCGATCCATCGTCTGCGCTTTCTATCTGGTTAGTCGGATACGGCCTTTGTTCTCGAGGTCGTAGGTGGCCACCTCCCTTCCAACTGATATCTAGGTCGTAATCTCAATACTATAGGCATCCTAGAATTATGTCCTTCTTAGGCCCTATTTTAATAATATCAAATACTACTTTAGTGGTTTTTCCTTCTACTATAATCTTAAGTAGTTCTATTTCCTATTGTACCTATTAGGTATCGAATGGTCCTTTAACGATATACTATTTCTTCTTAGTCCTCTATAGGATCCTAAGTCGGTTGACAAGTGCTGGCAAGATAAGGTCGACCTAAGATCCTCTATCCACCAATGCAAGTGTTTGGAATTTTTTCCAGTATGCTATAACTTAGATTCTATTATCGGGTCTGTCGTTCTGAATCGCAGCGGCTTCCTTTTCGCTTGCTGGGAGATCGTAGATCCTTCTCCTTACGTGGTTCTTCCTACACCTGTAGATCTGTCGTTATTATAATGGATCTAGTGGTTTCCGGGCCCCTCGGGGGGCCCTAAGCCGTTTCCTAACTCCGTCTGAGCATCTAGATAGGCATCCCCATCCTCCTATGCCTCTTGGTCACCGTCCTACGGTCCAAGTCTCGGGAGTTTATTGAATAGTTATCGAATTTCGTTGGCTCTTTTTTCTTCCTATCGCCGTTCGCAAGGTGTTATCTATCTTCGTATATATATCTTGCGTTCGTAATGCTCTTAGAGCTTTGCTTATATATGGATTAAGCAATCCTGGCTTTTGCACTGTCGAGTGCTATTAGGCTACCGCTAGCAGTCTTCTGGCTAGGTTCTTCGTGGTATCACCCTGATTCTATCATATACGTTAGTCCTCTCGACCTTCTATAGGAACTAGTCGGCGCCGGTCCCTGCATCCTAAATCTATAAAACTGGTCGGGGTTCTCTATTTCGGTCGGTAGGCCTATTAGGCCAAAAGTCGTTATCAAATTTTGATCGGAAATAGTATCAGCATTCGTACGCAATATACTAGAACCATAGGATATAGAAGTAGTTATATCGCTAGGGTTGGAGTCGAAGTACGTCTTGTTTATAGGGTTCGTAGCGTAGGCTAAATCCAATCTAGATGCATACCGTATTGCTATCCCTAACGCTATTATACGGCTTCTTGTTCCAAAAAGTATCCTAATCTTATAGTTCCTATCCTTTAAGCCTTCGCTAGTTTTAGGCCTTCTAATACTCGGTCTTGGGGTTCTTAATTCTACTATTCCTCCTATCCTAGCCTTAGTCCTATACCGGTCCATCCCACCAGTTCGAGTAGTGCTCTTCCTAGACCCTGGCCAGCTTGGCCTTGGCGAATTCTAGTTGGCTCATGGCCTAAGCCTTCTCTTCCGCGAGTCTTCGAATGGCCGTTCGAAGCTCGGCTTGTTCCTCCTCGGCCTCCTGGAGGCGTTAAGCGAGAAAGATAGGGTTCGGGCCAATAGGTTTATTATCCGATTGTCGTATTCTCTATTGACCTTCTTCATTCTAAGTTAATTAGAAGCCCCAATCTTCTGCGAGTTATAATACTATAGCGGCAGCGATATTATAGCCTATGATAGGTTCTTCAAACGTGACGTAGGGGCTATTGCTTCCTGACCGAGAAGGAGTCGTCGATGCTCCCTTCAGCCATACCCCGGTCGATAGCGTCGTCGAAGTCATCCTTAGTGTAGCTTGCTATAGCTACTTTAACTACGCGGGTTGACTTGTCGATCGTGGCGTTTTCCTTTCTAGGCACCTGCTTCTAGTTCTTTTTGCTACGGCACTCCCGCTTAAAGTGCCCTTTCTTGCCGCAGTTGAAATAGGTGACTTAGGACTTATTCTTTCGTCCCTTATCCTTACGCTAGGTAGCGTTAATATCTATAGGACTAGTATAGGTGCCGTATAACGTGCTAAGGTACTATCGCTTCTTTTTGTTGTTGGCCTTGACAAATGTAGGCTGCATTCTACGTCCTTTATGCTGCTGGCGTCTGGCGTAAATTCGGTCGTCGATATAGATAGCTATAGCGATATATTTATCAAGCGTATCGGGTCGGTCTTTCTAGTATAGTTCGTCCTTGACTTCTTCCTTTAAGCTATTGTAGAATAACTATATAAGACCTTTATTATTGATCTTATACCGAAGTAAATCCTAGCGGAACTATATAGCGTAGGCAGCTACCGACTTTGTCTGCCTTAGGCGTACAAATCGCTCCTATATATAGAGCTTCTTATTATGGTCTCCGAATACCTTCTGGATCTCTTTTTCGAATTTATTATATAACTTGAAAATTTCAATGGTAAAGTCGTCCTAGGCGTCTATACTATTAGTTAGCCAATCCTTAAGGGTGGGTTCAAACTATCGAAGTACCTTCCCCTCGAGCCGTAAGGAGATGAATATAACTTTGGCGGATTCGTCCGCGAACTTGTCTGGGTAGTATTTAAGATAGGCCCTTATAGATATAAGGAATCTAGTGAGTCCTTCCTTGTCGCCTCTGTACTTAGGGGGTGCTTCGAGTTTGGCTTTGTCCTTAGGCTTGCTATTATAGGCCTCGTTGACGAGTTGCTGTATATTGCCGTTTTCAGCCTCGAGCTAGGCGATTTTGGCGTTAAGAGTGTCGAGAGCCGTAGTATTATCTTTCTAGGCCTCGAGTTAGGCAATCCTTATATTGAGGGCTTCAATAACCTGCTGCATCTGCTGTATAGTCGCGGTCTGGCCCTGAGATCCTGGGGTGCTAGGTATCTAAGGCGCTATGATGGTTGATGTTGCCTTCGATCTGAACCGTGATAGAGTCAAAGGGAGTGAGCAACGTATGACGAAACCATAGGCAGTCCTGCCTTTGAAAGGGTTCGCCGGTCGAAGGTAACTGCTGGTCGGACTATAGGTCTCGGTAAAGCCAAAAGGTTTACAACAATGCTGGCCGCAATGTCTGCACAATAGGTAGAGGCTATTGCTTGTATTGCTCACTGGAGAACTCCCAGAGTCCTCTAGAACGAGTGACTATATACTAGCTATCTTCTTGGGTGCTCAGTGCTTCGATTCGGATAAGCACCCAGGTGCTTATCGTGATATGCCCCTAATTACTCTGATCGCTTATATCCTGCAGAGTGCTTAGCGACACTGGCACCTTAGCACCTTTGCCTGTCTCTGACTGGTCCGCCTAGTTGTTCCAATGATTGGCTCGGGACGCCCCCGCGTCCCTACATACGGCCGTCTGCCCTGCAGCCTGCCGTTGGTTAATTCGTGACAGGAGATTAGTGTCGTGTAATGTTCTGAGCCACTGACTTAGAACTTCTCTTTCCTTTCCTCAACCTTAGATTCACGAAATAGAATGACAACAACAGCCGGCTTGACCCTGTTCAATTGCATCTAATCATCACATCACACTGAAGTAAGTCCTAGCGGAACTATATAGTATAGGTAGCTGCTGACTTTGTCTATCTTAGGCGTATAAGTCGCTCTTATATATAGAGCTTCTTATTATAATCTCTAAATACCTTCTAGATTTCCTACTTAAACTTATTATATGATTTGGAAGCTTCTATAGTAAAGTCCTTTGAAGTATCCGTATTATTTGTTAGCTAATCTTTAAGGGTTACTTTAAACCATCGAAGTATCTTCCCCTCAAGCCTTGAGGAGATAAATATAACCTTGGCGGATTCATCTGTAAACTTATCTGGGTAGTATTTAAGGTAGGCCTTTATATACATAAGGAATCTAGGAAGTCCTTCCTTATCATCTTTATACTTAAGGGGTGCTTCGAGTTTGGCCTTGTCCTTAGGCTTGCCGTTATAGGCCTTATTAACGAGTTAACGTATCTTATAAGCGAGCAGGACATATAAGCGAGCGGGACACTCTACACCACTCTATAATAACTATCCTCAATTGCAATATGTGACGAAACCACAGGCAGTCCTGCCTCTGAAACGGTTCGCTGGTTGAAGATATTTGCTGGTCGGACTGTAGGTCTCGGTGAAGCCAAAAGGTTCACAACAATGCTAGTCGCAATGTCTGCACAATAGGTAGAGGCTATTGCTTATAATTGCTCACTGAGGAAGCTAGCTATCTGAATGAGTGGCAGAATGGTAGAACTATATACAGCTTCCTCCCCTAGGTATCCTGTACCTAGATCTCTGGAACATTTGGAACAATTGTTGTTCTCATTGTTCCATCTGGAACAACGTTCCTTGGCGTTGTTCCCCAGGAACAATCGTCCTTGGCATTCTTCCTGATCTTCCCAATCCTCATTAGTCCTTTCCGACTCGTAATGATTGGACGCGGGCACTGCCCGTCGACTATGCAGGTCGGCCCCCACCGGCCTCTGCAGGTTAGTTCATGACCATAAGCCGAGCTTCGATCACTCGTTTAAAGACTCGTAGAAGAAAAGGCTTAGGCTATAAGCCAGTTGGAATTCGCCAAAGCTAAGTTGATCAGGGTCTAAGAAGAATACGACTCGAATATATAGAATGGACTAATATAGGGCGTAGGCTAGGAAGGGCAACTTAACAGCATCAAGAACCTTAAGATAGAATTCCAGAGAGCCTAAAACCGGCATAGGCTTAAGGGATAAGAACTATAAGATTAGAATGACTTTTGGAACAAAAGGCTATATAATGGCGTTAGGGATAGCAATACAGTGCGTGTTTGGATTGGGTTTAACCCACGCTACGAACCTTATATAACGTATCTTATAAGCGAGATGAACATATAAGCGAATTGAACACTTGCCACCATACTATAATAGTCAACTACAATTACAACATAATAACATTATGAACCTACTATAATTACATCAGAAACGGCTGAATCAGATGCTTCTGCAACCTCCTGACAAGTGCGGGCATTATAACCAGGCTTGCCGCATACACTATAGCACCGAACCTTCGTACAAGCCCTCCCTACACCACCACCATCCGGCTGTATTTCTTATGCTACCTCCCCAACTATAGCCTTTTGGTCTAGTAGTTCCTTTGCATCTTGTACTGCAAGTAATCCTCCAAGCTATATACGCGTTCTTTTGGCTCTTCGGCGCTTGCTTAGCGCCTTGTTGGCCTTGCAGAGCGAAGACACCTCTACCTAAAGGAGGGCCACCTAGTGCATTATAGCCATTGTATCCTTGGTAAGCTAGTCTATAGCAGCTAACATCGAAGTCGGGGAGCTATTTTGATGGTTGGCAATACGAGTCTTGATGAGCGTTAACTATAAGTTGGCTTCTTAGAGGTTATATAGTGTCTAGAAGACCTAGGATTATATAATGTCTGGCTATAAGGTTAGGGGTGTTAGTATACGAAGCTTGATATCTAGCTTTAAAAATACCCTCTCTAGATCATATAGTATAACGCTAGGCTCTATAAAACCGCCCTATATATTCCTCTTAGTAATAGATATAAAGAAGGCTATGCGAAAGGTATAAAGGAACTCGAGCTTGCTTATATAGCTAATATACGTATGTATTAAGTCCTCGATCTGGCGACCGTACACCTGCTTTAACGGCCTAAAGCAGCCAATATCAAGTGGTTTCACGGGGCCAATGTTGGGGGTATGATACTGCAATTGTGGTTGCACGAGGAAAGGAAGATGGGAGACGCAGTGGCGCAGGGAAGTCCCTATGGGCGGCCACTGCGCACAGACCGCATCTGTGGACCCAATCAGAGCTCTACATCCCTCGTGCTCTACTCTAACCCTAACCCTACATGGCACGGGTTATGCCCGTGACAAGTGGCTAGAGGAGGTAGGAGGAATATAGAGGTATATAGAGTATAATAATATTATTCTACTAGTAGTAGAGCTCGAACTTGGTTAAATGGTAGCTTTCATAGCTATCAAGGATCAACAACCGGTATTTACCCTTTATCCGAGGTGCTATATAATAGTCGAAGTGCTTGATCCAATCAAGGCCTATTATATTGATAGTCCAGCCATTGTGGGTGGGTATAATACATTAGTCGGCCGGGAGGTTATACTCGGTATACTAGTTGGCAAGGTAGTATTGCGCCGCTAAGATAATAAATAGAGGGATAGCCCAGCTAAGGGTATTAACGCCTTGGATTACGGTCGCCCATTCGCGGTTGCCAGGCTAGGCTAGCTTTGCCTTGCTACGGCCATCTGAGGTTATTACTACCATGCCTGGGAAGATAATGCCTATTATAAACCTAGCCTTATCGAAGTTATAGATATTGTTATCTACGATATTATACTTGGCCTTAACGTTCTATATAAGGGTAAACCATTCGCCAATGACCTTTGGATCCTTATATTTGGCCCTCTAGTAATCGTATCTACATATATAACGCATCTAGAGCTCTAGCTAGCATTTGATAAAGTTATACGCCCAGAGCTTGCCAACAGGGGGCGTATCGCGTACATATAGCAGTTGGTTGGCTATATCTTCTATACCACGTAGTCTCGGGGGAAAGGCTCGCTTAGATAGCTCAATTATATACTGAACAAGAGCCTTCTCTTCGGAATCGGTAAGCCGGCGCGAGTTGGGCGTAGTATCGCGTCGTGCAGGTTTGCCATCGCGTCGGTTTCGGATGGTATTGACTATAACGTTATAGATCTTTGCTGCGGCGCAAAGACTAAGTTTTGCGTTCTTTTGAATAGCTTCAAGGGCTAAGATTACCCTAGACTCTCTTGAAGCCGAAGACATCGTTGGGTGTAGAGGACTTTGGTTGTAAAAAAAATTGATATCAGCTGGTACATGTGCCGCTGCGTATAACTCGTGCGAGGTTCCGTTGCGGGGGTTATACATAGTATGTACCGAGGTGCAGAGCTCAAACTGTAACAAAACCTAAAAGCCTAGTACTATGGATACACCCATGCGGCGATTATTAACAATCTACGGATTGCGTTAAACCATAAACCCCATTTGCTTTGAAACTTGTAGGCGACCCCTGTCGTTCGCCTCCTCCCTTGTTGAGCCAGCCAGAAACAATGGAACGTTCGTTCAATCATTGACAAGCAGTCGTCCAGCATCCTGCCCCACGCAGCACATCCGGCGCCCATTCACTCGATCCTAAACGAAGGCGTCACTCGCCATGCAAGCGAAGCAAACAAGGGCCACGGCACTAGATATCCCACAACACCACGTATCTACTGATTCTACTAGTACTCACCATGGCTTGGACTGCGGACAAAGTCCCGCTCCCCGAACTCGTCGAGGCGCCAGATGAAATCGACCAAAAAGCGCACCAGCTCGCCGAGCTCACCGGGCAGAGCAAACACTTCATCGTCTTTACTGGGGCCGGCGTGTCAACGTCAGCCGGCATTCCCGACTTCCGAGGTCCCGACGGCGCATGGACACTGCAAGCCCAGGGCAGGCAGCGGACCACTGCCGCCGTCAGCACCCTGCAGGCCATCCCAACCGCCACGCACATGGCTCTCGTTGAGCTTCAGAACCCGGGCTTGTTGAAGTACCTCGTCAGCCAGAACTGCGACGGGCTGCACCGGAGAAGTGGCATCTTGCCGGTAAGGGGACCAACAAACAACCCACTGCAATGCCCCAATCCCTTGGCAGTCTTTATCTAACCGCGTGCCACGAAAGGACAAAATCTCGGAGCTGCACGGCAACAACAACCGCGAGATCTGCAAGGACTGCGGCAAGGAGTATATCCGCGGTAAGTTCCCACCGGGTTTCCCTCGACTTACTGTTACGGCCCGATAAACCCCCTCTGAGACTCATTCAACCGGCGAATTCCCCACAGACTTCCACGCCGTAGCAGACTACACCAAGTCGATCCACGACCACCGCACCGGCCGCAAGTGCACCCGCTGCGGCAGCCGGCTGCACGACACGATCATCAACTTCACCGAGCCGCTCCCGGAGTAGGAGTTGGCGCTCGCCTACGACCATGCCAAGAAGGCCGATCTCTGTCTTGTGCTGGGTTCCTCGCTGACCGTGTCGCCCGCGAACGACATCCCAGAAGTCGTCGGCAAGCGGCGGCGACAGCGGGGCGGCGCCAAGCTGGCCATTTGCAACCTGCAGGCTACCCCGCTGGATGCCATGGCCGACCTGCGGGTGCACGCGAAGACGGATGAGTTGATGGTGAAGGTGATGCGCAAGTTGGGCATGGGAATCCCGGGGTTTGCCCTGCAGCGGCGGCTTTCTGTGCATGTGGAGGCGGCCGGGGAGCGCAGGGCCGGGATAGGTAAGGTCATTGTGTCGGGTGTTGATGTTGACGGGACGCCTGTTTCGTTCTTGAGGTCGGTGAAGTTGGTCAATAATCAGCAGGTGCTGAAGACGGAGCCGTTTGAGTTTGATGTGCGGGGCCTTGGGGGTGGGCTGGAGCTGAAGATGGAGCTTGAGTTCATGGGTCATTACGGCGAGCCGAATCTGGAGGTGGTGCACCTTGTCCAGGAGGCTGAGATTGGGATTCCGGTGGTGTATGTTTTGGAGTACAATCCGTCTAACGGGGAGCGGAAAGCCGGACGGCAGTACACTACTCACATGGTAGCTCACAGCCATGAATACAGGGGAGGTGTACCATGTCTGGTCTAATGGATTTAGTGTTGGGGCCTGGGAACAGGTTAGGCTCCCCGGGAACCGAGACGAGATTCACGAGAACTGGGAATTTGTCCATCTCAGAGTGTCAAAGTATCATTATGAGACGGAATTCATCGTGGCAAGAATTGACAGACCGAATAAGCTGTAAATGTTTGTTAGCAACTCCAGAGCCGTTCTTGCGTTGGTTGCCATTGCTCCGTACACTGCAGTAAACAGTATTGCAAGTATGCGATGCCGTCTCCATCATGATGATGTCATGCACCATGCGCATAAAGGAATGATGTCAAGGTGCTGGCGTGACGCTCGTATGTTGCAGTGACAAATTGTCATCAACGGTTGATATTTCCACCCGGCGGTGTTTTCATCGCCGTTTCACTCATACCAGACCGCGAATATCAGCAACGGGACTCGTAATCATTAGACGAAGTCATCAGGCACGACGACCACGAACAGTACCTAGCAATCAGTCAACATCAACATGGCCCGTGGAGGCAGCCATATGACCAGGGTTCACTACAAGGGCCAGCACGATGACTACTTCGTCTTCCTCGACAGCCTCGAAGACTACAGGAGATGGCTGAAGGACTCGTCGATCCCGCTGGCACAAGTGGTGCGGACCTTCCAGATTTTCTGCACACACAAGCACGGCAATCAGGGAATGTACGACCACGCGTCGAATGCCGACCTCGACAACGAGTTTGGCACGCACGTGGATGTGGAGGTTCTGGAGAAGGTTCTGCGTGCGGGCACAGTCACCGAGGGTCATGTAAGTTGCCGTTGATTCGCAGAGGTCTGATATGGCAGCGGTTGGTTTTGACACCACATACAGATGGTTGAGCGCAATGGTTTCAGAAATGATGCGAACGGCGGCTGGACAACGGGCATTGGTAACCAAGGGGGTGGCCATCAGTGAAGTGCGGGCAGCCTGTGGTGTTAAGCAGTCGTTTGGATGAGATAGTAACAGGGATGCGTATCGAATGCTTACTCTTTTTCGTGGTACAGCTGCGGTTTGATTGACTACTGACAGACGCGACAAACGAACAAAAGCAAAATTCCATGCACCAGGGGTGCGGAGAAGGTTTCATGAAGGACCTAACTTGAAGTCCAAACACGAAGCCGACCCTCGGCTCGGGCATCCTCGGAACTTGAGCACTGCAAAACAACCGACTTCGAGCAGAACAAGGCACACAGCATCTACAAACCAAATCGTGAAACTACCAAATCTACATGGAGACAAGCAAGATCCAGCCAAAGAAGAAAGCGCCCAACTTGCAAACAGCTCCATCCATACCATCGCTCAAGCCAACAGCTCGTCCACATTCGTCACCCGTCCCTCGACAATAGCCCTCACAATCCCCAGGTACGACTGCAACAACCCCTCGGCCTCCTCCTTGGTCCCGAACAACCTCGTATCGTACCCCATCTTGAGCTTGTGCCCGCCGTCGACATCCTTGAACACCTCGAACATGATGGCGTAGTTGACATACATGGTGACCTTGCTCATGGCCATGACGATCCAGCGCATGTGGTCCTGTTCGGCGGGCGCGGGCTCGAACGGCTGGAACAGGAAGAGCGTCTTGGCCGCGTGGGCGACCCTCCGGTCGTCGTCGTGGTAGATGTCGCCCAGCGAGACGGACCCGTTCTCGGTCATGGCCCAGAAGCCGGCCTGCGTGTCGCGGAGGAGGGTTTGGATGGTTGTTCTTGTTATGGAACTGTTGTTGGCGGCGATGCGCGCGCGGAAGGGCAGGAAGTTGGCGCACGTGCCCGGGATCAGCTGCGGCTCGTCCAGGTCCACGTTGCGGCCCGTCAGCAGGTAGTCGTAGGTCACGTCGTCCGGGGAATTGCTTAGTCTAGCTAACAGGAGCGTGTAGGCCGCCTGGAAGACGATGCTGGCCGTCACGCCCGCGGACTGCGCGAATGCGTTGACGGGGAGACTGGTCCTGGCCACGGCGACGGCGCTGACCTTGGGGTCGGCGATGTGCGCCGGGAAGGAGAAGCGGTTGCCCGCGAGCGTGGACTTCCAGAAGGCGAGCATGGGCGCGCGGAGGTGCGGCTGGTTGGTGTGCTCGACAAAGGCCTTGAACGGGGTGGGCGATACGGGAAAGGGGCGGCCGTCGCGCAGGGCGGAGAACTGGTCGTCGAAGATGCGCAGCAACGTGCCGTCGTACATGGCGTGGTCGAGCTTGGTGACGAGGTCCATGGCCCCGTCGGCGTACCGGAGCACCAGGTAGCGGACGAAGGGCCGGCCGATGGCGAAGCGCTGCTCCCAGTGCGCGGCGATCAGCCTGTTCTTTGCCTCGGCGTCGGCGTGGTGGCAATCGATCACCGCCAGGTCCACGACGGGCTCCTTGAGGATGATCTGCACCCAGCTGAGGGGGTCCGCGTCGTCCTGCTTCATGTACATGGCGCGCAGGATCTGGTTGGCCCGGGTGAGCTCGCGCGTGAGGTCGATCCAGCGGTCGAGGTCGAAGCCTGCGGGCAGCGGTCGCACCGTCATCAGCATCCAGAACTGGTCTGGACTGTGTCCCTGCGTGAGGAACTCGACCTGGCCCGGTCCGCAGGGGTAGATGTCCTCGATGTCGTCGTCGGACAGGCCAGCCGCCCGCAGCCTGTCCCAAACCACCTGGCTCACCTCGAAGTGGAGCGTCTGGACGGATGCCGATGCCGTCTTGGCCGGCTTGATGTGCTGGGCCTGTTCCCGGAGAGACGGGTGTGCGACGATGTCGTTGACCGACAGAGACAGGTTCAGCTGGCGCAGCATGCTGGAGAGGTTGATGGCCGCGATCGAGTCGCCGCCGTAGGCGTAGAAAAGCGCGTCGGGGTCGATGCTCTCGGCGGGCACATCAAACAGCTCGGCCCAGGCATTCCGGAGCGTCCTCTCGTCGTTGGTCAACTCTGAATCGTGGACGAGCTGCCCGTTGTCTGTCGTCGGCCCCGTCGTCGTCGAGTAGCCCGCCAGCGTCTTGGGATCCAGTCCTTCGGCGAGCTTGGCCAGCTGCTTGCGGTCCACCTTGCCCGACGGGAGAAGCGGGAACTTTTGGAAGGGCAATAACACCTTGGGCATCATGTAGTGAGCCAGGGACTTGAGCCGGTCAAGGATCACAGCGGGATCGACGACAGCGGCCGCGTACATGCCGTGGCTGCTCTCTGGCTCGCTGTCGGGCTTGTCGACGGGCACGTAGTAGACCACAATCTGCTTCTTGCCCTGGACCTGGGCCGTACCGACCACGCAGGACTGCACGACATCGGCCGCCTGGGTCAGGATGGTGTTCTCAATTTCGCCGAGCTCGATGCGGAAGCCGTTCAGCTTGACCTGGCTGTCGCGACGACCCAGACACTCAATCTCCCCGGTCGGGAGCCAGCGGGCGTAGTCCCCGGTGCGGTAGAGGACCGAGCCGTCGGCTGTCTTCAGAAAGGCCTTGGCCGTGATGTCGGGACGGTTCACATAGCCGAGGGCTACCTGGGCACCGCTGACGCACAGTTCACCCACGGCGCCGTAGGGAACGGGAACCAGCGAGTCCGGTTGCAGAATGGACGCCTTGACAGCCTTCAACGGGTAGCCGATGCTTTTGATGTTGCCGTTGGGCACAACCTTGGACACGGTCATGAGGATCGTGGCTTCGGTGGGCCCTGCATCATACACATCCCCGGTTAAAAACAAGACGAAAAGAAGGCGAGGAACGGAAGGGACATACCGTATCCGTTGTACACGTCCATGCGCGTCGCCCACACACTGGCCGTCTCCGGCATGATGGGCTCGCCACAGACCAGCAGGGCCTTCAGCGAGGGCACCTGCTCCGGCGAGATCAGCTTGGCGATGGTGGGCGTGATCATCAGCTGCGTGACCCCGAAGGCGTTGACGCAGCCCGCGAGATCGGTCATCAGCGTATCCTGGTCGGCCATCGAGATGGTGCCGCCCGAGCCGAGCACGGTGAAGACGTCGAAGTAGGACGCGTCGAAGACGTAGTTGAGGAACCAGAGGACGTGCCAGGTGTCGTTGACGCCGCACGCCTCGATCATGCCCTCAGTCGAGGCCCCCACGGCGCTGTGATGCACCTGCACGCCCTTGGGCAGCCCCGTCGAACCACTCGTGTAGATGACATAGGCGAGGTCGTCCACCGACGGCCAGCGGGGCAGCTCTGCTGTGCTTCCGCTGGTGTCGAGCGTGTCGAGGTTCACTACCGTGCCAGCAAACGAGTCAAACACGTCGGCGTTGGCGTTATCCGTAATGGCGAGGGTGGCACCCACATCACGCACGATGAAGCTGTTCCGCTCCCGCGGGTTCTTAGGGTCGAGCGGCGTAAAGGCGGCGCCGGCCTTGAGCACGCCAAAGACGGCTGTAAGCGTGGCGATGGACTTGCGCATGCAGATGGGCACGATGTCGCCCCTCTTGACGCCCTTGGAGACGAGGCAGCGCGCCAGACGAGCGACGCCGTCGCCGAACTGCCTGTACGACAGCGTCCTCTTGCCTCCCGAACCGGACATGGACAGCTCCTGGAGCGCCGTCTTGTCGGGGTACCGCGCACTCATCCTGTCGACGAGCGTGACGGCGGTCAGGCCGGGCTCGGTGGGCCGCACCGTGGACAGCGAGTCCAGGAATGCGAGCTCTGCTTCCGAGGTGGCGGCGAGATCACCAATGTGCATGTCGGGACGATCCAGGAAGGCTTTCACCGTCTCGGCCACGCTGCTGAGCAGCAGGGTGGCTTTGGCATGGGGCAGGCGGGAGAGGAGACGGAGCCTCAGCCGGCCTCCGGACGCGGTCTCGGCTTCTAGCATGGTGTAGCCGTCCACGTAGCGCGGTTCGTGGGGCTCGCAGGGTACCAGGAGGGTATCTCCTGTCCCTGGCCCGGCTTCCTCGGCGTCCCTGTCCTTGATGAGCACGTTCACCAGTGTGTCGTAGTGCCCTGGCCTTAGCTTGGCCTCCCTGGTGATGTTGCGCAAGCCGAACTGGGCCTTTGGCGCGATATCCCACACATCGTCCTGGATCGCTCTCGTCAAGTCCAGCAGGGACATCTCTTCGCCCAGCCGGACCCGCAACGGGACCGTAGCGATAGTTGGCCCGGCCATGTCGAGGATGCCCTGCACGGGCACGTCGCGCCCGGACAGCGTGGCCCCAAACACCACGTCCTCCTGTCTGGCCCGGCGGGAGAGCACCACGGCCCACGCGGCGTAGATGAGCGGGCCGAGCGAGATGTTGCGCGACGCAGCCGTGGCCTGGATATCCCCATCGAGGACGGTATCGACGGCAACCTCTTCTGCTTCCTCCTTTTCTTCTCCTCCGTCGTCATCCTGGCCCAGCACCGTGGGCGGGGCGCCATCGAGCTTGTCGCGCCAGAACTGGCTGAGCTGGGCCTTCTCCTCTTGCTGTAGCCTCCGCGTGTACTGGACAAAGTCGGCGTAGCGCGGCCGCGAGAGGGGAACATCCCCGCGGAGCACGACCGACAGGTCGTCGACGAGGAAGCCGCTGGACCAGCCGTCGAACAGCGCGTGATGCATGGTGACGGCCAGTATGCTGTTGTCCTGCAGCATTGCAAAGTGCACAAAGTTGCCTGCCAGCGGCATCGACGGCTTTTTCAGGGCAGAGAAGGCATGGCTTGTCGTGTGTGGCAGGTCTTGCCAGGTTAGAGGGGGCGCCGTCTTCTTCACCACTTGGACGAAGGATGTCTTGTGCCGGACAAAGGTCGTCCGCAGCAGGGGAAGATGCGAAGCGAGACTCTCCAGCGCCGCTCGGACTCGCTGGGGTGAGATGCCCTGCTGCAGGCGGTAGTATCGGCGGTAGATGTAGGTTGATCCTCCGTGCAGGGAGTCGGCCAGGAACGTGTCTTGCAGTGAAGTGGTGGGATAGGCATCCTCGGCGTCGTCCGTCGCGCGTAGCAGGCTGGCGGCATTGGCTGGTAGCAGCGAGAACGGTGCGGCCTCCGAACGGGGTTTTGCATGTGACTGCTTTACGCTATCAAGCAGGGTACCGAGGGGGAGCCGGAGAATGTCGGCGACGGAGACTTCCAGCCCGTCTCGATAGGCTGCGGTTGAGGCATGGATGGCGTCTAGAGACGAACCCCCGAGCTCCTGGAATGTGCTGTTGCTGGCGCTAACTATGCGTGAGGCAGTCAACTTCAGGATGGCGGCTAGGATGTCACACAGTCTTCGTGCAGGCGCCGCGAGGAGGCGAGTCATGGCCTCCTCCTGCTCCCGCGAGACGACGACCCCGTTTTCGACGCCGTGGTAATTCTCGGTCGAGGAACGCAAGAGCGCCTCCCTCCCAATCCGCTGCACATGCTGCGTGAGCCGCGGGATGTCGACCTTGCCGTTCACGTTCAGGGGCAGGTCGTCCTGCGGGAGCCAGTAGGTGGGCATCATGTAGCTGGGGATCTGCCGCGCCAGGAGATCCTTGAGCTCGCTCCGCAGCCTCGGCCACCAGTCCCGGGTCGCACTAGCACTGCCCGTCTTGGCCACAATGACGGCCACGAGCGCCTTGCGTCCGTCATGCAGGTCGGCGGCGACGACGCTGCAGTTGAGGACGTCCGGGTGGGTCTGCAGGATGGTGTTGGAATCGCCCGGCTCGACCCGCTGGCCGTTGATCTTGACCTGGAAGTCGATCCGGCCGACCATCTCGATCGACCCGTCCTCGTGCGCCACCACCATGTCGCCCGTGCGATACAGGCGGCCGGGCCCGAACGGGTTGTCGATGAACGCCTCGGCCGTCTTCTCCGGGCGGTTGATGTAGCCAAGCGCCAGCTGGTCGCCGCCGAGGCAGAGCTCGCCGGGCACGAGCAGCGGGCTGAGCCGCGTGGTGCCGGGGACCAGCACAAACGAGCTGGTCGTGTCGCTCGGGCGGCCGATGTTCTGCGGGTTCTGGCCCAGCACCATCTCGCGCCGCCAGTTGACCTGCGTGTTTTCGCTCAGCCCGTAGGCGTTGAGCAGCTCCAGCTCGTTGACCCAGGTCGGGATCAGCGCCGGGTTAATCAGCTCGCCGGCCACCGTCATGCGCTTGAGGCACGGGACGGTGCCCGGCGTGAGGAGCAGCGCCGTCGAGGGCGTGACGTCGATGACGTTGATCTGCATCTGGTTGATGGTGCGTCCGATGTGCACCGTCAGGTTCTCCTTGCTGGCCAGGCACAGGCAGCCACCCTGCTTTAGTGTTGACCACACGGACCGCTGCGCCGCCGAGAAGACCGGGTTGTGGAACAGGAGTTGACGGAGAGCAGGCAGCGTCGGGAAGGCGGCAAGGCCGGACGTTGCCGAGGAGTGGACCTAGGCGAGATCGTATGGTAAGCGTTTCTCTTCTTTTCTTTTCGTTTTCTTTTTTATTCTCTTTTTTGACTGCGGTTACATAGCAAGCAGTAAGAATCTGAACTTACATGCAGCACGCCCTTGGGCTTCCCCGTCGACCCCGACGTGTAGATCACATAGACCGGGTCGCTGGGGTCACAGTCGCGGTCGAGGTTGCTGTCGTCGACATTGGCCCGGACGCACTCGGCCATGAGCTGCCCGATGACCACCTCCCGGACGGAGAACCGGCCGGCCGTGGTGTCGTCGACAATCACAAGCTGGGCGCCGACGTCTTGCACGATGAAGTCGTTTCGCTCCTGCGGCGTGTCGGGATCCATCGTCACATAGGCCGCTCCGGTCTTGAGAATGGCGACGAGGGAGATGATGAGCTCCGGCGACCTCTGCAGACACACGGGCACAAAGGAGCCGCGGCCCACGGGCAGCTGCCGCGCAACGCGGTTGGCGATGCGGTTCAGCTCGCCGTACGACAAGGGGCGGCCTCCCTCAAACTGCAGCGCGGGAGCATCCGGTGTCAGGAGGACTTGGCGCTCAAAGAGCTTGTGCACGTTGTCGCGCACGGGACGGGTCAGGGGCTTGCCCATCTCCAGCATCAGGTCGAGCTCCTCCGGCGCAATGATGTCGATCTCGCTCAGCAGGAAATTGGGGTGCTTGACCATCTCGGAGAGCGCCATCGTAACATGATCGAGCACAACTTTGATCTTGGCCGCCGGGATGGCCGTGTCGTGCTGCGCCGTAATGGACACCGCGTGGCTGATGTGCACCTTGATCGTCACTGGGTGCTGGTGCGTGGTGTCAGACCCGGCTGCCATAATACCGTCGTCGTCTCCTAGACAGATCGAAACCTTGAATTGGCTTGCCGAGATGGCGTCCAAGAGCTCTCGGCTAGTGTGGAAGGCATGTGAGGCCGACATCGTGTTGAGACGGTCGGCTTCCTTGATCGCCGAGGCTGCCGTGAGCTCGGGCATCATCTGGAACTTCAGGGGGTACTCGTGGTCGACATAGCCAATGGCCGAGTGGTGGCCCTCGATGGTCTTGTCCCGTCCCTCGGCCACGAAGGCGATATCGTGCACCTCGCTTCCCAAGTTGCAATGCCGGTCCAGCACCAGACCCACGGCGGCATACACGACGGCATGCTCCGACACGCCTAGCTGTTTCGCGCACCGCCTGAGCGACGACCCGCTGATGGCAACCGAGGTGTCCGACCCCGTGGTCTGGAAGGTGCCGTGTCGCTCTAACGGAAACGAGTGGAGCGCGAGGTCGGGAAGCGAGCCGAGCGTGGTGGCCCAGAACTTGGTTGCCGACTCGCGGCTTCCCGTCTTGTTGGTAATGCGGCTCAGGTACTGCGGAAGGGGCAGCCTCGGGGCTGGGATCCCGCCCGACAAAAGCACCACAAAGTCCCTCCATATGTGTCCGAGTGAGGTGCTATCGACGACCAGTTGCGGCACACAGAGCGTTACTCGGGGAGCTACACTGGTCCCTTCGACGATGAGCAGCGCCGGCCCCTCAAAGTCCGAGGTGTGGATGTGCTCCAAGTCAGCATCGAAGCCGCACCGCGCATTTCTGGGCCGCTTGAAGACGCAGAGAACGAAGCCGTTGACCGTCTCGTCCGTGATGATGGCTGTCCGCAGCGCATGGTGCTGCCGGGCCAGAGCATGCCACGCCTCGCAGACTTGGTCGTGGCTCTTGACGATGTCGGCCGATAGGTCCAGACGCATGTTGACGGCCCGTTTCGCAGCTTCCGAGTCGCGCCGCAGCACCTGCTCTTGGGCTGGTGTGCATCGGATCTCGCACTCAACGTCGCGGCTGTCGGGAGCCCATTGCGCACCGGACTCGCTATTGTGGCCGAGGTCCCGTAGGGCCGAGAGCGCTCTGGTGACTTGCTTGTAGGTGATGTGGAGCGACATGTTCTGCTTGGGCGCTCTGGCCGTTTGTTGAGGTGGTTTGCACACCTTCAGCCAGCCATCTTCGACTGCGGTATCAGTCATGGGCGTGGGAGACGGCGGCGTGGAAGGCGGAGTCGTCACCTGAGACGAAGCATTCGTGTCTCTCCCCGGATGGTTGCGCATGTTGTGGTGAATGGATAATGTCAAGTAATTGCGCCGTGGGTAGTGAACACGACGAGGCTGATCATGGCAAGGTGAGCTGGAAAAGATAGCAAATAAGGATGTCCAGATGTGTGTAAATACTAGGTACAATTATCTCATTCAGGGGCTCGGCTCCGGGTCAACTCGCGCTCTGCTACCGGGTTCATCAAGTCTGCCTATCTAAGCTACTAGTAGCCACCCCAGATGTCAAGGAGGTACCAAGCCGGTTCGTGCTGCTCTACGGCGAAGAATGCCCATCCACACGTACCCAGTAGGGCACACGCAAACATCTTCCAGTTGACACAATTCCTCTCAACCTACTAGTCGTCGTAACGATGTGACTGTAGTATACCTAACTAAGTCTCACAAGCCCCGTTAACAACCGCAGGGATACCTAGGTGAGGCCGAAAAAGACACTGAGAAGGAGCCGAGTCAAACTATACCAACCTAGGTAGATACCATGGTTCGGCCCTAAAAACGCCGTTTTAGGGACCTACCTTCCCGACCCGCACGAGTGCGACCTGTTTCGGTACCAAGTCCAGGGTGCTGGTCTACGAGAGACGGTTTGAGGCAGTTGCATGCGTATGCCAGTTTGGGAATCTTTTACTTGAACAGGGAATCTGCACGTCTGCGGCTCAGCCGCACCCATGAGGCGTGTACACCGTCGTACCCCGTACCACAACGATCTGACATGCATGCCGCCATCTCGGTGGGGGCACACACCACGGGGTAATCGGATTGGGCAATTAACCGGATCTACTAGTACTAGTTGCCCATCTTACCGACCTACAGTAGTAGTGTATGCACTACGCAGTGCGATGCTACGTCCCGGTCCGCTTACTTTCCCGTAACGGAAGCTCGGCTCCCGTGACGGCAACCTCGCCCTCGGCAAGAAGTTGTGCCTTTGCCGGGAACACTGACACCTGCATGTCGGCTTCCCTCTCTCCTGCTGCATGCACATGACAGATTGCGGATGTTGTGCACACAACCGGAATTCGGCGAAGCTGCCCAGCAGGGTGTTAGCAAAACGCAATCTTCTACGCGCTCTGCGACGAGATGGGGTTGGAGGAAGGAGCATATAATGCCATGACCTCGACCGGATAGACCAGTCGACTTTAACCTCAGCAGTCACAACCACAGGCATCGAGGAAGCAGAGTACTCAAGACACCGTTCCACCGCAACACTCCAGGAATCCAAAAGCTCGATTTTCACCCATAAATTCAAAATGTTGGGCAGCATTCTTCCCTTCGACGAGGAGACGGCCGACCGCGTCAGCGGGTACTGTGAGGACCGGTCCCTCCAGATCCCCGAGACCCTGGCCGAGCACTGGGAGTGGACCCGCCGGCACTTCCCCGATGCCGACAAGATGTCCAGCCGTCTTCAAGGCTCGTGGATGATCTTCACCGCCAAGGACCGCAAGCCAAAGCGAGGTGGGTACTTATCCCCTACAGAGGGTACTATCCATCACAGACACGAAGCTGACTCCCGATAGTCCTGGAGATCGGCTGCTACTCCGGCTACAGCGCGCTGGCCTGGTACGAGGGCACCAGGGACACGCAGGCCGAGATCGTGACGCTGGAGCTCAGCCCCAAGATGATTGCCGCCTCCCGCAAGGCCTTCGAGAAGTACGGCGTCGGTGACCGCGTCAGGCTGATCGAGGGTCCCGCTGAGCAGACGCTCAAGGGCCTGACGGGCGAGTTTGATCTCGTCTTCGTCGACGCCAACAAGGACGGCTACGCCACGTATGTGAAGACCATCCTGGACCAGAAGCTCCTGTCCCCGAACGGTATCATCCTCTGCGACAACGGTGAGTGTGCACCATACCACATCTCATATCTCTGCCCTCTTCCACTAGTACGAGGGTAGGTGCTGATATCCAAAACAGTCTTTGCCCGCGGCCTCTCGGTTGGCCCGGACTGCGCCCCCTGGCTCAACGACCACGTTCGCCCCTACTGGCTGGGCTGCGGCCAGGCACTCAATGAGTTCAACTCGAACCTGGTCAAGGACCCGCGTGTCGACGTTCTGCTGCTGCCCGTGTTCGACGGTGTTACCCAGATTCGGTGGAAGGACCCGGCGAAGAGGGAGTAGACTACGATCCAAGGCCGATGTACCTTAGATGCCCTTCGGCTTCCGGTTGGGGTTATGGGATAGGGCTTGCAAAGTAGTACAGAGCACATAACTAAAAGGTCAATAGTCAGAGTCAATTTGCGTTGTACAGCTGTTAGTAGTCACGCTCTCCAACTTACCGTAAATGTCATATAGTATGGTCCCGTGGTCCCATAGGAAAAGCACCGGATCCAGATCTGGTGTGTATGCCAACGGTCCGGTGTCCCCTTTTCGTACTCATGCAGCACCCACCCGCCGCAAAGGCACATGGAAGTCGACAGAAACATGGGAACGTTGAACCCGCATTCCCCACCCTACCCCGGCTTAGCGGTATATATCAGAGTGATGGCCCGGGCACATGGTTCCATCCTTATGAATCACCCTCCGTACCTGTCAGTAATCATACCTTATTAGTGCCCCATTCACTAGTAGTTACCTTGACCGACCGTTCTTCCCGCGCAATGGCGCAGTCTCTTGTGTCCGTCTCTGGCCAGCCCGGCACCAGCGGCTACCACGTCATCAGCCATCCCATCCCCGACTCCCTCGAGGATGGCCAGGTCCTGGTCCGCTTTCTCGCCGCGCCCGTCAACCGCGTCGACCTGATGGTCCTAGCAGGCCAATACCCGATCAAACCCAAATACACGGCGCCCTTGGCAGACCAGCACTACCCCATCCCCGGCTTTGACGGCTGCGCTGTAGTCGAATCCTCCACCTCGCCGCTCTTCACGCCAGGCGACCTCGTCCTCCCTCGCGACCTGGGCCTCGGCACGTGGCGCACCCACGCCGTACTCTCCGCCACGGCCGTGCTCAAGCTGCCGGAGGGCAGAGTCGACCCGATCGACGCCGCACTGATCCGCTCGGGCGCCCTGATCGCCCGCCTGCTGCTCGACGAGGCCGTGTCCCCTCCGCCGCGCGCGGGCGACTATGTCATCGCCTCGGCCGGTACGAGCTGTGTCGCGCAGTTCCTGGTGCAGCTCGCCCAGGCCCGGGGGGTGCGCGTCATCCTTGTCGTGCGGGACCGCCCCGACGAAGAGCTCGCGGTTGTGAGGGAAAGGTTGTGCGCTCTTGGGGCCGATAGGGTGGTTAGTGAGTCGGAGCTCGAGAGGGAACTCGCCTCGAAGACAAGGGTCCTCCTGCCACAGGAGCCTATCGTGCTCGCGCTGGACAGCGTCTTTGGCACAGTCGGGCAGCTCCTGGCGGCCGCGCTTGCGCCGAAGGGCAAGTTTGTGCTTGTGGGCCTGCTTGCGGGTGCTAAGGCCAGCATGTCGCTGACGACGGAGCACCTCTTTACGCGCCAGCTGAGCTTCCTGCCGTTTCGTGGCTCCGAGGTCCTCAAGCGGATGGGCGATCAGCGCGCTCAGGAGATAATCGATGAGATTACGGGCATGTTTGTGGAGGGAACACTGAAACGGCCTGGCATGAAGGTTGTTGACTGGGGCAAGGCGGGCAAGGGGGAGGTGGAGGAGGCATTGGAGAGTGCGGTCCATGCGGCTGAGGGAGACGAGGTTGGGCATGTAAAGACGGTGTGGAAGCTCACTTGAGGAGTGTAGAGAGTCTCAGCAGTAGTTGGTAGAATCTCGTGTATTGAGAGCAGTCTAAAATCCAACCTCCTTTGCTTGAATGATGCTTGAATGATGCTTGGCCCTGAGCCAAGACACTCCCAACAGCAGTAGCTGAATCCCTGTGGTATTGCCAGTCCAAAATCCGATTCCTTTCCTTACATGATGATTACCTGTGGTCACATCACTAACTTTTCCATTACCCGCACGGGTCGAATTGACGATAAAGAAGAGACATGTTGATATTCGTCAGGGCGATTCTGGGAAACACCCCAGCCCACCTTCAGAGCTATGCATCCTTTCTGATACGGTGTGAATACTTGTTACTTGTACGACGCCGCCGACTGCGGGAGCCTCAGGCCGCAATGGCCACGGTGTCCTTGAACATTTTCCGGCGCTGCAACACCCCGAGTTAGTCATGTTCCGTGAAATCCTGGCGGCAGGGGAACTCACCGTAAAGCAGACGGAAAGCACCAGGCTGAAAGCGGCACCGACATAGACGGGGATGAACACCTTCTGGAGCGCTTGGACGATGGCATCGGTGGCAGCGGTACGCAGCTCGGGCGAGAGGGAGCGCAGGTAGGCGCCGCTGGTTCCCGAGATGGCCAGCTGCAGCTGCTCGCGCGACAGGTCGGGCAGGACCCGGGCCAGGTTGGCGATGGCGTCGTTGATAAAGACAGCGCCGGCGATGGCCAGGCCGAGCGCGATGCCGCACAGCTGGCCCAGCATCATGAAGCTGATGGCATAGGCCATGTCGGCCGCCGGGGTGACGGCCTGAATAACAGCGTAGCCGGCCTGGATGAAGCAGCCCGTGCCGATGCCAACCAGCACTTCAAAGCCGTAGATCTGGCCCTCGGGCGTTTGTGCTGTGATGCGGGACAGCAAGACGCCACCGATCAAAGTGAGGACGCTTCCGAAAATGTACCACGGCTGGAAGTAGCTGAAGCGCGACATGAGGTGGCCGTTGGCGAGGATGGCGGCGCTCAGCACGAAGATGAGCGGCAGCAGCCGAACGGCAGCCGTGATGGCGCTGTCGCCCCGGGTGAACTGGAAGTAGAGCGGCACGTAGTAGATGGGCACGAATCCAGCCGTGTTGACGGCAGCGGCACAGCAGAACAGGAGCACCGCGTTCCAGTTGCGCATGAACTGCACGGGGAAGAGCCGGCCCGTCAGGCTCGTGAAAATCGTGTAGGTCTGCTGGATGCCGAAGGCGATAAACAGGACGAAAGAGACGACGAACAGCGCGATGATCTGCCCGCTGTTCCACGCATACAACGCCCCGCCGAGATTCGTGGCCATGACCAGACACATGATAGCCGCCGCGCTCAGCAGCGTGCCGACCCAGTCGAACTCACGCACCAGCGCCAGCGCCTTGGACTCCGGGCGCGGCTTGAAGGACGGGATCCAAAGCAGGTACACAGGGGCGAAGAGTCCGGCAACGCAGAGGTTGATGTAGAAGGCCCACCGCCACGTGGCCGACGATTCGACAAAGGCACCGCCGACCACGGGACCCAAAACCGTGCCGATGCCCCAGACCAGGCCGACGAAACTCAGGTAGCCTGGCCGCTCACGGTCCGACGTGTTGACGGAAAGAAGCGTCATGACGCCGAGGTACATGCCGTTGCCGCCCATTCCCGCAAGCACGCGGCCGACGATGAGGGCATCCATGTTGGGCGCTGCGCCGCACAGCGCCGAGCCGACGTTGAAGAGGATCGACGACAGGATGTACAGCCATTTGGCATCGAACAGACCATACAGCCGCCCGAAGGGAAGCACCACGCCTGCTCCGCCGAGAAGGAATCTGGAGCCGAGATCAGAAAATATACTAACCGAGTACACGATGCGGAAAATAAAATAAAAGCCCAGCACCTACCCTACGGACAGCCATGGCAGCTTCAACACATTGCCAAAGGCATTGACGGCGGCCGGCGTGATGTCGGCGACGACAGTGTTGTCGAGGGAATAGAGGAAGATGCTAGACAGGATAGCAACGACCACTAGAACCCACTACAATGAGTCAATCAAAGTCAGCACTGGCATTACCCTTACCATACCGGCCTACCCCCTGGGTACGTGATCCTTACCAAGATGCCGTGGATCTTCCTCGGAGATGCGTTCGGGTCGGGCGCAGCCGCCGACTCATGTTCCTTGTCGGCGGGAAGGTTGGCTTCGAGGCTGGACTCATTGCGGCCGTTTTCCGCGGGGAATTCGACGGCAGGGTCCGCCGGCTTCTCAGTGAGGGATGTTGCTCCGGATGACATGGCGTGGGCGGTCGGCCCCCGGGGTCACGTTATCGTATGGCGTCCAAGTCAACGCCCTATGACAGGATGGATCGATCTTTGAAGATCCGATGATAGCAGACGAAGTGGAATTAGTCGGGGAGAGCCTTAGATGCTTGGCCTTGGAGCTTGGTGCCGGATTGGAGACTTGCGAAGAGTGCAACCAGGCGATGGGCAAGATGAAGAAAAGGATTTGGATGAGACGGAAGTTTGCCGCAGGAACAAGCAGATGCCGCCGGCAGTGGCTTTGCAAATCAGGGGTCGGATTACGAATCGGGATTAGGGCTGCTGCTGCTTAGTAACGGAGAGTGGGAGGACATCTCGAGCAAAGAAAGACCTGGGAGAAGCTGTCTTGCGGCCCTGAACGCCAAACAGTCGGTCGATTTGTGTTGGTCCCAAATAGGAAATCATGCGGATGTAACCAAATTGGGAAATCTCAATTCTGTCTTTGTAATGCGCTTCCGTAAGGCTGGTGGGTCGTTGCCCCACTATTCCGTCCTCCCCTGCGATCTGACCCCACTGCCTTCTCGGGTACTGCTGCCTTTCACTCCACCACTCTTCACAACATCAATGGATCAACACCATTGCGTTTGCGATAGGCAATCTCAATTGTGTCTTGGTAATGCGCTTCTTTCTGAGCGACACCAAAGCATACAAACACAAAGTCTTGTCACAAAAAGAGATTTGCAGAAGTACATGCTTCTACCTTGACGCGAACGCTCACTTCCCCGTCACGACCTTCTTCAGGTGCTCCTCCAATCCCGGAATCTCGCCATCCATGTCGATACGCAAGCCCTTGGTGATGCGCGCGATGAGCACGTAGACGCCCAGCACAATATACACCTCGACCAGCTCCTCGACCGTCAGCAGCTTCTTGGCCTGCTGCACCGTCTCCTCAGTGTTGTTGTACGTGGCGAGCTGCTCGTCGACGAGCTGCAGGATGGCGCGGTCGCGCTCGGTGAAGATGGTCTCCCTGGCCAGCGCCTCGGCTCCCCCGCGAGCGGTGCGCTTGAGGGCCGCGAACTTCTCCTCGGCCATGCCGTTGATGCGGGCCACGGGCGCGTTGACGTCCCACTCGTACTCGGCGTCGAGAACGGCCGATATGCGCAGCACGACGAGCTGCCAGTCGAGCAGCGGCAGGATGCGCCGGTTGCCGTCGAAGAAGTTGGCGTAGACGCCCATCAGCCGCGGGAAGGACCCGTGCGAGTGGCCCAGCAGGTAGAAGATGTTGCGCCGGTACGGCAGATGGGTGATGGCCGCTGCCACCTCGGCCGGGGCGGTTTCCAGGTCGACATATGGGACCAGGCAGTTCTGCGTCTTGGACGAGGACATGGCGTTGGAGCAGGTTGTAGCTCGCGACAAAGCAATTAGATTCTGCGCCTCCCGACTTCTAGCTTGATCACTACGGCTTGCCTTCAAAGTTCAGACATGTCCTGTCCTACCGGCTCCTAGGCGCTTTTGTATGTATGTTACATGGCCGGCCTAGCGGCATTTCACCGAGCCTGGAGGTAGCAGTCCACCATGCTGCCACAACTGCGCCGCAAGAGGCTCCATGAAGAATCACCCTCACGACCCTTTCTACACAGTAGGGCGGATGAGTTGCCTGGAAAGGTCAACTTCTTAGGATCTCGCTGCCAAGCGATCCCTCTAGAGAGGTTCTAGCAGAAACTGTCAAAATCCACAAGTGGGGCTCCCGAGCGAATTTCCCGATTTGGATCGACGAATCTGTAAGGACCCCACTCCCTGTTTCCACTTCGGTTCAACCCGAGCAAATCTCCTGATCCGGCAATTTGTGACAGACAACCCGATTTGGACGAAGCGTCGTCAGCAGGATTGTTTTGGTGAGCACCACCTCCTTCCCTTTTCTCTCGATGACGGTGCATCTCAATGTCAGCAGGGGTCGGCGATCGGGTAGGACAGATCGCACCTTGGGCCGAACCCTAACTCAGCCCTAAGTTGTAGCTTGAGCTTACCGTACCCTGTCCCTGTCGAGCAGCGGCCCTTGCTGCATATAGCTGCCGAGGCGGAACCAGAGATGGTGTGGAGGGGGTACTCAGGAGTACAAGTAGTAGAATCTACTGAATTCGGGTTAGCCGTTCCTGGCCGGGCCGGCCTGGTCCTAACTTGACCGAGCTGAGCAATGTCGACGCCACAGTGGAAGAAAGTCGCTTGCCGCAGTTGTACAGCATCAGAACGAGGATGGCCATGTGGCATGATGTGGGAGGGTTCGATCGATATATCAAGGATGAGGCTGGCTGTGGTGACAGTCGCATGTGAAATACTTGAAGCCTATGTTTTGTTGCTGAGGTGACACAAACAAAATGGACAAGGCTACCATCATCGGCGACAAGCGTGTCCTCGACCTGGCCTGGAGCTGGGTGAAGCTCCACCCCTGGACGGCCATCCTAGCCCTGCTGGTCACTCAGCTCGTCTTGACCAGAAACCGCCGCGGCCTACGAGACGTCCCCGGTCCCTTTCTGGCCAGCTTCTCCAACTTGTGGAAGCTGCGGGCAGTATGGAAGCAGAACATGCATCGGGAAAACGTGCGCGTGCACGAGGACTACGGCCCCATCGTGCGCATCGGGCCCAACCACGTCTCGGTCGCGGATCCTGAGAGCATGCAGACAATATACAGCGTCAAGAACGTCTATCCAAAGGTAAGCAACAACCCCGGCATTGTGATCCCGACAGGGTTTGCTCACCATCGAATTAGAGTGCATTTTACCCGCTGGCCGAGGCCGTCTACAGGGGCAAGTTCCTGCCCACGCTCTTCACCACGCAGAGCAATGAGTACCACGCCAGGCTCAGGCGTGGCTCTGCGCGAGCCTTCTCCATGGACGTCGTGGTCGGTCTCGAGGAGTACTGCAACAAGTGCATCTCGGTGCTGCTGCAGCGTCTGCGCGACGTGTCGGACGGCGGCAAGAAGCCCATCGACCCCGTCGCCTGGATGCAGTACTTTGCCTTTGACGTGCTCGGCGAGATCAACTTCTCCAAGGACCTCGGCTTCCTCGAGGCCGGCAGCGACAAGGACGGTGTCATTGGTGCCATTGGCGGAATCCTGGTCTACGTCTCTCTGGTGAGCGGACAAACCCGTCCTATTACCTAGTACCTACTTTTACCCCTAAACCAATTACCGTACCTACTAGTACCGTACTAACGATACACACACACTCTCTCTGCACCAGATTGGCCAAATCCCCTACCTGCACAAGTTCCTCCTGGGTAACCCGCTGCTGGCCAAGCTGCCCGGCATCGAAAAGTCCAACCAAGTGCTGCAGTTCTCGCTGCGGCAGATCGAGGAACGGCTGCGCAACCCGGTGCAGCGCAAGGACATCCTGAGCCAGCTGCTTGACACGCACCGCAACGACCCGGCGGCGCTGACCATGGACGAGATCATCGCCATCACGACGACGAATGTCATCGCGGGTTCCGACACGACGGCCGTGTCGCTGGCGTCGGTGCTGTACCACCTGGGCAAGTACCCGGAAGCGCGGCGCAAGCTGGAGGAGGAGATCGAGCGGGCCGAGCGCGAGGGGCTCGCGTCCAACCCGATCACGTACGCCGAGGCGGTCAAGCTGCCGTACCTGTCGGCCGTCATCCACGAGGCCATGCGCATCCACCCAGCCACCGGCTTCATCCTGGAGCGGCTGGTGCCCGAGGGCGGCGTGACGCTGCACGGCGTGCACCTGCCCGAGGGCACCGTCGTGGGCGTCAACGCGTGGGTGCTGCACCGCAACAAGGACGTGTTTGGCGAGGATGTGCACTCGTTCCGGCCCGAGCGGTGGATTGAAGGGGACGAGGCTAGGATCAAGGAGATGAAGCGGTGTCTATTCTCGGTGAGTTGACTACTACCATAGTACAATAATATCTTAACCTTAAATGTTGCCGTCACTAACACGAGTAAAACAAAAAACAAACAGTTTGGCTACGGCCCCCGCAGCTGTGTCGGCAAGAACATCTCCATCCTCGAGATGTGGAAGGTTGTGTTTGAGCTGTACCGCAACTTTGACATCACTCTGGCCAGCGACAAGGAGTGGACCATCAACGGATCGTGGTTCACTCCGCAGAGAGGCATCGAGGCGATTTTCAAGCCTAGGACTTGAATGGCCGTCCCACGAAGCCAACTCCGGAAGCAGACCGGTAGGTAGCTTTAGGGAAGATCCTGGCTCAACTTAGTGCAGGACCGTGGAAACGGAGAACTCTTTGTAGTTCAAAACTTAGTTGAAGTTCGATGTACACGCTTGAAGACAAGATGCAGTCGACCAAATCGCTTTCCTTAAAACTTCATCCCTCCCTCCCGCTTAAACTCCACATGCTTTTGCTTTTTTTTTAGCTGGGTACAGCTGGAGGTAGCATGGAATACATCGTCATATACGTAGTTTAGCGTAGTACCAGAAAGAATAATATTTGTATGTACTGTAGATGTAATTAGAACCCGTGTTCTTTGTCTACCGGATAAGGTCCGACAGCGCTTGAAAGACAAGACGCAGGGCGCCGTCGATGTCGGCCGAGGCCTTGGACAGGCGCGCCATCATCGACTTGACCTTGGACTGGCGGGCCTGGCTGGCGGCGACCTGGCTGGTGCGCTCGAGCCGTAGGAGCAGCTTCTGGAAATTCCGGATTTGCAGCCGTATCAGCACGCGGATCACGTGGACCTGCTCCTCGTCCGAATACTGATTCCGGAAGTCGTCGGAGAACATCATGGGGTTGCAGGCGGCCGTGTTGGCTGCGCGGCCCGACGTGCCGCAGAAGAGCTGGGCTGCGGCGGGCGGCCCGGAGCCAACCGCCGCGGCGGATGGTGGCTGCGCTGCTGCTGAGTGGAGCGAAGGGAGGGACGGGGCGGAGAGCGAGTCGGGCGAGTTGGATGCCGCCGACGGGGCGGTGCTGGAGTCGCTGAGCTGGGCGGACAGCATGGCGCTCGCGCGCTTGATGCGCAGGTGGATACACTCGAACATCTCGGTCAGCCGGTCGCAGAGGATCAGGCGCACCGTGTGGATGCTGGCCAGGTCGAGGCACCGGTGGCAGTCGAGCGGCTTGCAGCACTGGAAGACGAGCCACTTCATCAGCTGCAGCACCTGGTCCAGCGACATGGTCGTGATGTGGAACTCGTCGTCGTCGAGCTGCTGCACCACGCGGACGAGGTCGCTCAGGCACGCACATTGCGGGGACCCGTTCGGCGTTAGGTTCGGCGGGTGCGGCACTCCGGCGAGCGCCCAGGACTGAGTCGGAGACAAGGGAGCGCTCACATTGCTGGTATCGAGCACGAGCATGCTCGGTAGGTCTTGGGCGCTTGTGAGACTCGGCTCGGGCATCCCGGTCGTGCGGGGCGGCGCCTGTGGGACGGGAAACTTGGTTTGTGCTGGAGCACCGCCGGAGGATAAGTAGGAGCCCAGGGGGTCGTACGCATCTGGGGTTGGTGACTTGTGTAGCGGATTGGTGTCGCCGTTTCGGTCAAGGCCGTCCATATCCACCATGTCTAGGCCGTCGGCGACGTCCACTACCGCGGCAGTTGTAGTCGTCAGCCATGCTGCCGAGGCCTGGTCCAGGGAATCCAACCGTGTGAACTGAAACTCACAGTCGAACAGGTCGCCATCGTCCAGCGCTTCCAGCCCGACTGGTGCTGGAGCTTCCACTGCTGCGATGGCGCGCTGCTGCTGCGGCGGCGGCTTGGATGACGCGGTTGACACGCCATCGCTCGATGTGCTAGTGGAGACCGTAGAGTCGCGCGACGGATCGCTCGGCTGCGACGACGCGTCGCTTAGCTTCTGCCATGCGAGCCGCGATGATGAGGAATTGCTGGGTTGCGACGAGTGCGCCGACCGGCTGTCCCGGCCGTTGCTCGCCGGCACGCATTCGATCATTCTGGCCCGGCACCGGTCACAGTTGCGGGGGCTACCGGTGCACCGGAGCTACACGGGACGAGAGAACGGTCAGCCAAGAGTGCTAAGTAGTACTGGTACTGCCTTCGGGTAGGGCGCGATACGGCTGGAAGCATGTTGGAGAACGTTGGAGCTTGTTGCTTGTTGCTTGTTGCTTGTTGGATGCGGTGTTGGGTCCCGATGGACAGTTAAACGTTACCTTTTTCGTCTGGCAGGCTACACATGCCGGCCGTCGGGTACTACCAGTTGCGCGACCGCGATCGCTGGCCCCGCCGCGGGCAGCGTTTCGTCGCACAACTTGCTCCATGCCACCGGCCTCATTTTGGCCGCTCGTCCGCAGCGTGATGAACATGGCCAGATCAGATGGGCTTTCTTCGTCCGGACCGCTGGACACACTAAGCCCAGGAAACAGGAGCCGCAGGAACCACCGTCTCGGCCGCCGCGCTAAGACTGTGTGGCCTCGCTGGGGGTTTTAACTGATCAGTATTGACAGCCTTGGAGTGCGTGGGGGCAAGCGAAAACCAGGTAAGCCGGAGGAATGCAGGCGCTCGGCCCCTCCGTGCGCTTCATCGCCGCGCTGTCGCAGAAACCCAGAACTGGAGCTAATTCGCCGAGAAAAAATTACTGCGTACTGGTACGGATAGTGTGTACGAGACGTTGCAGCGCGCTGCAGCGGGGCGCTCTTCCGCGATGTTGCGATCTCGCCACCAGCGACCGACCTCATTGGAAGCAGGGAAAATCGTAGCACCTGCAGGTGAGGGCCAACTTTAAATCCGTCTCACCGAAGGATCACATCAGCCAACCACTGACGGGAGTTCCCGACCACGTTTGCGGCGCAGGTGCGGGGTAAAACCGGCTCAAGAGTCAAAGACACTGGACGCATCGTAAAATATGTACCGAAACGTCGATAGAACATGATGGAAGGGGAAGAAAGAACATTGTGGAAAGAAAAACGCCACGTATCCGCAGGAACCGTCTTTCTGCGACTCGGAGTCTAGCTGCAGACACCGGTCCCATACACATTACGTTGTATTATATTGTACAATACCTCGTCTGTACACTAGATAAGCCACATCGTCATACCCAGGACTCGCTCACGTTAAGCTCCGCTCACTGGCTGCAGTGTCACTGCACACAGCAGATTCAACTGCTTCCGACTCGCGAAGGTGACTGCAGGGGAATGTGTAGTAGAGACTAGTGCCAAGTCAGCGTCTTTTTATGTCTGTGTATATGTATGTACAACACATAACCATCCCTACCATATCCTGCTTACCTAGGTACTTACACTAGCCACAGTTTACATGTAGGATATGTGCCAACAATGCCAAGTTCGATCGACACCCTCCACCGATGTAAACCCTTGTCAAAACAAGCCCGCTCGCTAGTGTCCATCGCCGGTCCATGGCGCAAATAAGCTTAGGTTTGACGATGCAACTCTGACTCCCTCGGTCCCTCCCAGACCCCGCCCTGTGTGGGTTCGAGCTTGTAGCAGTCTTCTGCATTCATCAGCGCGGTATCCCTCGTAACTACCACTAAGTTATATAGCTACCCTGCTTGGAATGCTAGAGCTCGAGATCATGAATGTACGTAACAAACCGCTCGCGGCGGTTACCACTAGTCAGTTATGTGGCAATGTGCTGCGGCCTGCTCTGCCTCTCAGCTGTCTGTCAGCTGACTTTATGCAAGTTGATCCTTTCGCTTTCGCTCCGAACAAAGATCCCGCAGCATAGCGTTGCAGTCGTAACACACCCGTCACACCGCTTAGTAAGGTAGGAGGCGAGGCGACGAACCACTAGAGGATATACGAGCGGCGCCTCTGTAGTCGAGGCCGTATATCAATAAGCCAGTTTGCAATAACTTCATGCACCGCCCTTTGCGTCATAGATACCTGACTCCATGCTTTGTGCTATCTCATCAGTGAGCTTGCCTGTACTGCGCTAGGCGTACCTACGAGTAGCAATGTGTCTCTGTGGTACCTGTTCTGTCCTTGATGCTAACTTCCAATCATTGTTTTTATGGCTCCCTCAGGAAGCCCTGGCAGCTGCACTGTCAGCATGATGATACGTTGATCAGTGGTTAGGTACCCATCCCGTTCCCGTCAGAACCCGGTGCATGTCGCCACACCTTGAACCTCCCGGTACATTTCTCCAAAGACACATACTTCACCCTGATCTTGCATGTGGAAGTTTCTCTCTGGTTCCAGATGAGGTGTCACAACACTAGCCAAGCAACCATACAGTACAACGGTGACCTCTGCGGCGAGAACAGTCGAAGAAGTTTAATATGTCACCGTGGACAGTTGAAGGGCGACTGTAGCCACAGCGACTTAGACCTCGTTCCTGCCCTGTCTGTTTCCCGCTCGCGTATTGTTCGCATGGTCCATTACTATGGGCAATGAGACGATCAGCTGTTTGCCCCAGGGGTCGCGGCCCCGGCAGTTGTGACCGCCAGAGCCCTCAATGCAGGACCTGTCCAGCGCCGTAAATGTACTTGTACAATACATGGTTTGCCTCGTGTTTGCCGTCGCCCTTGCACCTTGCCAGATGGAAGCGACGTCAAGCCTGCGCTCTACCCCGGTCGTTTCCGCGCCACGGCCGTCCGCCTAGGCCTAGATTGCCGGCAGTATCCGTGCCGTACCGCCAAACGGAAGAGTTAAGTACAGTACTAGTAGTAGTACTTTACTGAGACAGAGAAACGTGAGTTTCCGCGTCTAAGTCGTCACAGACCTCTCCGCCGCCTGCCCGACTTCGGCATGGAACGCATGCTACAACCGAAATCCCTGTCGACGCCGTACACCTGCATCCCGTTCAACCACATCACAAATCCTGTGCGGTAGCCCATGGCGTGATATGATGGCGGCCTTCCTGGATGGCAACTTTATGACGCATCAAACTGCGGGGTTTGTTGATGGCTACCGCCAGGTCGTTAATGCAGAAGGGGAGGAAGATGGGTTTCTAGCCATGTAAAAGTGAGCCTAGGGAGTCTTACTTGCCGATATTCTACATTTTGGGCTAAGAGTAGCCGTGGCTAGAAGACGTCGTTATCTTGGATCGTTGCTGCCAACAGTTTTGAACTTTCGTTTACTTCACTTTTGCCCCTTTTTGGTGCCCCCCTTTGGTGCCCCCTTTTCACCGTCTTGGCATCGAGTATCAATCTGCCCGAACGAACGACTACCTTACTTTACCTCCTTCTTCATGAAAAATTATTTTGCCTTCTGCCTAAGCTTGCAACCTGTGCAAGGTATTTCTTGCGCCTCTTCCAGCAGCAATTGTTAAGGTATGCTAGTTAGGGCATCTGTGCCTGTAGCTAGTAGGATCTAGCCGGCCACCTTTCGGTTGAGCCGTTCCGAGTCCTTTACACATACGCCGATAACGACAAAATGCATCGATTCTCTACTAGTAACCCACATTTCCGCATTTGCTCTATCCTGGGTCCCGCAAACAAAAGTTACCTAGCATTATTTCCTTGCTCTAGGGGGGGCGGGCATCTTCCACATGCTGCCAGAGGCTTTTTGCCGGCTCCTGCGTCCCGTTTGCGTGCAGACTGTCGTACCTGTCGCCCATAACGCGACGCTCGACACTTCGTTTAAGTGCTCTCTTTTCAGCCTTCAGCCAATCCCGTCCCTCCTCTGACCTGCAGTCCTTGTACTCGGCCGTCATTGCCAGGAGTAGGGGAGATCGGCGTAGAATCTAGCAAGCGCGTTGGGTCCCTCTGTCAAGAGCGTCATTGATTGCGACAGGCCCAGATATGCTCTATGGATCCTGTCTCCTTCGGCAACCGTGATGGTGTCGGTATAGGGTTCCTCCGGCCTCATGATGCCAACCTCGGACCCAACCAGTCGCAGAGTAAGTCCGGGTCCATTGATCATATCCCGGAGCCAGCCGACCGTTTCCAGCCAGTCTTGCATTGCCGGGTGATCCGGTTGCGGCCAGGTCGGAGGAAGGTATGGGGGAAAGAGTAGCTCAAGGAAGCGGAGGTGGGCAATGCAGCGGGCGGGGATCACGTCCCGCAAGAAGTGAGAGGCGGCGAGGCGCCCATATGGGTAGTGGTTCGTGAGGATTTCAGTGTTTTTGTCCTCGATCCGGTCACGTAAGTCCCAAGACGGGAATACGTTCAAATCGAAGACGATGAAATGGTTAGACGAGAAGACGAGCTGAGCATCTTGACATAAGGTGTGGCACACGAGAAACAGATCTGGTCCCGGCGGGACCCAGCATGTGCACGTAGACGAAAAGGCGGCGTGGCGGCGACGGCAAAAGCAGCCGATAGACAACCCGGCCCTGAGGCGAGCGTGAGTAGATTGGCGGTACCAACACTCCAAGAAGTGGCAGGACCGCATGTCGTCCAAACAGTATCCGAGAGCTCCGATGTCCGCCCACGCATATTTGTAGTGCTGCCGGCTCCACCAGACTTCCTTGCTTGGAGTGACAAGGTCGGTGAACTCGAGGATGCGGAGCCGGAGCTCACGCGGGAGGGTTATCAACACGGCCCTTTTCGAGGTCGGCTTTCGATACGGACGTGCGATACCACAGTCCTGCAACGCGGCATCCTCGGCTAATCGGAGGAGCCGAGGATCCCGCGTCTTGCAGAGTCGAATATGGCAGCTCCTCAGCGGCGGCAAAAGGCGAAGCGGTTCAAGTACCGAGTTGGCTAGGTCGACGGCCCCTTTGTACTGAGGATCAATGTCGCAAACCAGGCTGAGCTCCAATCGTCCCGGGCCGATGTAAGAGGACAGATGGTGGACAGCCGCGCGCCAGCCGCATAGCAAGGCTTGCGCTGCCATTAAGGGGTCGTCGTCATCCCATTCGGGAGCCGGACTAAGCAGTGGGCGCTGGTGGCGATTATGATGGGCCTGGCAGCAGGTACAATTGCGAGTCCAATGCACCCCTATCGTACGTGGTGGGGGTTCGCAGATGACAGGAGGCCTGGTTGAGCACAAGCTTGAAAGCAGTAAGGGACGACAGCGCCGGTGTAGTTAGGGCATGCAGGGAATCGAGGGATCCGGGTATTGTGTAGTGAAGCACGAATCGGTTGGCCGAGTACAGTAGGGCAGCCGCCTCGGCGTAGATGTCCCGGTAAGAAAGCAGGATGCCATGGAATATGTTTGGATGTGGCTGCCACCAAGTCCAGCTATCCCAAGCGCTCCGGTCCTGGCCATGCAGGTCGAACGTGTATGGGGAACCATTCCACGACGCCAGGCCAACATGGCGGTAAATTTGATGTCGAATGACCACGGGAAGGCGCAGAAGCGGCGACCAGGGCTTTTTGTGGGGATTATAAGGCATCGCCAGTAGATTTGGCCCTGGTGTGAATCGTGTTTGAGTCACGCACGAAGTATCAGACAGCGACAGGTTGGTTGACTGTTGCGCGCGGGTCGCTGCTGGTTGGCCGACGCGCTTCAACTTACGCTGTTAGCTGCAGGTGCTGTTTTGAGGATGCGGCACAAAAATGGCAAAAAATAGGAGAATGAACACCTACAGGAGCAATTGACGAGCGACGAATGAATGAGTACAAGCAGCAGCAAAATCAGTAAATTGAGCGCAAGAATACGTCGTTGTTGAGGAGTCGTGTTGACGAGCTGGGCTGTGTTCAAGACTTCAAGTGTTGTATTCAAGTTTGCGCGGAATGGTTTTTTCAGGACCGCAAGTCTTCAAGTTCCTCTTCTACCAGCTTCGGAAAGAACTACCCGAAATTATGTGACTCTGACTGCCGTCAGCCCCTGAAACTCTGAATATACCCTCGCCTCGTAGGCTCATACTCACAGCAGCCACATGTCTGCGATTCATCATGCTGTCGGTCGCGAATGCACCCGACGTCTAACCAACACCGCCAGTACCACACGCCCGCAGGCTGCACACCTGTTGTTGGTCCGATGCAGTGGCTCAAACTGGCAAGTTTCGTTATTCTCACAATCCCATCAGGACGGGGCGGTTGTTGGCGACCGGCCGCTGCACGGCTCGTGCAACTGAGAGCCGTTACACAGATGCGTGATCGAGACAGACTGGCGGTTGCCGCCCCCAAGTAGGCCAATGACGACGGGACGTAGCTGTCCTGGCCTCGCCCCCGGCTGCCCCTCTCACGCCTTGTTGCATGTTTCTCGAAGTCTCAGTCGGACGGCCCGACATTACACAGGTCTGGGACTCTAGAGCCGTATCTCTGAAACCGGACACGATGATGAGGACCATCGCCGGTGCATCATCACTGCGGCGCGTGCGTTGCAGCATGCGAATGCCTGTCCTAAGTTTCATACCAACAACGTACCTACCTACCCAGGGTTATATATATATACGACTGTCTCTCTACAAGATGCCTGCTCCCTCCGTTCCCTCACCTCACAAACAGATTCCTCTGCTTCACCCAACACAAGACACTGCTACCTTGTCTCTCGCCGGTCGAGAGCACTTCTCCTCGTTCCTTTGCTACAATACTCTCTACTAGTTACTAGTATCTTACCCGTTCCTTACTCTCTTCGCTCTGGTCGGATAGCCTTGGCCTGCATCTCTTAAAATGCCACGCCACACTCAGGATCCTCCCCCGGTTGCCAAAGGATTCATGAATCGACACGATGAAAAGAACCACTCGACGTAGATCCGTCGAACTTCATCTAACTCCAGGCCGACATGGAAGAAGCTATACAACCTCGGTATGAAGTGTTACGATTGGCTCATGCAAGTTCCTCACGTGAAGGCATATTGCCGGACGTCCGAGGGGAATTGTTTGGTCGCCGTCGGATGCTACGAAATGGGTGGCGACGGTCACAGCAGCTGGTTTATCTTCTGCGGCACTATCCCTAGAGGAGACCTCCGTGCCTATGTGGAGGACCACGGCGGACATGCCGCGAAACATTGGTACCACGCCGCAACCAGGGACACCAGTGGCCAACCTGTTGCCAAACTCAAACTTCACGCCGAAGACACTGTTCTAGCACTCATGAACGAAGTTATGAGGACACTAACCGTGAAAGGAGATGCTGAAGGGATCCGGCTGCTTGTTGTTGGATCCTTGTATCACGGTCGGCCAGGGCTAGTCTATCTCTGCAACGGTGGGACGAAAACTCCTTCTTGCAGTATTGTGGCGGAGCGACTCGGAGTTAAAGTCATTAAATCTGGCCAAACAGTTGAGTTCTTTGACTCTCAGGACCGCCTCCCTAGATACGGAAGGGGTGGCAGAGGCGGTCGCGGCGGCAACGGACAGGAGAGCGGCAACGGCAACGGACAGGGCAGTGTCAGTGGATCAGCCGGCACTGGCGGCGGACATACGGACCGGGGGCCACACGGAGGCTCTAATGCTGTCTGCTCTTCCAATTCTGGTGGCGCGTCATACACCTACCGTGTCTCGCGCTCGGATCATGGCGGCAACTACACCCAGACCACTGCTGATGATATCGCTGTTGGCATGTCTGGACTCAGCATAGGCGCTGACAGCACGCCGAGGAGCGCACGATAGCAAGACAAGCCATCTGGTGGGGCGTGGCTCAAGCGGTCGAAAAACGATTCTCGGATGACAACTCGGCGCTGATAAGTGTGGTGGGTGGATGCTGAGGTTACGGTTTGTCATGTGGCGGGAAGACCACAGCTATATTCTGGTACTACGTGAAATGTGAATGGGGCTGACTGGGACACCCTTTGATTGTTAACGTTGAGGAGGCTTTGGGGAACGGCGCACGGGACGAAGACTTTTGAATTTCGAGCTGGAATATCCCTCTATACCTTGCGGATGCAGCTGGCTCTCATTTGAACTGGTTCTCTGGAGAATTTCTGAAGCGTATATCAGCAAGTGAAAGGGGTACTAACTACGTGGACAACGCACCTTGGGTTGAGTGGATCATCTTGTGACTCCAATCCTACTATCCCATTATCCAAATCCATTAACGGATATACTTCTGCCGTGAGTTTCGTCTTCTGACTACCTTTTCTCTATAAATGTTTTTCCAGGTCATTCGCTTCCTCGTCTGCTGGTATATCCTCGATCTCCTAACGTACGGTGAGCTTACCCAATCTGGGTGAACGGTTAGAACGTAAAAACCAACTTTCTCATGAGTGACCACTTCTTCTTCTTCTTCTTCTAACTCATTAATAAACCAGGCGCGTCGCCATTCGCTCGCCGCAACGGTTGGCGACCCGAGACTTGACAGCTTCAGATATCAGTGTTCCGCTTTCTGCCTGACTGACGACCAGTTATCACCTATGCTTGCGCCAGCACAGCATCTCTTTATATTCGTTTCCACACTTTCGGGGATCCAACTGCAGCAAACTGGTGCGAGGGGTCCCAGGATCGAATCTAGCGAGCAGTGCAGAATATCAATACACCATAGAAGGTTTGGAAGATCTGATATGTGAATAACCCTTACCCTGATCGAACACTTGCAATTAACGTACATGATAAGCGAGCGACGCAGATAAGCGAGCGACGCACTTTCAGTGCGACGCGCCTCCTCTAAACTTTTCCACCAAATACCACCGCAACAAGCCATGCGTAGCCCCTCAAAAGAAGCCAGGCTTCTTTTAGCCCTCGAAGCTATCAAACAGAGCGAGAATCTCAGTATCCGGGCGGTAGCCAAGCTATACAACGTTCCAGAAGCAACGATTCGCCACCGGCGCAAGGGACGTACTACAAGACGCGATGTTCTAGCCAACTCGCGTAAGCTCACGGATCTAGAAGAGAAGTCAATAGTTCAGTATATAACTGAGCTATCTACACGCGCATTCCCACCTAGATTAAGTGGTATAGAAGATATGGCCAACCACCTACTACGCAAACGCGACGCGCCCCCTGTCGGCAAACGCTGGGCTCACAACTTTGTCAAACGCCAGCCAGAGCTCCGTACGCGGTATACACGCAAGTACGACTACCAGAGGGCTAAATACGAGGATCTACAGGTTATCAGCGAGTGGTTTGCACTTGTGTGGAATACTAGGGCTAAATATAGGATTGTCGATGACGATGTCTACAACTTTGATAAGACTAGGTTTATAATGGGTATTATCTTCGCAGGTATAGTAGTTACAACCTCGGATGGGCGTGGCAAGGCAAAACTAGCTCAGCCTAGTAATCGGGAGTGGGCGACTGTGATCCAGGGAGTCAACGCCCTTAGCTGGGTTATCCCTCCGTTCATCATCCTAGCCGTACAGTACCACCAGAGTAACTGGTACCGGGAGTGCAACCTACCACTTACCTGGCGCATTGCAACCACCGATAATGGCTGGACTACCAATGCAGTAGGTCTGGATTGGATCAAGCACTTCGATTACCATACGGCACCTCGAACAAAAGGCACATACCGGTTGTTGATCCTCGACGGCCACAAGAGCCACCACTCAACCGAATTCGAGCTCTACTGCAAGGAGAACAACATCGTCACACTCTGCATGCCTCCACACTCTTCCCATAGGCTCCAGCCTCTCGATGTTGGCTGCTTTGGGCCACTTAAGCAGGCATACGGTCGCCAGATCGAGGGCTTAATGCGTATGCATATCAACCACATCAGCAAGCTTGAGTTCCTCTATACCTTCCGAGAAGCCTTCTTTGCTTCTATAACAGAGAAGAACGTACAGGGTGGCTTTGCAGGGACTGGCCTTGTGCCATACGACCCAGAGCGGGTGCTTTCTAAGCTAGATATAAAGCTTCGTACGCCAACACCCCCAACCTCACGGCCCAGCACTACGCAACCCTGGGTCTTCCAGACACCACATAACCCACGAGAAGCCGACGCACAGTCAACGCTCATCAAGACTCGCATTGCGAACCATCAAAATAGCTCCCCAACTTCAATGTTGGATGCTATAGACCAGCTTGCCAAGGGTACGATGGCTATAATGCACCAGGTGGCCCTCCTTCGGTCAGAGGTCTCTTCGCTTCGCAAGGCCAATGAGGCACTAAGCAAGCGCCGGCGTGCCAAGAAAACACGTGTGCAGCTTGGAGGTTCACTTACTGTGCAAGATGCAAAGGATCTACTAGATCAGAACGCCGTAGGTGGGGAGGCAGTGCAGGAAACGCAGCCGGATGGTAGCGGTTCAGGGGGGGCTCGTACGAAGGTTCGATGCTGTGGGGTATGCGGCAGGCCTGGCCATAATGCTCGCACTTGCCAGGAGGCTGTAGAATCATCTGATTCATCTATTTCTGATGTAATTGTAGTTGGTTGCTAGCGTTGTTGTATTATAATTGAGGATAGTTGCTGTAGGGTGGTAGAAAGTGCGTCGCTCGCTTATCTGCGTCGCTCGCTTATCATGTACGTTACCAATACTACTACTATCCGTATCTCGGATCTTATCTGATTTTTCCTTATCCCCGCCACTAGGCAACCGCGCCATGTCTTTTTCCGAGTTGTGGGGCGAAAGTCCGAGTCAGGTAAATAAAAGGGCTTGGTAAATAAAGCCCGAACTTCAACTGTACCTATTTTGTGCGCGGTCATCCAGCAAGCTTCCGGAGAAATACAGCAGGATATGGATGACGATCCATTCCGCCGTCGTATGCAGCGGCGGGGTACGACACCTGGGAGAATATACATGGATGAACCGGTGCCGCCGCCGCCGCGTCAGCCGACGAGCTTCTTGAGGCAGGAACCTACCCAGAACGCACCCTCATTGCCGGAGTCTCACGGCCCACACTATGTTGGTGGTGGCCCGCCGCATGCAGCCCCGACATACTACCGACCGGCTCCCGTTCACGACCAGGCATATTACTACCACCAGCCGCATGCAACACAGTTTGTTGACCCGCGGCCGCGGGTAGAGTCGCTAGACGTGTATGAGCGACCGCTGTCACCCATAGACCGAAGGAGACAACCTTTGCGTGCACCATCGGTCCAGTCTAGAGGATTCATAAGACCCCGATCCCAGTCTCCAACCGGCCCTAGCAGGGAAAAGGCACCGTCGGGATCGCCGTCTAGCAGGCATAGACAGAGACGGTACACGGAAAACTACCACTCTGACGGTGAAGGAGATGGCGAAGATGGCGATGATAGCACCAACGAGCACATCAGGAGGGTGCCCCGAATTGCCCGGGAATCGCAGCAGATGCCCGAGTACCTGGAGGAGGCCGACGAATTTGGCAACCCACTCTCCCCCACCGTCTACTCGTTCACGCCCTCGCGCATCTCGCACACCGCGTCTACCCAGCTCAGCTCAGACGCTGACGACGAACCGCTCGAGGAAGCCGGCGGTGATGCTGCGGCGGGCGGCACTGGCGGGCGAAAGGAGCCGGACCACCGTGGACTTCGACTGTCCCATGTGTTCCAGTCGCAGTACAACGGCGACTACACACTCGGAGGCTCACACGGCGTCAAGCTCGCCGCGGTTTCGAGCAGCAGTATGAGGTATCAGCCTCTGTTCCGGTGGCTGTAAGTATTCTTTTCGCTCAATTCTCTTTCATCCGACGCTGAGATGTATCTCAGACATTGTACACGAACTTTGATGGATTTCGATGACTTTTCGGTAAGCCACATAATCTTCAGAGAATACTAAGCTTATGCTTGGCAGGCCACTGACCGCACCCAAAGAGAGAAGCGGCACGCGTCCCGGACCTGACTCCGGTGGAGCAGAAAGGCATTCGTGACCTGCTCGTCCGTGTCCAGCGCAAGTTCGTGAAAACGGTCCAGACGGCCTCTGGGAGAAGCGTCCGTCACATGGAGCCTGCATGCATTCAGCAGATCCTGCCCCCGGACAGCGCTTCCAGCAGTCGCCGCACCGTGACTTGGATCTGTCTCCCATACTTCACGCTCGAGAAGTACTCGGGTCTGCAGGGAGCCCCTGAGAACTCGTCAGCTTTTCCCATCGAAACGCTGCTGCAGGCCAAGTTCTCGAGAGCGAGCAAGGAACGGGACATGCGGCAGGCCGTCTGCCAGAGCAAAGACATACCAGCCGGACTATGCTTCCACGTCGCGCAGATCTGGTGTCTTATCGTCGGAAACTGTAAGTACTATTAACGTCGCTACATGCCCCCACCACACGTTTGCGGTCCCGGAAGCTGAATGTCACGATCACTCCCAGCGCTCCTATTCACCTACAGCCGTATGACAGAGGAAACACTCCGCGCACACTCGGTCGAGATCTCAGTTCCTTCGTTTGCAATGAGCCCCGATTCGAGACCACTGGCTGTCATCGCCGTGTCGTACAAGCAAGCTGTGCTGTGGTCAATACCTCTCGAGGAATGCCAGACCTGGCTCGTAAGCCTAACTGTATGACCTTTGCGAGGGTTTCTCAGGTCCGCTGACCGCTGTGTAGGACTTTCAAGCACGGTTTTGGGAGTTTTGGCCACAGCGCCTTCAGTTCTTCCACCGAAAGCGGCCGGTGACGGGTGGCAACTGGCCGCGGATTTGGAATCTTGCAAAGCACACTAACACCAAGATCGTGCTGGAGATGCGGATTGGGTTCGTGCCACCCTCCGTTGCTACCTCATTACCACAGTGACCGGTACAACGGCATGCAGCTAACTTGTAAATCCAGGCCTCATCCCACACCACCACCAGCCGGAGTTCTGATTCCCACTGGTGTCGGACAAGCCACAGGGAAGGTCGCAAAGCCCGGGTCGCAACCACAATCGCAGTCGCAGTCGCACCCCGAAGGTTCACCGCGCCAGAGTCGTATGGCGTCGGAGAAGCTCCCTCCCTCGACCCCGAACTGGAAGAGCAGGAGCATGCCGGAGAGCCCCGACTCAGTGACGCTACCGGCAGTGTCCATCTTTTCCTGCTTGCCGGGCGTTACCCACCCTGACTACGCCCACATCGACGAAGAGGCACTTGATGATCACTTGCGCGAAGTGGAGGATTACTTACTGTGCCGAACCCCTTTCAGCGACCGCCGCACATACGCCGCCTGCCCCGAGGCCACCCGCGGTGCGATCTACTCGGATCTTGAGCAGGGAGGCATCGAACTTTCAAAGCTTGATGATGTCCCGAGCAAAGAACAGTGGCGTTACGAGACGCAGCTGGACATCTTCAACGCGGCCGACATAGTATTCAAGTTCTTCTTTCCACCCGATGTGGAGATGCCGACGATCCGAAAGTTCTGGGGGGCATTGGATATCATCATCACCGTGAGTTGATCAACCTCTCGCGTGAGGTCTCTTCCCAAAGTCTAACCTTGTCCGTCCAGAATGGCGTACGCAAGACTCCCTCCGAGCGTGAGCCTCCGCGACGGACCGGCAAGCCCTTGCTCTCTAACGGCACACTGAGAACCACGCGACTCAGGCTTCGCAGGCTGTGCGCCCAGCTCCTAGCATTCAACGACATCTTCTCAGACTGCGGAAGACTGGAGCAGTCCAGGATCGCTGTGCCCAACGAGCTTGTCGAGGGCTGGATCCACCTGCTCATGGCCCTAGTGTACCTGCCCATACACGAGGCCAAGAGTGACAGGCTCTTTGACGATGCCAACGGCCTCATCCATAACGGCATGGCGGCCGTGATTCGCTCTTTATCGGACAAGTCATTGCTGGACAGTTCGGTCGTCCTGCCGCAGGAGCTCCTATCTCTGATCAGCCTGAAGCTCCTGCGGGATTCGACTATGGGCATGCCAGACATCATCGAGTGTTATTCTGGTTGTCTTGACGAGTTGGTAAGTCATCGCTATCGCGTGGGTGCAGAACTTGGCCGTGCGTAATAAGCTGACCTTGCCAACCTTCATTCTGTAGGAGGCTGACATCGCATCCCGGCCGTCAGACCGATCCCGCGAGCATCGCATCAGCCTGCTCAACGAAGAGATATCGGTTGTGAAGCGTGTGATCAGCGTTCAAGCCTCTGTCTTCGAGTCTCTGTTCAGCTTCGCGCAGGAGACGGAGACGGGGGCAGTGAACGCGGCACCGCGCATGCATTCGGGTAATCGAGCCAGGGATGTGCCGGGACCGGTACGGATAGTGGACCGAGTAAACTTCCGGGGAAGACACCGTGCCGGCCATCGATATCACGCGGCTGAGTACAAGCCTTACTACCCCAGGGCTAGAGCTGGCGCGGTGAGGTCTCGATCGTACCCCGACGAAGACCCAGAGGTTCATTACTACTACGAAACCCCAACCTTCGGCCTGACAGACTCCGCCACGCACTTCCAGCTCGACCCGACGGATCCCGGCGGTTATCGCATCCTGCTTCTGACTGAATGCATTGACTTCCTGTCGGGGCGCGAGAGGGACTTCTCCGACTTCCGGGACTGGGCGCTCTCCCTCGAACAAGTGGTACGTTTTCCCCTGTTTTTCTTTCCCCTCTATTGCACCTCCTGGCCCGGGGCTGACTGACACTGACACTGGCTGACTGGCTGACTGACCCTCTCCACACACACAGAACCGCAATAAGATCGACACCACCAAGGACCGGCACGACAATGCCATCTACGCCTTCACCATCGTCACCATCATCTTCCTGCCGCTCAGTGCCGTCGCAAGCATCTTTGGTATTAACACGCGCGACGTGCGCGACATGGAGCTGGACCAGTGGGCGTACTGGGCTACTGCCGTTCCCGTCACCGTCCTCGTCATCTTCCTTGGGCTGCTCTGGACGGGGGAGCTTGGCAACATCTTGGGATGGGCCCAGTCGTTTGGACAGCGCCGGGGGGTTTATAAGTCTCTTCCGTCTGGCGGATCGTACAGGAGGTTGGACGGGATGGAGGAGGACTGGAAAAGGGAATGAGAGGGTCCTTTTCTGACCGGTGACTCCATACTACTACTTGGCCTAATTAATGTCAATATATCCGGAAGTAGATTTCAGGAAAGCCTGGCGGGCCGTGGTATAGTGGTACTGACTCGAAACGTCGAAGATACTGGAACCTAATGCAGGGAATCTGGAGGGCTCTCGGTCGAGTTCCGGTCGGGTCGTTCACTTTAGCCGACCTGCTTGAGGAGTGCCAGGGGTCAGTCTGCTGGTTTGGCCAACCAGCGACAGTGTACGCAAGCCGGTGCGCGGCACGTCTGCCGTCCGTGTACGACGCGAGACATTGATCCTCAAATGATAGACCAAGAAGCTGAAAGTTCGACCTAATCGGGGTTTGGTTCCACGGTATTTGACAAAGGCAATGGAAAATGGACCATGCGGGAGTGAAACTTGGTGAAGTTGGTTACCGAGATACCAAATCCGGGGTGGATTTCATTTCGACTGTAGTCGAAACCAGCCGCTACAAGTAATCGACCTATAGTAGTCTGAACTTTGGCTGGCAATCGCGGAAGCCACATCCTCCAGAGGTGCCAATGTGGAAGGTGCCGCCAAGCTAGGTACCTGCCTAGGCAAAGTCGGGTCCCATACATAGACTTCGCGTAGTAGTTGTCAGGAAGGTACAGCCGATGTATCTCTCCATCGCCGTCGCCAAGACGCGGACCTTGGTCTCGCAACCTGGGAACATGGTGGCCAGATCGGGACCCTCACGTGGGTGACGTGGGCAAAGCGAAGCCACAATCTGGGCGACATTTTCGTCTACGGCTCGGCGGCGAGACGGGGGACGGTTTGCGTTACCGAGGTATTCCGTTGCGCCGGTTACGAAGATGCAGAAAGTCACACCAGTAAGCTATTCCGGTGTGCTGGTTTGCTGCGCGGTCACGGAAAACAGCGTTCTGGCGTTCATTGCTGTCTTATTTATCTCTTTGCCATTCTTTACTGGCATGGCTCATGGCTGCGAGAGAGGTTCCTTGTCACAGGCAGTGCCCGCAATAACCCCAAGCAACGCAAACGCGGCCTTCGGGTAGGCTGCCAGGAATCAGGATCTCAAGTCTCAGCATTTGGGACCGGCATTCTTGTTTGAGCTTGGTCGTTCCTTGCGCCAATTGTTGCGGCATCTTTCTTTTGCCATCTGTAAATGTTATGGCCGGGCTAATCTTACTCGAGTCGTTCAATTAGAGTTTGCCAAGTCGGGCGCCATCGGATGAAGAATCAGGGGATCACCTCTTGATGTCTTGGCATCTCACCAAGGTCCGGCCCGCCAGCGTTAAATCTATATCCTTAGGTTATTTCAAGTACTCCATACGTTACTAGTACTAGATAGTAGAGCACAGGTGGATCACATCGTGTTGTCGCTAAAGCCTGTTCGTATAGAATCTTACAGCGCGGAATCCGTCCACCCTATTCAACTTGTGTCGCCCGAAGGCATTCTGCTTTCGACCTTGCAGTCCGGATAGGCCAGTCTCCAGAGTCGAAGACCTCCCAGACGTCCAGACACCCATGCGTGTCACAGAGTGTCAGTGTAATGCCAAGACAGGGCATCGCTAATATGCCCTTACAGCGCAAAACACAGTAGTGTTACACTGCAGGAGATGACGGTTAGGTAGTTACCGTATTTAGCTAATATATGGTGTGGTGGACTTGGTTAGTGCCTGAGGTCAACGTGATTTCCACAATCCGTTGTGGCCTCTGAACCTAGAATTGCTCAAGCATGCTACTACTAAGTAGGTACTAGCGTGGCCGCGGAAGCATTGTGCTGGGAACTTGTGCCCTGCACATCACAGAGAAAATTTGCAGCACGGCGGGGTTACCCGACTGGTCGTGGTCTTCGCCTATCCAGTCCGTCCAGCAGTCGGTGGTTCGGCCGCTTACTACCTAGTACATAAGATGGTGGGAGCTGACGGGAGGACGGAGGGATTTGGATCCGATCGGCAGCTCGGCTCAGCTATGTGGTGGCGGGCGGTAATAGGCGGGTGCGGGGAAAGAAGAATGGAAGAGGGGAAGAAGAAGGGAGCGGCCGGGTTCATTAGCGTATTAATTCGTTATTGTGAGTTTTAACCTATCTCACGGTGAGCAGGACACCTCAGTTCTATTATTCCCATTTAATGCCCGCTAGTATTATCGCATCGGCTTGCCTATGGCGATATAGGCTCCAAATATACCTGAACCGGTCTGAGACGGAAGAGTGGGGTAAGCAATGTAAGGACGGTAAGGTACGGTATCGAACATGCGCAGCGCTCTTAATAACACGGCCGCGGGTTGGGTTGGTTGCTCATATCTCGGGATGCCTTGAACTTTGTAGGTTGCATTGTTGGGGTGACGTCGGCTCGCGAGACCCGAGCGACATGATCAAATTCCCTATGTCCACGCACTGGTTACCGTTTTGGGACCACAGCTCCTCCACCGACGATAAACTCTCGCTGCGGATTGTGAGACATGTATGTATGGCGGTGCTCAGTGTTACCATAATGTCAGATGACAGAAAGTATATTTCAGTGCCCGTTTGCGCTCAACCCTAGACGCTACTTGGTAATAACTTGTCCCCCCTTTAGTCTTCGGGCAACTACCATACTGTTAGAGTTGTGTGGCTGGCAAAGCTTAACTAGTAATTGCTGATAGTAACAGTGAGCGCAGTATCGTCCGTCTGACACAGTGATAACTGTGACATTGGCATCGGAAACCCTGCCTATTGGTAGTGTAAGTTCGGTTCCGTCCGCTCCGGTGTGGCTACGCCTGCAACTAGGATTGGACGAGAGAAGAGAAAGGGGAGAGAGCCTTTCACCTTCTGGCCTGCATGTGAATACGGGCGCACCACGATCGACTCTCCTCATCCTACTAACAGACATTCCGTCAAGAGCAAAACTTGTAGAAGCACTGCATCAACTGCGTCTTGGCGTTGGCCAAGACATTCAACGGTATTTCCAAGCTTCATGGCGATCATCGATTCTCGTGGCCAAGCTTCGCCAAGATAAGACAAGCACTTCGGAGCCCGTCTTGGCCGTCCTCGGCCCGACGGAACCCAGTCCTGCAGTACCACAGTATGGCAGCGAAAAATCCATCAGCTCGCCTCATTCACCTGCCCTCCTTCGCCTGCAACTTCCCCCTTGGTTTAGTTCTCCCGATTGCATGGCCTGGTTGAGCAGGGTACGCAGGCTGGAGGCTCTGGAGAAGTGCAGCACTGCAGGGTTCCTTGTGAGTGATTGCGAAATCCATGCCCCTGTAAAACGGGACACAAGTGCCACCACACCACCTTTAAGTTATTACCTAGGTCACTTTCCCATCTTCGGCTCCCCTCGATTTGATCCTCCCGAGTCCCACATTCCATTATTCACCTTTTTTTTCTAGCGCAGAGTCATTGATCGCCCCCCCGGCCTACACCACCTTGCCTCAGCATCTCAGATCAATCAGATGCCACCCATCGCTAGCACGGGCTGCGCCGACGGCGTTGCTTTGTCGCTGAGGCTGTCCTGCGACCGTTGCCGCGCGCAAAAACTCAAGTGCTCGGTGCCGGCGGGATCTCAGGCCTGCCAGCGGTGTAAGCGGGCCAAAGCCCCGTGTGTTTTTGGGCGGCGGACGCCGTGCAAGCGCAGACGACGCAAGAAAGGATGCGGTGATGGTGATGGTGATGGAGGAGCAGGGTCCACAAGTCCGCAGCAGATACCCCAACAACAAGTGTGCTCGCCCGCGCAGCAATGGTCCGTTACTACGCCCGCAGGCCTCGCCACTCCGCCATCGCCTGTTGCATTGATGTCAGGACCCAGAGTATCGGGATTCACGCTAGACAGAGAGCTAGATGCGCCAACAATGGCATTTGTTGAGCCGCTGGCAGGACTGCCAGGTACAATGTCCGAGGTGGACGCGGGTTTCTTTGTTGACGGACCAGCCACGTGGAATTGCCTAAGTCCCGGGTTACAGCGCCTCCCCCCGGACACGTCTGGTCGCGGCAGCAGCAGTACGGATACTGTGGGCTACGAACGGGGCTGGTTGCAGTCCGGCTGGCCCCTGGGCGAATCAGCCATGCTCGAGTTCGGCCAGTCCGATCTCGCACTGTGGTCGCAGCAGCCCGAGGTCACACCCATCAACGTTAACGTTACTAGTACGGCACACAGCCTGTTGGCAGCCACTGGTGCGTCCGACGGCAGGAGGAAAACCGGGAATAATTCCGCTGCCGCCGTAGCCGGCCAGGGGCTCATACAGCTGGTGTCGGAGATCCAGCACCAGCTCCGGCAGCTGGAAGAGGGTCCGTGGCACACAGATAGCGCGTCTAGCCTTGATGACTACCCCGTTGGCACCGTGCTCGCGCTGGCGAAGCAGTTCAGTGCTCTGGCCGGTTCCATCCTCGGCTGCATGGGCAGGGAGCAGCAGCAGCAAACGGCGAACGATGATGCTACGCCGACAGTGCTGCTGGTCATGTGCGGCTACATGTGGCTGGTGCGCATTTACGCCGTCGTTCTAGGCCACTTTCAGAGGCACCTCGACCACATGCCGGCCAATCAGCCGTTTCAGCTTGGAAGTTCATCCTCGACGGGAGGAGCCCGCAGCAGCAGCGTCTACGGCACCCTGACTCCGATTGAGGGTACATGTACTTGTACCAGCGATAACGCCGCCGCCCCCTGCATTCCTTCTGCTTCCTCCCCCCACGCCCTGCGACTGGGCGAGCTCAAATGTGCAGACGCCACGCTCGGTCTGCAGCAGATTCACACGGCAGTCTGCATGCTCCTGGACGCGCTGCACGACATTGAGAGCCATCTGGGGTGTGCGGGGGCTGTGGGTCGCGACATGGCCGTGGCCCTGCTGCTCAAGTCAGGCAAGTCCCCGGAGGATTCGGATGCTAGCTCGTCGGGTGGCTTGTTGGCTAGGAAGGCAACTGCGGTCAAGGAGCTGCTGCGGCGGAAGATGGGTCTTTGAGAGAGACGGCAGTCTTCCATTCATATTTTATATTTTTATTTTGCCAATGACGATTCGACACGAAACAACATGGATAGACATGGGACATCAATGATGACAATTGTAACGATGGGTTTCTTCCAGTGCGGTGGGCATCAACGCGGTTCCACGGACATGACCAACGCAGGGGGCCGCTTCAACAGCGTACCTAGACCCATTTCTACAGCAGCTGTCTTGCTGGACGCATTTGTATGTATGGTCTAGCATTACCTGCAGGTGCAGACTGCCGGGGGGTCAGAAGGCTCTGGTAGACAGGGGATTAACCAAGGCCGGAGAGGTGGTCCCGCGGGCGGAGACGGACAAATACTCTTGCTGGGCCGGAGTGTTTCGGGATGTTTCGGCCAGCGCTGCAAGATGGCCCAACGGTAGTACAATGTGCCCGGTGCATTCTCAATGATGTTTGCAGTTCTTGTTGCCCATTTCAAAGTAGTCCTTCGTAGCTAAAACAATGATACGTGAAGAGGGGCGAGGAGAAGGGGGATAAGTGCGGTATAGCAAAAGAGGGGCACGGTTTCTTACAATACCGGTTAAGGACACAAGCAATTCTGGCCGCAGCCACGACACAAACGGTCCTTATCAGGGACCTTGGCGGCAGCACCGTCCTATCCAACTCGACTCCAATACAACAGGAACTGCTCCTCGACCCCCTGATCACCATCACCGTCAAGGCCATTTCCCTCAACTCAGCTGACGCTCTCGTCTCCTACCACAGTTGGCTAGCCCAGCGTTGCCACCCCCCCGAGGCGCAAGCAAGGCACAGGCCGCATAGCGGAAGGAGAGAATGATCTTGCCGAGGGGCGTTGGGCAGCATCAGATGCGGGCCGTCCAGCACTACCGCTGGCGATACCCTCGCACCACCCGATGATGTTGGGTGGTCTCTGGACGATCGGTTATAGCTAACCAGCAACCATCGGTGCCAAGATGGCTCGCCCGGACGGCCTGGTCATCGACATCGACGGCGGCGCGTCCTTCAACGACAGTTCAACGATGGATTCAAGATTATTATTCTCGACAACAAGGAACAGGGCACATGTTCTACAAGGACCGCCATGCACACACGCATCACGTCAAGCCGGATCTCATGAAGCTGGCCGACTACATGGGCATCTGGCACCGGCATTGCGTCCACGTTCCTGACAAGCTCTTGGGAAGCCTCCAGTTGCTGATCAACACTGATGGAATGGAGGTGACTAATGAGAAGGTATGGACAACTTGCATATATCATTACTATCTTGACTACTAGTACCTAGGTAAGTAGTACTAGCCCATTACTAGTACTACTAGTATCAGTGCGGCACTGGAGCATACTGATATTCCTGTGATCCCCACCCAACCATACTAGTAGTAGTAACAGCCGGCGCCATAGCTTCCTTGGGTGGTTCTGCCTGGAAATATTGATAATATGCCGGGACCGCGGGCGTAACGGGGGGCTCAAGGAGGTACACCGGCCTCCCGTCTATCACAACATAGTTGCCCTCGCCGTGGACTACTATATCCACATGCGGAGGAACCTTCATGTAAAACCCGTTTGATTCGGCCGTGCCCCGGTACAGCGTAGTATGCACAACACTCTGGAGGAAGCTCTTGGACCAGCCGTAGTCGGCCCAACGCGTCAGCGCACCCAAGGCGGCCAACGCCAGGACGGCGGCCAGGACGCTTAGAAACAGCTGCAGGCCGCTCATGGCCGCGATCAGGTGCTGGACGGTGACGCCGACCAGGGCCGGGTCGACGCTGACGGCAAAGGCCCGCGCCACGAGCAGGTCCAGCATCGTCGGCAGGTTGTCCCACACCCATTCCATGACCTGCTGGTCCATGGACGCGGCGCTGGCGTTGGACCGACCGTCGCCGAGGCCGTACAGGATCATGACGGCGGCCGTGTCCACGGTGCCGTAGAACCTGGCGCCCTCAGTCGACAGCGTGCCGCCGGCGCAGTTGGTCTGCGTGACCTTGCCGCCGTACGCCTCGTTCATGAACGGCTGGTCGCATTCCCGCAGCGGGCCGGGCGAGCTTTTGATGTCCTCGGACCGGATGAGCGTGATGTTGGTCGAGGTGATGTGGAGGAGGGAGAAGATCTCCGACCCGTCGTCCTGCACGACGGGCGTGTAATAGGACCACGAGTTCTGGATGACGGTGTTGTTCTGGTTGTCGGCCACGGTGAAGCCGAAGTTGTAGCTCATCCGCTGCTTCTGCGCGCTGAGTATGTCGCCGATGATGCGGCCCAGCAGAGGATGGGCCCTCTCGGTCGCGTTGGTCCCCGCCGCACGGCGCACCAAGTCGTCCACCTCGGCCGGGACGAACATGACGCCCGGGTTCGTCAGCATGGTGGCGCGGAAGAAGGTCTCGACGAAGGTGTGCCGCCTCGTGCCCTTCGTGACGGTGAAGACCTGCATCATGACCGCCGTTCCGCCGCCTCGGCCGTACGACGCCCACACGTTGTCGACGCGGTTCGGCCGGATGTACTGCGAGTCGTTGAACGACGACTTGTCGTCCCAGTGCACCTCGGGCCGCCCCAGGATGCCCTCGACTAGGTCGTTCGCGAAGGCGTTGTGGAAGGTACAGTTCCACACGCCGACCCCTTCGTCGAACACTATGCACCCCAAGGGGAACTCGTGGCCATCCATCACTCCCGCGCTGGGCCACGCAACCAAACTGTCGGCCGACACGGAGAAGCCCTCCTCGTCCAGCCAGATTCTCGCCCCGACGCCTTTGCTTTGCGTCGCTGCGGTGACTTCGCGCGTGCCCCTATTTGCGTCCCCGGCTAACGAGATGTTGAGTCCTGGCTTGAAGAGGTCGGCCCCCACGTTCTGGTGCAGACTCTTGTTGGCTTGGTTTAGCGTGTTGCGGTCAAGCTGCAGCTGAACGACATAGGGTGCATCGGGATTGCGCGCGTACTGGTGCTCGGCTAGCGTCGAGTGGGATGCCCGGAATATGTACCCCGGAGAGTCCAACGCCCACAGGAGGGTACCGTAGAGAGACGCGGCCAAGTGGAGCATGGTGTAGAGGAACACCAGGACGGCGCCGCGCGAGAGGCCCCGCGACTTCATAAACAAGAATCGCTGGATGTGGTCCTCGGCGAACATGAGATACGAAGTGAACTGCCCGGACCGCGCCGCCGCGAGGGAGGCAAACTTGAAGATGAACAGCCCCATGAGGAGCTCGGCACACCGGAAGATGATGGACTTGACGGCATTGTGTGCGACCGGTATCGAAGACGATAGGAAGGTGGACGTGGAATCTATCAACGCCATCGTCCAGATGAATCCGTCTCTCCAAGTCCCATGGCAGTTGGGAGAGGACGTATTGCGGGACAAGCGGTAGTGCACAAGTGCAGCGATTCGGTTCCCTCTTCTCACTATTTTCTAGCTAACCATTTCCGGGGTTATACCTTATAGTTAGGTGTTCTAACGCTGTTCTGCCCTGCCCTGCCACGGGAGGCTCGCATCAGCTGTGCAGGCGGCTGAAGAACTATCGATTGACTATGCTGTTTCTGCATTAGTTGCGTCCTCCCACTTATCCTTTTTCGGCCGTTGTTGTCGACCCGACCAGTCGCCCCCCAAAAGCGACCCAGTGGCGTAGATAATGTGCTGGCGCTCGCCAAGCTCAGATAACAAGGTGCTGATGAGCGGGGAGGGCCCGGTGACCCGCCGGCAACTGCGGAAGCACTAGATGGACCTGCTAAGGCGGCCGATCCAGCTAGCCGCCAAGGGCGCTTAGCCGGATGCGTGAGCTCCAGCCTCACGAGGTATATGCGGTAGTAGTGAATCAGAAGAGGAGATAGACGGATATTTAGACCGAAGATGTGAATGTCCAACAGCAGACGCCAGCCGTTCCCTTCAGCGTCTGAGAAGAAGTACAGTACCATAGTACCAGGCAAATTCCGTTGCCCGGAAGTTAGGGAAAATTATTAGTAGGGTATCTATGTTGCATGTTGTTCGAGAGAGGACGGTTAGAGCATACATTCAGCTACCGCAACCACTAGTTGCAGCCACGGCTATGCACTGGCACTCAGCCATTACTATATGCGCCGATCCACTGTTTGCTACCACCACCCGCCTCCCCAACGTCTCCCATCACACTCACACCAACGCCTCAGCTCTCTGCCGCGTTCTGGCTCCTCGGAAACCTTGAAGATAGATATCGGCTCGGCCTTTTTGCCATACTCATGCAGATCAAAGGCGCCCTTTGTGGTCAACCCAGTGTTGTCAAAGTCGAGATAGCCAATGTGCTTGTTCTCATCGTCGTCCAGAGGATACGCGTCAACCTCGTTGCAAACGAACTGAAAGGAAACGCGATTGGCATGAGCTGCCTCCTCCTTCAGGCCCGTCAACATCTGTCGCTTGGCCCTGGCGGCCTGCACTCCCCATGGGTCGGCGATGTCTCCGAGCGAGCGCTTCTCCCCAGTTAGCTTCGCCTGGAGCCTGTTGCCTGTAGAGTCTCTTCCGCCGCCATCGTCATCATCATCAGATATCTCCGGCTCGCTGTACTCGCTGTGCTTAGGTTGCTCCTCCCTTAGTAGCTCAACGGATCGCTTGGACATCCCGAGCAGCCTAATCCCTTCAATAAACCTAAAGTTGAAATACACTTTGGCTCCGTAACAACTCTCGGGCGGGAAGATGTTGATCCTCATGAGGTTGCTGTCATCGTCGTGGTTATTGTGAGACCATGCTTCCTCCGTGCCGCCATCCCACCGCACAAGGTACAATCCAGGGAGGTGTTGGAGGCTCAGCGGTCTGGGCCGTCCTTGTGCTTTCGCAACAAGCTTGTAATGTCCCTTGAGCTGACGATCCCATCTCGCCTTCCTCTCTGCCTCGGTCTTCTCTTGCACCGCCCGTTCCCTGGCTTCTGCCTCTTCCTCGCACCGTCGGATCTCGTCCCTTAGCCGCGTGGTCTCTGCGGCGACATTTGCGGCGTCCCAACCAATGATAGCCCTCGGATAGACTTCTTCCATGGGAATACCCGATGCCCTTGACATGATCTCTTCCGGAATATCCCGCCTTTCACGCCGGGCTCGGTCGAGTGTTATCGGTGCTGAAGGCCGAGGGTTAGGTGCGGTGGCCATGTCGTCCAGGTCGATGCCAAGACGCCTCTTCAGAAAAAGCTTCAAATCGACGTTCGCCTGCGCGCTGTGGATCTCCTCGTTCTTTTTATAGAACGATTCAAGCCTTGCAATCTCGTTCTCGATGCCCTTTGTGCATCGTCTCCTCCTAGCCGACCAGCACCGTCGACCAGTTCTTTACGATGGCGAGACCCGGGACCGCCGCCACCGCCTCAACCAGCTCCTCTTGGTTATTCTACGAGCTGAATGAGAGCGGCTCCTTTGTCTTCTCCTTATTTGGACGTCCTTGACCATCCAGAAAGTACTTGGCCACGAAGCGGGGCGGGTCTGTGTTGCCCTCCTTGGCATAGCCGCCCACGATCTCTGCAAACATCTTATCCTTATACGCTTGAGCGCTTCGTCATATTCCCATATTCCCTCCGAAGACGATCGCGCACCGCGGCAATCGATGGGGCGAGCGCAGCGCACTTCCCCGCCTTTAGTGCCTTTTCAAGGATGTTCATCAGGTCAGGAACAGTAGCCGACCTGTTGAAGGGGATCCCGTAGAAACTGAGCTATGCGGTGAGCCATCGCTTCGGCGTATTTTCTCTGAGTACCCCCGAGAGAAACATGCGGAGCTCCTGGGGTGTGGCCTGCTTAATGCCGTCCATCTTGAAGACATCGGGACTGTCGTTATAGGAGTAGGAAGTCTTCGCGCCATAGCTGAAGGGAGGAGATATGACCGGATCAGGCGCAATCGGCACGCCCCATCCTTTCAAGAAGCGGAATTTTCGCAGCGCCATCTTTTGTCGATGGCGAATGGTGTTTTGTGACTGCTCGATTGCTGACTTTTGAGTCGGTTGCCCCGAGAGATCGTTGGAACTTATCGATTAATTTTAAATGCAAATCCTCGTCCCGTAAAAGTCCAGACCAAAGCCCCCCTGGGTTGATCGGCGCCGAAGCTCGATCTCAGGTTTCGGTCATAGATAGGTAAGGTAGTTGTTGGAAGGTGCAAGACACACCAGGGTTTAAAGGGAACTTTTGGGGGTAACGTTACTGGAGAACCAATTCTCTAACCAACTTACCACCAACCAGTCCACACAATTCAACCACTTCTTACCCAAGTTCTTCATAGTGTAATCCATTACACACTTTCTACTTCACTTAGTAGGAGCGTGTAACTTACCCACGGTTCACGGGTGCTTTACTGTTACCACCGAGCATTCACGTACTGACGCACGTAATCTGTACATTACGTCTGATGCGTGTAACCGTTACCGTATTTGACACTAGTACCCTGTGAAATGGAGCGGCTAACCCTGATAATAACAGCCCAGAACATAATTGAGACGTTAGCATACGGTAATGATACGTTAGAAACCCATAACCCCCTGAAATTGCATCGTGCTCGGGTTCGTGGGTAAGGGATATCGTCGGCGCCACAAAACAACCGCCAGATCTTCCTTTTGCACAGCACACAGAGAGTGAAGATGACATTCATTTTCTTACCTGCCAACATTGTTATCTCGTCTGTTTCCACTCTATTTCTGCTTCTATCGCACAACCTCTCACTTTGAAGATCTGCGAGACTGCAACCCTCCTGCCCTTTATTCTACTTGCGCATGACATCCGAGTCCTCCGCCGGCCCTCCAACCTGCTTTTCAGCAGTCCCGAGCTGAGGTTGTGAGGGGTCCATACCCGTTACTTTGCCCTCCAACATGGCATAGACATCCACCTTCGGTCCCACGTAATGTTTGCGGCCATCCACCACCCAGGTCGTACACGAAATGAGCAAAATCACGCCGAATGCGACGACACAGTAGTTCATGTTGTCCGGCGTAACCGGCAGAACTGGCGGGAACACGAAGAGCACAGTCGTGAGGATCGTCCAGGCGATGCCAACCTGAAGAGACAGGTTATCAGCGACTCAACCCTGACCGAGTTAGGGTAGGTAGGCTTCAGTCAAAACATACCAGATTGCAGGTCCATCCGAGCCATCCAGGCAGCTTGAACAACCTCGTGGACGGCAACAAGGCGCGCCCTCTCAAGACGTTGATACTCGGCGGGATGGCGTACGTAACACCCAACGCGACAACCGAGGCCGAGGTGATGGCGTTGAACGTGCTGGTCGACCCGAGCAGGATACAGCCAAACACAACGACCCAGCCGGCCGTCCACAGCAGCGCATTGAGCGGCACGTCGAGCGAGGGGTGGACCTTGGCAAAGACGGAGCTGAAGGGCATGCCGCGGTCTCGCGCGAACGCATAGCTCATGCGGCTGCTGGTGGTCATGAGCGTCGTGGTGGTGAAGAGCATGCAGACCAGCGGGAACATGAGCAGGCATGTGCTGCCTGCGCGGCTGTTGGTGGCATCCATGAAAATCTGGAGCAGCGGCCCCGCTGACGCGTCGATGGCGGCCTCGATGTCGGCCACGACGAAGAGAAGGCAGCTGAGGAAGACGAAGCCCGTGAACATGCCGATACCGATGCAGTACAGCATGATGCGCGGCCCTTGCACCTGCGCCCTCGGGATTTCCTCAATCATATGCACCGTCGCATCGAAGCCTAATGACACAAGACATGTTAGTGCTTCTTCCACCTGATACGAGAGAAAGAACGAAGTGAGGGCCAGCAAACAAACCTGCCAAGCCAAACGCCCCCTGCAGCAAGCCCAGAAGCCATGCCACGCCATCGGGCCATCCCGTCTCATTGAGGAAGTTGCCATAGACAAACCTGCCGCTCTGGTAGTTCGGCGACGCGCAGGCCAGCACGGTGATGCTGATGACAACAAAACCCAGCAGCGACCAGATAAACGCCGCCTTGGTGAAGTACGGCAGCAGACGCGTGAGGAAGGCGTTGACGACCAACGCGAACAGCGTAAACCCGATGTAGATCAGGAACTGGTGCCACGCCTCGGCCTCATAGCTCGGGTTGAACAGCGCAATCACGTTGACCACAAACGTGCTGCCCAACAACGGACCCGTCGCGCTCAGGGCAACCCAGCCCGCCATGTTGATCCAGCCCGTGCAGTAGCTGATCCCGCGACTCCATCTCTTCCACGACACAATCGCCGCCCAGTGGTACTGGCCCCCCGCCGTCGGGTATGCCGACAGAAACTCGGCCAGCGACGCCGCCAGACAAAGGTTGCATATCCCCGCGACAATCAGGCCCCAGATGACGGAGCTGGCGCCACCGGAGGGCAGCGCGAGCGAGATGGATGCGGCCAGGGCGGTCCACGTGTTGAGGATGGCAAAGGCGAGCCCGAGCATCGACACCATGGAGAAGTTGCGCTTGAGCTCCTGCTTGTGCCCGAGCCGCTCGAGCGCCGCGGCATCTTCCTCGGCACTGTGGCTGCGCGTGCTGAGCCGCTGCGCTTGCGCTTCCGCCTCGGGTACGTCTCCCGCCGCGGCCGTTTTCCTGTGTCGCTGCATCGTGTTCTAGGGGTCGTGATGGTGTGAATGCCAAGGGCCAAGGCCGGAGTGTGGCTGGTCTTGGAAGTCTTGGGATGGCGGGACAAATGCGATATTTACGTGGTGTGGGCTGTTATCATGGCGGCTCGTTGCACCTGCGTCATGTGGGATCCTGGGTGTAACGGATCTAGCCAATTCCCTGAATCGGAGGAGCCGATCCCTGATACTTCCTGGGGTATCACGGGGCTTCCCCGCATATGACTGGGGTAGCACACAGGGTATCAGGTCAGCCAAAGCCAATAGCTATCGTCACTAGCCGTTGCGCCGCTGGAACCTTTGGAAAGGCCGAAAGGTGCCGCCGAGAAATCCGGGCTCGCGTTGACATTTCGCTACGAACCATTATCGGCCCCCTGTTGGAGCGGGTTCGTCCTTTCCAAAAATGTCTACCGACTCCGACAGCAGATAAGCACTGATGGCACTTCAGGTAAGAACCGAGACTAACCTTATCTCATTAACCCGCTGTAATCCGAAATGTACCGAGATAAGAATCTGCGGATAGGAATTGTGGTAGGTGCAGCTGAACATGACAATAGAGCGGAATGCACAAGTATTCCGTATCTCTAGTACTGCGGAACTCGCGAACCCGTCAACGTTCGTGGATGTTCCTCTCTGAGTGTCGATTCTGCAGTCTCTCATCGAGCCACTTGTCCACTTCTTCGACGGATCTGATATTGTCCTGGAGACGGGATATATTCCGTAATCTGGTTTGCTAGACCAAATCACCTGTAGCCTCCTCGCTTTCGCAGTCAAGGGCCAGGTTCGCTTCCCGCATAAGGGGCTCGCAGTTTCGCTCCCGCGGATCTGATGTCGACCAGTCCCAAACGAGGGTGATATCATGCCCTGTGCCAACAAGCGCCCTTCGCATCCTCCGTATTTCAGCGAACTCTTCTAGTGGTTTCGACCCCGAGGGGGAGACTGAAGCAACAATGATGGAAACGTGATCCGTAAACAGTCTAACTATTGTCATGCTAGTAGTTAGCGGGCTTCCAGATATAGAGCAGATAATGTCGCCTTCTCGAATGGTCTTCGCCGAAGCCTGGAGAGTCCAGCTCAGAGCTTCTCCGTCAGTGACTACCTCAATTGTGTCACCGTTCCTTGAGCGTTCGACATGGCAGATATAAGCAAGCCCGTGAGCCTTAACAGCCAGCTCCCTCTATGGCAAGTCGTAAGAGATGGTTAAGGGCCAAAGATATGCGTAATAACTCGATGAAAGAGGTCTATCCACGGAATTGTATAGTCTAGAGATGACCCAACCGCATCGTAACCATCTGAGCTCATACCTAGCAACGCGAATACTCTGTTATAATGTTCCGTGGCTTTATGGCGATGGTACATATCGATATGCATTACCAAGGGGAGTAGTTCTGAAGCTAGAGGAACTCCATAGTCCGTCTATCTACCCCGAGTTATCGACCGGTATATTAAGTAGGTTACCGGGGCCAGAGAGTATGGTACCCTCTCTATAGTTAGCTATAAGCATAGGTCTTACTACTCCTTAAATAAGTCCTAGTAGCTTATATCGAGCGAACCTAGTCCCAAACAAAATATATACCCGTTAACTTCGATTTAGTATGACGAATCTCTTGCCCCAATCCTCTAAAAGGGATAACTGAAGGTATCTTGATAACAGGGAGAGGTTCGGTGAAGCCAAAAAGGTTCACAACAATGCTTGCCGCAATGTTTGCACAGTAGATGAGGACTACTGATTGAATTGCTCACTGAGGAAGCTAGCTATCTGAATGAGTGACAGAATGGTAGAACTATATACAGCTTCCTCCATGGTGACTATTGGTGTGCTCCTGATGCTCCCGGTGCTCCCTGGGAGCGATGGGATCAACGGGAGTAGATGGTGATCCCGTCCTGGGAGCGCTCCACTCGGGAGCACCCAAGGTCTCCAACCAATGCTTCCGTAACGATTGGTCCGGGGCGCCCCGCGCTCCAGTGCCGCATGCGTGACTGACCCCTGTTAGCTCAGTTCGTGACATTTAGCCGTACCGAATCCAGACTTGCTACACAGAAAAGGCCGCCTAAAGGACCTATACGAATTATATTAGTACTACCTACTATTGAAGCCGTTAGTGCCCTCTAGGTCTAGGGTAGGTTTGTCTTATCTAATCTTGGCGGAACCATAGTCTCTAAAAAAGTACCAGGATTAACTACTAATTAACATGTATGATAAGCGAGTGGGCAACTTTTTACGCGACGCGCCACCTCTCTCCTCAACATCAACCTTTTTCTACCATTCAACATGCCCGCTACTTTAGATGAAGGCAGGGTAATCTTAGCCCTCCAGGCTCTCCAAAACGACAAAAACCTAAGCGTTTCAACTGTAGCCAAGATCTACAATGTTGCCCGTATGACTTCAACCCAACAACGCGCGGGCCTGCCTGCACGATGCGATACTACGCCTAATTCGAGAAAGCTCACGCGATCAGAAGAGGAGGCTATTGTTCAATACATAATTGAGCTAATTACACGAGGTTTTCCACCACGGTTGTGTAGTGTGGAAGATATGGCCAACCAACTGCTACGTGAACGCGACGTGCCCCCTGTCGGCAAACGCTGGGCATACAACTTCGTCAAACGCCAGCCAAAGCTTCGAACGCGCTAAACACGTAGATACGACTACTAATTCAGTAGGCCTAGATTGGATCAAGCACTTCGATTACCATACAGCGCCCCGGGCAAAGGGCAAGTACCGGTTGTTGATCCTCGACGGCCACGAGAGTCACCACTCGACCGAATTCGAGCACTATTGCCAGCAGAACAACATCATTACGCTCTGCATCCCTCCACATTCCTCGCACTACCTCCAGCCACTCGATGCCGGCTGCTTTGGGCCGCTAAAGCAGGCGTACGGTCGGCAGATCGAGCACCTGATGCGCATGCATATCAACCACGTGAGCAAGCTCGAGTTCCTCTATGCCTTCCGCGAGGCCTTCTTTGCCTCTATGACGGAGAAAAATATACGAGGTGGCTTGGAGGATCACTTGCGGTACAAGATGCAAATGATCTACTAGGCCAGAGAGGCGTGGGTGATGAGGGGATGCAAGAAGCGCAGCCGGGTAGTAGTGGTGCAGGGGAGGGCCGTACGAAGGTTCGGTGCTGTGGTGCGTGCGGCAAGCCTGGCCATAATGCCCGCACTTGCCAGGAGGTTGCGGAAGCATCTAATTCAGTTGTTTCTGATGTAATTGTAGTTGGTTCTCAGTGTTGTTATATTACAATCAAGGATAGTTGTAATAGTCCGGAAGAAAGTTGCCCACTCACTTATCATGCCCACTCGCTTATCATACACGTTATTGCTACACCGAGAACAAGAGCTAGATGACAGGAATGAGCGTACAACCAGACCTTAAGTACTGGAGTACTATAGGCCGTTGGTCCCCTGGGTGAACACGCTGCGGAAAATAGTATTTCCAGGCAGTGGAAGGTGGAAGACGGAGGACAGCGGATTGTATGATCAGATGAGGAGGGTACTTGAGATGCTGAATGTACCCACAATCGCTTGTGTCCCAATGCTCTGTAGCCTGTTGGTAGCCGGCGCGGCCTTCCAATTGCATTCATGCATCCAAATATTGGACGACATAGTCCACCACTGAGGCAACCATAGTTGCGAGCAGCTGCCTGGCCGCAAGTGGAGATAGACACCTGAGGCGCTTCAACTCCATCGCTGTGTCGAACCCTTTAGAGGCTGCCATTGCAATGTGTTCGTTGTACCTGAGCTTGGCATCCATGACCATTCCCTAGTTTGCCTTGTACGAGACACAATCGCCAAGTATAGTAATAACGTGTCCGGTAATATGATGGCAGCAGAGGAGAGGCTGGAACTGCTAAGCGACGCGACCATCGAGGAGCCTGGCTCGTGGGGCCTAGTCGGGGTGAAAGAAAGAGTACTATTAAGATTTCTCAAAACTGTTCTTTGTCGTGGCAAATTTGGTACGGTATAAAGAAATTGCTCCTCTCAGGACCCTTCATTACATAGCAAATCAGCTGACGCATGTATCAATCTGAGATGAATCAAACTTCAAGAACGTCACCCCTCTAGACACATAGCCTAGGGCAATAGTATCGCCATAGATAGCCGCACATGTGGCTCTGTACTCTGTTGGAAACCAGAGAATATTCTTTCCATCTCGCGATATCCACTCCTTGTCGACGACGAAAGCATGATCTATAAGTTTCTGGTCGAAACATATATTGGATAAGTCTGATGCTGGGGCAAGGCTGAAATTTTCATAGTCAGTCTTATCAGAGAACGCTAGACTTCGAAGTCGGTTGGTTTCAAGCCTCTGTTGGTGCACACCTGTCACCACCTCCCAGAGCCGGACTGTGCAATCATCTGCCGACAAGAGCATTTTATCGTCCGACGAGAAAGCGATGGCGTAAACCCAACTGCTGTGGCCCTTGAGTGTCTGTTGGTGCGTCCCCGTCGGTACATCCCAGAGCCGGACTTTGTTATCGTTCGAAGCCGATGCAAGCGTTTTGCTGTCTAGCGAGAAGGCAACGGCCCTGACAGAGCCGCTATAGCCCTCCGGTGTCTGTAGGTGCATGCCCGTCGTTGCATTCCAGAGTCGGATTGTGTGATTGCTTGAAGCTGACGCGAGCATCTTGTCGTCTGGCGAGAAGGCGATGGCGTAGATCCAACTGCTGTGGCCCTTAAGCGTCCGTCAATGCTTGCCCATCGTTGCATTCCAGAGCCGGATCGTATGATCGCCTGAAGCCGATGCAAGCTTCTGGCCGTCCGGCGAGAAGGCGACGGCATAGACAGACTCACTATGACCTTTGAGGTTTTTGTAATTGCCCGTCGTTGTATCCCAGAGCCGGGCTGTATGATCACGCAAAGCCGACGCGAGCGTTTTGCTGTCCAACGAGAAGGCGATGGCGTAGACAGAATCGCTATGACCGTCCAGATTTTGCCGGTGCTCGCCTATTGTTGCATGCCAGAGCCGGATCGTGTGATCGCCTGAAGCCGATGCCAGCGTCTTGCCGTCTGGCGAGAAGGCAACGGCGTTAATGGTATTGCCATAACCCTCGAGCGTCTGTTGATGCGCATCCCAGCGGTCTCTAATACCTGCGACCTCTTTGACAAATGATAGCCTTTCCTTCCATTGCTCAATCTTCACTTTGCTCTTCGTTGGACTAAACATGAGCGCGGAGCCATACGCCTGCATCGGAACCCGGTTTATAATCGACCAGTTGCCAAGTACAAACCTCTCAGCATCTCTCAAGAACTCAAGCCTAGTACTCTTACTAGACTGTAACTAACAGAGTTCAGTATTCGGATACAACCATAACTTAGGCGTTATATACATACCTGAGCGACATGCAGAAGTTTTCGTATCGATAGTATTCCGTCTGAAAGCCGGCCCAGCAGAGACAAGCTCTCAAGCCAGTGGAGGAAATGATCCTTCAAAAAAGTGAACACTTCCCCATTATCCGCTAGCTCTTCCTTCGACGCTCAGAGATGGTCGATCCAGAACACGCAAGAATACCGCATGGCTGCCAACGGATTTGGGTTTGGTGCCTTGATTTCGCCGATTGGGAGTCCAGGATGTTGCAACTTATAGACGTTCCTATATAGCGTCTTGGACACGCCTTCTCGCGACCACGAGAAAATGGTGTGGTGGACGGCTAAAGTGCCCATTGGGAAGATTGTACTGCTTGCTTTCCCGCTTAAGTAGTCCTTAGCCGACTGGTGAATGAAGTAGACTCGGTCGTCTTGAACCGTGAGGAAAGAGCCGTACATGGCTACAATTCCCCTTATGACCTCTTCGTTATCTGAAATCAGAGATGATACTCCGGACAGGACACCTAGTTCCGCTAGGTGAAGCGGACGATATACTAGAGTAACCGTAGAAAGAACATCTCGACAGAGCCTGGGATTCTATCGCTTCAGCCGTTGAATTTGATTCATCATCTGGTCGTAAGCCTCTTCCAAATCTTTCCGTAATTCTTTAAGCACTTGGAATATCTCCCAACTCTTTACAGGTTGAAGCTCCCGAGTAACAAGAGGAACCCACAGAAATGTGCCGTTAGCATTCTGGCGTAAGGTGTTTCAGATGTGATCCCTTTGGTCATGGTCCTGCAGGGATTAGATTTCTGCCACTTTCGAGTCGATGTAAGCATTGACGGCATGAGACATCTGCTCTGCATTCGACTCTGACTCGAGACTAAGCTCTAGTCTCAAGCCACCCAGCTTTAGCTGCTGCTCGATCTCGGGCCTGTCGCGGCTAGAGACGACCCACTTCGCGAGAGATGAAGACGATTCGGAAATGAAAGTTGAGCAGCTGTTGTTGGTCCGCCCTACATTCGTCTAGTACATCAACGATCATTATCTTGTCTGCAAGAATCATGTCTCCTAGCATTCTTGTGAGAATTCGGGACAGGGCAACGCAGGCATTTACATCCTCGAAGAGTAATTTGCCCGCATGGTCGTACTGGTCTTAGACGTAAGAGATGAGATGCGGATGCTGAATAATAAGAAAATATATGAGGCCGCGTAGCACCGCTGCCGCATTATTGCGGCGCGCGTCGGTGCCCTAGCAGAAAAAATAGGCCGGTTGGCCGGTTCGGGTGGATTTCTTATTCAGTTGGTCGATAATGCCGCAAAATAGCATGGTCTTCCCCTTGCCTAGGCCACCCTTAACCCAGAGTAGCTGTTTCTGCGAACCATTTCGCCACGCTACAAAGTCGGGGTAGTCGAGAATCCAGCGATAGGATTCTTCCAGCAGACCTCCTTTCGTACTCTCGATGCGAGCCTTGTCATCTCGAGGGTCCGTAACCCGTAAATTCTTCAGACATTGTCGTTTCTTCTCGTCCTGCAGAGCCAAAAAGATGTCTTGAAGCTTTATCTGCTGGGAATCTGCGGCAATGGAGATGGTTTGAAGGTGATCTTTGATCTGCTCAGTGTTGTATTGTTCAGAATCTTTCCGAACCGCGTCCTCAGCATTTCGAATTTCGTCCAGATTGCCATCCCAGTTGTCAATCCTCAAAATGTTCCTCAGGAAGAATATGGTCCGGTTACGGTAGTATCTGACGACGCTCTTCATCTGATACAAGAGGAGTTTCTAGTAGAGCTGAATAACGTGCTTCTCGAGCTGGTCCCACAGCGCTACAGACGACGTCTCGGCCCTGTTCTCATCGAGATGGAAAACCGCCAAGTTCCAGTACCAATCCATTCTCGACACGACGTAGGTAAGCCCCTGGCGATTGATGCCAGCCTCGCTGATCGGATTCGAGAGATCTGTCGGTTGTTAGCGGACCACGGCTGTAGCCTCAAGGGAATGAGAAAAGGGAACTGACCTCTAGAGCGAAGCAGATGCCGACCCAAGCAACGGCAGCTTCGGGAGAGGCCTGAACAGCCGTGTCTACTATCTGCTTCACGGCATATACGGCTTGCATTCCATCCTGGATCCCTTCCTTGACGGCTGCTTCTTTCGCGGTCCTCTCTAAGCCTGCCCGGACGATCTGCGCCATTTGGCCCCGTCTTCCCTTCTGGGTCTGTTCAATCTCATTTCGCTGAGTCGCCAAGTTCATGGAAGTTGGATCGCGCGTTTTGAGCTCACGCGTGAGAATCTTCTCATACGCCTCGACAGTTTTTGACTCGTTTGTTTTGAGCCCATCGTATGCTTCGTCCCAAAGTCGTTCTTGTAGGCTCCGCGGCGATGTTTCAGGACCGCGAGAGGCCGGCTGGGAAGGAGTCTCGGAAGTAATCACGGAAGTAGTCAAGGCACGCCGGTGCGGAGATGTTTGGTCACACCCTCTCTTGAACTTAGATTTCGACGACATGATTGCCACGGGGATGAGAATAAAGGTCCTCAATGATGACAGCAATGCTTCGTAATTATCTTGTCCTTCAGAGCTTTGCAGTGGCAACAATGGAAGTAAACATGTCCCCTGGCAGCGAGGGGGCTACATATTCATACTAGGATATTCATGGACAGACACTCTTATGGACTTTCTGGAGACCTGGCGGCTATTGTCGGGTGAAAAGCGTCCAGTCAGTTTGACAGCAGGCGTGACATATGAGGAACCGTCTATGTCACGCCTAGCCTGCTGTTCCAGGTCGAGACTCGATCGTGAAAAGAGCAGGCGTGATATATGGAGAACTATCTAGGTCACGCCTAGCCTGCTATTCCAGGTCGAGACTCGATTATAAAAAGAGTAGGCGTGACATATGGAGAGCCGTCTACGTCATACTAGCCTGCTGTTCCAGGTCGAGACTCGATCGTGAAACCTTCCATCAGCCTATGAATATCCGACAAGGCGTATAGGAGCCAGACAGCAGAGGTGATGCCATGACCGCATCCACTTACCGTACACCAGTCAGAATATGCTAACGTTAGTTGAACTAGCTTTCTCTGCCGATGTTGTTCTTTTTGTTGTTCTTAATATCCTTCGTATCCTGAGAGTATGCGATGACCCGCAGCGCCGTTATTAGCCCTTCCAGTGCCGTGGAAAGTGCGGGAAGTGTCGTGTTGAGATAGGCCCTGGACGAGCCTATGCTTGGTTGATGCCACAAGAGGCTTGGTCATGACCAAATATCGCTGACAAGAGTCTACACGCCAAGGGGTTCTTGGAGTGCTCACCTGTTACGTTTGCCAATATATGGTACCGCAAAACTGTAACGGTCCAATCGAGTGTTTCTTAACTGGCTATGGCGACCAGTAATCTAATGCTAAGAAGAAAAGGAAACATCAAGGAGCTGGATGGGGTCGGTATAGCTTGTCTTAGGTGGGCAAGGCCTCTGAGCCCGGACCCTTCACGTAGTCCCCGAAATTATCCCGATAATTGACAGTATGACAATCAGGATTTGTGGTTCCATCTACATACTCGAGCGCAGGCGCATGTAACTACCATCATATTACATTTTCTCCAACCAGAGACTTGCGCAGCGCCAACCAACGGAACTGGTTTCTTGCTTTGCGGTGGCTCCCTGAGAAACGGGTGCTCTTGACGCGTTCATGATGACGACTGCTCGTCACGAGTCAAAAGTTGGCAGCCAGATCTCTCTCAGAACGGAAACAAATGCAATTGGCGAGACCAGCATCCTGAACGCCACCCCCCCCATCATCGCTATCCCAACAGTGTACATAACGAGGTGATCATCATCAGCAGTGACGAGGATAAAACCGGCGAAGCACTCCTCGCAGCATAGACTTAGGCTTCCATCCCACATCTGGCTCCTGTAGGGACACGTAAAGTCAAAACTTGACGACGTCCCGGACCAAACGTTACGCAAGCGTCGGTCAATTAACTACGAAAGCTTCGCACATGTTCTTGACGCCATTCCTGCTACGGAGTGTTAATAGACAGGAATGGTCAGGTGAATCCCGGTGGAGCAGTCCTCCACTTATCACCTCACTCGCCATTGTTCCGGCGACCAATATGATAAATTAAGCTGGTTAAAACCTGAACTTCATAAATGCAGGCGTTCCAACATGAAACCCCTCGAGATACCCTTGCTGGACGCCATCACTAACCCTCGTCGTCCTCCATTGGTAGACTAGAAGTCATAAAAAATCGCCGGTCTCCAGACATACGAAAGTTGTGCTTTCATCCCCCGACCCACCTCTTCCGCTTAGTCTTTAAAAGGACTGACTAGGCGTTCACGAACTGAACGGACCGGCTGCTTGACGGATCCCAGCAGGCAATTTCGCGTCCCAAACCTCGTGGCTAACGAATTCACTGCCTCCTCAAGGCCGCCACTCATCCCGATGCCAAACTCAGAGGAGGCGCCGGCTCAATGGACAAATCTGTCATGCCCGCTTTGAGGTTCGTCGGTTCGGGATTACGGGAGTAAGGTTCTGGCCCGTCCTGATCCAAGAATTGCTGCGCATTTGCTGCGGTGCTGATCATAGCACCCGTCCCTGTACTTGCTGCAACACCGACACCCTGACGTCTCTCCATACGGCAACGGCCGGTATGGCAACCAACAGCACCGCCATGCCCGCGACCACCATACGTCTTTGCGCAGTGCCATAAGCCAGCATGACTGCCTCTCTGACGGGATTGCCGACGGGGTAGCTGAGCTGCAGCTCTAGGCTCTCGTAGATCTCCTTGGCCATGTCCTTCGCGTCGTCTGGCAATAGCCTCAGCAGTTCGGCATGAACAGTGTTGCTCCAAATCGCGCCCGACACCGAGGATCCGACGCCTGCCCCCATGGCACTGGACAGACCTAACAGGGCAAGGAGGGACGCCACCTCGCCGTGCTTGGCGATCGACATGACGGCCATTCGTCCCGTAACGACCAACGTGCCTCCACCGATGGCGATGAGAACCTGGCAAATTATCACGTACGCGATGGGCGTGTAAGGCTGTCTGAAGACGACCATAGAAGCACCGCCCAATAACTGGATGGGCACGGCAATCCATGCGAGCCATCTGAAGCGATCAGTCGCTTTGATGAGCCACCCGACGACGATGGCCCACAGACAACTGCCGATGCTGTACACGTTGTCGACATAGCCGGCCTCCGATACGCTGAGCTGATGAACGACCTGCAGATAGGAGGTATAATACCCATCCCAGCTGAAGTAGGCGATGGATAAGGTAGTAGAGAGGATGCATGCGCCCAAGACGTCGCCAGAAAGCAAGAGCTGGAACGGTAGAAAAGGTTTGTGGGCGTAGTAGCGCTCGTAGAGGAGAAGGACGACGCTGAGTATACTGCCAAGGACAACCATGGCGATAATTCCGGGCGAAGACCACTTGCTGCCGGCCGACCCGGCCAGGGAGAATGGAAGAAGTAAGAGGCTGAAACCCATACCGAGGAGTATGACTCCGACAGCTGGAAACGTTTAGCACGCATTCGTAGATTAAAACATGGCTGAACGCACCATCGAACTCCATTGTGAAATACAAGAAATTTTCAGACCAGGTCCGGTGGCTCTTCACTGCCTTAAGCTCACCCAACCTCTGCGCCTTCCTCGCGTTGCTTTCAAGGATCACATATACCGATACCGCTGTTAACGGCATTACAACAGCAAAGGAAACAAACGCTGTCCGCCATGAGCTGTATTGAAGAAACCATTGCGCCGCAACCGGGCCAGCAAAAGTAGTCGCGATGTACGGCGAGTCTGCGAACGACAGCGCCAATGACCGGTTTTTCAATGACGACGTGTCTGCAACGATAATTTCCAAGATGTAGGTGAATCCACTGAATCCCACACCATGGAGAATTTTGGCTGCCGCGTACGTCTTGACATCTTTACAAAGGGACATAAGGACCAAGCCAAGCGTAGCCAGCGCCGTCATGACGGCGAAGCCCTGCGGTCGACCCCAAGCGTCGATCATCTTGGCAACGGGCAATTTAAGAACACCGCTGAGGATAAAGGAAGTGATGCCGATGGCCGGGATGAGCGAATGTGCCGAGAAGTCGCTGACGACGTAAGGAAGGAGATTCGAAGTAGTTTGTTGCTGGAGAGAGTTGACGAAGAAGTTCAGGAAGATGAAACAGTAGGCCCAAACAAATGCGGAGCTCGTCCAGACGCGATTAATGGCATCTGCCCTCTCGACTCCTGCTTGATCCCCGGAAGCGAGCAAGTCTTTCTTCCGATCTATGTCATCCTGCCTGGTTGCGTTGATAGTGACTTCAGTCGTGCCGTAGTTAACGCTGTTGCCAAGCAGCGGTTCGTCCGCCGTTGCCGCGTCGTTCTGCATCGTATGAGGAGGATGTTGGTATAGCTGGTGAAGAAGTGCAACCCGACTTGCTAGGTTCGATCCATAGCAGCGGATCTTCGCCCGGGTGGCAGGGAGGAGGGGAGGCGGCGTTTTTCATGCCACTCTCAACCATGTCTACAATCAGCTCGTGTCTGGGTCGACTGCCCTAGAAACAGCAAATATAAAGGCGGTAGTTATTCAGGAGTCAAGAAAATGCATTCTGATTGGTGTGGTCATGGTACCACCTGCACAGCTTAGCTCCTATTCGCCTTGTCGGATATATCAATATGCTGATGATGTTCACGATCGAGTCTCGACCTGGAACAGCAGGCTAGTATGACGTAGACGGTTCTCCACATATCACGCCTACTCTTTTCATAATCGAGTCTCGACCTAGAATAGCAGGCTAGGCATGACATAGATAGTTCTCCATATATCACGCCTGCTCTTTTCACGATCGAGTCTCGACCTGGAATAGCAGGCTAGTATGACGTAGACGGTTCTCCATATGTCACGCCTGCTCTTTTTACGATCGAGTCTCGACCTGGAACAGCAGGCTAGTATGACGTAGACGGTTCTCCATATGTCACGCCTACTCTTTTCATAATCGAGTCTCGACCTGGAACAGCAGGCTAGGCGTGACGTAGACGGTTCTTCATATGTCACGCCTGCTGTCAAACTGACTGGACGCTTTACCCGACAATAGCAAGGACATAGTCGGCGCAGTCGTCATCCGAAGGATTCTTGTGGACAGGGTAATGGGCCTTATATTTACAATCCCGTACTTTTTTCTCGGCGATTTGTGGCAGTATTCGAGCTTGTAGCGGGAACTGATATGGCCACAGCGGTGACTCATTTGCTGCCAGATACACATTGCGGTTGAAGAAAAGATAGTCCAGGTAACGTGTGGTTATCTCAGGGCAGTTTTAGTGGGTGATCCGCTGGATGACCCGCAAATAATGGCCCTGCCTCTGAAATAACACTTTTATCTTACCAGGGGCGGCCGCCAGGCCGCCCGAAAAACAGAAAAAAAATGGGATCGCCGGCCATAAAAAGAAAAAAAAGTAGGCGGCGATTTATATATGGTCTAGAGCCATCGCGCAATACGATTTACGAGTTGTGCATCGCTATGGCTATAGAGAAACTCGCGATCAACTGGTTTCCGAGCGGCCTTTTAGGGGCAGTGCGCTATTGAGCGACCTATCCCCAGTAAAATCTTAGTGGACTTTAAGGGGCAGATGCCCACGAGACGGTATCAATACGTATATATCTATCTACAGTATATGGCGAGACGGTCAGAGTAGATTCAGTATTGAAGATTGCTTTTTACGACTTCCGGGTCGCCTTGATGTGCTTTGCAGGGGCATCTAGCGACAGGTTACCGCCCTCCATGCGCTGCTTTTCGACTTCCTGGACCGCGTCCTCTTCCGGCCACCCCCTGGTGCCGGCGAGCCGTACGACCCCATCCATAACGACCTTCCGCATGGAGAAGATCTGCCGCTCGTTACGCGGGCGCCATTGCGAGCCCCACTGCTTCTCCAGCTCGTCAATGGAGGGCATCATAGCGAGCCCGTGGCGCCAAAGCTGATAAAGATCCCCGACCGTACGGAGCGTACGCGGGAACCGGATCTGCGGCGGGCCCTGCTGCGCGACGGTCATAGCCGGTACCTCGAGTACCGCAGGACTCGAGACAGCGGCTACTATGCCTGTTGCCGGCGCCGGAGCAGCTCTATGGTCTGACCGAGAGATTGCGGTAAGCGGAGGTCCCGCCAACGGCGTCGCCGGCCTCTGGCCCGGTAGCTCGGGAGGCGACAGGAGACCCCGTGGCCCTGTCGGCTTACAAGCTGCTCGGTACGGTGCAGCCGCCCACCTGGTGTAAAGGTGGTGACGACTTGGTATTCCATCCGACACATGTCGGCAACCTAGGCCTTCAATAGCTTCACCTCCTGTACTAACTCAAAATGCCTCCTTTCTACCGCCTTCTCGACGGCAAGCTAATAAGCTGTTAGGCTTTTGAGCTTTTCGGAGACCTCAGGGATCACCTTCTCGATGGCTGTACCGCGGTCGTCTTCAAAGCTCTCTTGCGCGGCTTCCCTGACCTTGATAGCAAAGGCGTTGATCTGGGGCGACCAAAACACCGGATCTTGGAAGACGGGCCCGGTACTTTGCTCTCAAGAACGGAGCGTCCTGCAAGATGACATCTCGTAGCCAGTGCAGCAGCGCAAAACTTGAGCTTTCGAGTTCTGCACTATGATGACTTCAGAGTGGAGCTCCGAGACAATGCGGCTAATGGTTGGCGACATTCCGCAAGTCGGACGCGCTCGAAAGTATCACGCGCTTACCCACAGGCAACGAAGCGTTCTGGTCCAGCTATTGCCTGAACCCCTGTGGACTTTCTCCGATCCAAACTCGTAAGTCCTGGATTTTGGTTTGGTCTGGGCTTGGTCTAGGTATATAGCAACCGCACGGACTAAGAATGCCACTATATGTTTCTTCTCACCTAGACACGTTGTACATTTGTTGCCTTGATGCCTTGCTAACCCGTTCATATAGATATCCAGAATCTGACTTAATTTTGCGGTCTGCGAACCCCCCCAGCCCTCTATCTCTTAGCATCAAGGATAGGCCTTTGCAGCCTTTGGAACGAGTTCACTATTATGGTTGCCTCTAACGACTTTAACTTTGGATAGGTTAGACGCCTTTTCAACGTAATGTTCGCTGCTCTATTAGTGAGTTGTTAATATAAATATAATAAAAACTGCTGTATAGCTGCCATTACATTAGCTGTGAAGCTTGTAGCAGCAGGTACTTCTTACTTACCTAATAGTTCCAATTAGAACTTCATTCTTTTTTGCTCCATATATGGCAAGAAAGGCTATGGCAATAATGCTAAACATTGCAACTAGTCCTAGACGTACTAGGTTCCGGGTCTCCAAGTAGAGATCTAATATACTGAAGAATATTAAGCCTACTGCGAGTCACTGCGACTATCGAGACTAAGATATCAATTTTCGAACTGGGAAAGAACTAGAGGGTGCCTTTATTACTAGGGGGCCTAAAATAGATGATATAATCCTATAGGACGTTTCCAGTTAGCTTTCAGAGCAATATTCAGATATTTAAATAAAGGATAAAAATCCTATTAATAAGATAGAAAAGCTCAAGGGGTATTCTTCTAACAATCCAAGCCAATAAACTATTGTATCTCCTGTTAAGTGATACTAACTTATATAGCTCTTATATAAACTTGAGACGCTATCGTTCATATACCCCTCGAGGCTTAGTATTAGCTAGGTAATGTTTCCCTCTATCCTCTAGAGGTTGCTCCTTGTTTAACCAGGACTATAGAAGACTAATATGTTTATTTAAAGGAATAGGAAGCCAAAGGATATCCTAGTACTATAGTAGAGCCGTATCTTTATTTAAGACTATCAAAAGTATAACTTTTAACTATCCCTTTAGAAGAGTAATATACTATAGGCTTTGAGCTTCGTCCTAATGTTCCGAAATAACCTCGCTCTCCTCTTATTCTAAGCAAAAGCTTTCTAACTCTTTAGTATTGGGAAGTTATGTCTAATCTCGTTCTTATCTTGCTAAAGCTTATAGTCGACTTAGGAGAGCTGAGCCTCGAGATCTATAACTTTACTCTAAAGGTATAGTAATTTCCTCAAGTTTAGGGTTAAGAACCTTCTAAAGATTATATATATTTTATCTTAGCTGGTAAGAGAAGTATGTCTTAGGTAACTAGAGGGAATGTTATTAAACCTAGGAGCCTCTATCCTTGTGAGTATACCTAATACTAAGGTAGCTAATACTAGTAATATCACGTTTTTATAAAATTCTAGGCCAGGGTCCTTCTGCTAGTTATACTTTTACTATAGCGTCTTTTTCGGCTAGAGAAAGATAGTTTTTTTTTTTTCTTTTAGGAAATTTTCTCTTGAGATACTTGCGACTTTATGGCTGTAAATTTAGGGGCCAGTTGTAGGTAATAGAAGGTTAGCATTAAGTATAACTATTATACAATAGATAGTTATTTACTAGAGGCTAAAAAGATATTATATATTCGCATTCGTGTTTCGCCTGGTATAGCACTTGCCGGTTGCCCGATTGAACAGACAGAATTCTATAATCCGTAATACCTGATTTGGGATCCAATGAGGGCCTGAGTCTAACCTACCATCAATCTATTACCTGCCTATTAGGCTGCTTGTTGGGTTGCCTGCTAGGCTGCCTGCTAGGCCAAAAAAGAGGTAAACGTTAAACATAGATCTTAGGTACATGTTATATCCAATATCCTTTGTGCTTTTATACTTGAAAGATTATAATTAGCATAACTACCTACTCGTATAGCAGGTTTATACCCAATGTTCTAAATTCTATCAGCGGAATATAAAGGGCCTCTCGAACATCTTGGGATATATAAGCAAGATGCCAGACCTTTATAATCTATATATTATATTGCCGAAAGGGGATGGGGGTAGTATATCTCCGGCTGGAGATAGGAGTGGTGGTGGTAGCATTGTTACTGCCATTATCACTCTCATCATTGCCCTACTTAGTTTAAAGAAAAGCTAAAGGAACCTAAGGGCGCTAACAAAGTAAGTCGTCCTTCTTTATATTAGGTAAAAAGGCTAGATTAAAACCACTAGCTTATAAACCGATGTAGCATAAAGCAATGGATTTCTCCGAGTATCTTAGCACGGCATACTTCATAGGGGATATTTAATTACAAGCACCGGCTAGTTATAAAAGAGGGACATCTTGCCAAAGGGGTAGTAAGGAGCGAACTATAAAATATCTAGGGATAAGGACGGAAATTAGCAGCTTATTTATATTATATAATTTAATAGAATTAAAGTACCTTAAGGCTAACTGGTCTTTTATAATCCTTATCTAAGTATACTAGGGAAAGTGAGAGGTATAGACATTTGGCGAAAATATGGTATAGGTATATAACAATGATAGGGGAAAACTAGCAATCTTGATATTATTATTGTTACTATCTATAATATCTATGTCTAGAAAAGAGAGGGTATCTATATAAAGGTGGGTAGATAAGGATATATATAGGTATAGGACACGTGCAATACTCCCTACAGACAGCTACCTGCCTATCCCCCAGATGAGGCTATTCCTTTACCTCCTTTCTAGAATAATGTTATACGTATATTTCTATGGTGTTTAACATGTCCATCATTCCCATCGCATTAGTGCCTATCCTTTCGGGATATAAATCCTATCAATCCATCCAATATAGGAACTTATACGCAGAGGAACTGACGGTGCCTAGTGTGGTGGTGGATATGTATGTATTGTGTCTGTGGGAGGATAGGCCAGGACAGGGTGGGCTGTCTGGGATATGGAAAGAGAGGACCATAGAGTCACGTGGTCTCCCGCAACATCTAGGACTTCTTCCTCTTTGTTATGCCAGTAGCCGATAAAACGTGCTTGTTTCTCATACAACAGGGGCTTCGTCAATCCATCGACAGCCATATCAATGCCCTTGACATGCACGACCTTCAGAAGGCCGCGTTTGACCCGTTGTATTTCATGTCTTCCCACTCCTTGCTAACGTTAATGATTTCCACATAATTAGTCCTGAACACACCGAAGGCGTGGGGTCTCGGGACCGCTCCTAGACGTCCCCAAGCATGATGCTTGATCTAAATAGAAGGTGCTGCCACTGGCGACTCCACGGCGATTGACAATGATTTAGAACTCTCGATACCGGCGTCCGATCTAGCTGTAGATACCGATCTATGACGTTTGCGTGGCTAGTATATGACGCGTATGGGTGTGCTACGGCGGAGCTAACGCGTCATGACATAGAGAACATAGAACTGTTATATAAATAAATCAAGTGCTCAATGGAGTTACCTGCCTGATTCACAGTAGAAAGCTTCAAACTCACATCCTCTTTACCACGTAGTTACTTCTCAAGCCGGTATGATGAGCTTCATCAACGTGTCAGATGTCATTTCACTCGTTGAGATTGCGATAGATTTACGAAAGAGATTCGTTGAGGCGCCAATCGAATATAGTGCCATTGCTACAAAGTTAGTGAAGCGGCTCTCCTCCCCATAAAATGGACTTGATGTTCTCCTAGTGCTAAGCATTAGTGGCGATGCAGCCTCAGACTTCTCACCGTCACTCTTGAAGACGTCGAAGTCGCCTGCTCAGATTGGACGCTTTCAGAAGATGAGAAGAATACGCGACAAGTGTATTGCAAAGCGTGTAAGGAGACTCTTCAAAAGCTGCAGAAGAAATTGGACAGCTATAAGGCCTTGGAAGCTTCGCGGTCTGGCGGCCTGGGTCAAAAGGTGGTGACGACCTGGAAGCGGATCACGTTTGACGCAGCTGAAATGCACAACTTTCGGGATCAGATAGCCCTTCATATTAGCAACCTCGGCTTTTTCTTCAGTCGCATAGCCAGGTAGTTACATACTCCTTACTCATGGAACAAGTCTGACATTGGACAGCCGACGCTCATCCTCAGTCCTCGAGAGCTTCACACGACTAGAGCAACGTATGGAGGAGGAGGACACTCAAGCGGTTGCTGATTGGCTCACACCCGTCAACCATGCGGCCAGACATAGTACTCTTCTTGCCCAACAGCGAGAGGAAACTGGACAATGGCTTCTTGCTGAAGACAAGGTGCGGTCATGGGTTGACCTAAGCACTGTAGCTTCGGCAACGCTCACCCTCACCAAAAGCATGGGCGATATGGCGGCGAGCTCGAGGGTTTTGTTCTGGCCAGGACCTCCCGGGGCAGGAAAAACAATGCTCACTGCTGTCCTTGTCGAGCATCTGTGCAAGCAGTTCCAAAACAAAGGTGGGATTGGCATCGCTTATTTCTATTGCGATTACGGCTTGGACAGTGGCCAGGAACCCCCCGACATCCTTGCAAGCATACTCAAGCAGCTAATCCAAAAACGACGTGCTTTGTCCGACAGTGTACGACGACTCTACGGGGAGCACAAATGGGATCGAACACGACCCTCGTCTCGGGAGGTTTCAGATACGCTGAGTTCTGTTGCCAAGGAGTTCTCCAGCATATTCATCCTCGTCGACGGCCTGGACGAATACGAACTCAGGTCCAAATCATGGACTTCCACCTTGGCGGAAATTAAAAAATTACGCCCTACCGAGTCCCCGGTCCGCATCCTCGCAACGTCTTCGGACATTCCCGCGGTCAGTGGAGAGTTCAAAGGGTATGATTCGATAATGATACGTGCGAATCCTGAAGACCTTCACCGATATGTGCAAGGGAGGATCTTTGACCTTCGACCATTCGTCTGGAGAGATGCCGATCTTCAGGAAACAATCAAAACTGAGACTGTTAAGATAGCGGGCGGAATGTACGAGCCATGTTCCGATGACAGTCGACTCCGTAATTGACATAGCAGTCACAGATTTCTCGTCGCACAAATGATCATGGATTCCTTAAGGGACAAGTCGTCAAAGGCAGAAGTCACAGAAGCACTGAAAGCTTTCTCGCCGGAGGGTAAGGCATCTGGAACCGGCAGTGGGGTTGATGCATTGGACCTTGCATATTCCCAAATTGGGGAGAAGATTGATGGACAGTTGGACGGCCTTCGGAAACTCGCGATGGCTGTTATGGCTTGGGTTACTTGCGCCAGAAGGCCGCTGACCCTGCCAGAACTCCGCCGGGCTGTTTCTATGAAGCTCGGTCAGAAGAAACTCGACACGGCTGGCCTTCCCGACGCCGTCGATGTCCTTTCCGTGTGCGGTGGTTTACTAACCGTGGTGGAAGATTCCGAGGTTGTCCGCTTCGTTCACCCCACCGCAAAGGAGTACTTCAAACGCAACATTGCCGACAAGTTTCCCGAACCAGAGAAGTCCATCGCCGGTATTTGCATCACCTGCCTATCGTTTGATGAGTTCACTGGGTTTTGCTCATCACGGGAGGAGTTCGACGCTCGAGCCAAGCACAATCCATTTTACGATTACGCTGCGAAGTGTTGGGGGCATCATGCTCGGGCCGCCGACATGCAGCTCGACCCACTTACCTTGCGGTTTCTCCAAAGCGGCGGCAATGTCAGCGCGGCTACGCAGGCCATGATGGCATCTAGCAGCGACCCCGGAAGCAGCAAAAACGCACCAAGGCACTGGACAGGCATGCATCTTGCCGCCTACTTTGGGCTGAGAGATACCATCGCCACCTTGGTTAAACTGAAACAGGAACCGGATTGCGAGGATTCTTATGGCCGGACCCCACTTGCATGGGCCGCACTTACTGGCTCCAAGGATGTGGTACAAGCTCTTCTGAATCCGGGCTGTGATGGGGTGAAACCCGCGAAAGCCGATGCCAAAGATAAGAGCGGCCGAACGCCACTGTCGCACGCCGCATCGAAAGGCCATGCCGACGTGGTGGCCCTTCTCCTTGCGAGAAAGGACGTAAGCAAGGATGTGAAGGATAACGATGATCGTACGCCATTATCGTTGGCTTCAATGTATGGGCACGAGAAGGTGGTGCAGTTGCTTCTGAAGGAAGAGGATGTCGACCCCGATTCAAAGCACAAATACGGTCGCACGCCATTGATATGGGCTGCAGAGAAGGGGCATTTAGCCGTGGTGAATCAGCTCCTAGGCATGAATCAGCGCCCGGACAGTCAAAAGGTTGTTGATGCAAACAGGGAGGACTCGAAGTACAAGCGAACAGCGCTGAGCCGGGCAGCATGGAATGGGCATTTGGAGGTGGTGGAGTTACTACTCTCGACACCCGGTGTGGATGCTGACCACAAGGATGTGAATGGCACGACGCCGCTCTCGCTGGCTGCCTCAGCCGGCCATGCAGCCGTGGTAAAGCTTTTGCTTACCAGAGAGGATATTGAACGCAACTCTGAGGATGAAAATGGTTACACTCCCCTAACTTGGGCTGCAAAACGGGGGTGGGAGGCTGTGGTGGATTGCTTACTCGCCGACCACCGCGTCGAACTAGAGCACATGGACAAAACCGGGCGTACACCGCTGCACTGGGCTCTACGCGGAGGAGCTCATGTCGTTACCGAGCACCTGGTCAGAAAATACAAAGGGGACGTCATGATCGAGGTGGAGAATAACGGGGAGGAGCCTGAGACCGTTATATCCTGCGACGCTTGTCGCGGCAGCATTCCCAACGGGGCCATCTACTACCATTGCGAGTTCTGCAAAGAAGGAAACTACGACATCTGTAGCGATTGCAGGTCAAAAGAGCATCACTGCGCCGATCCATCTCACATCTTACTCAAGCGGCGGATCTCAAAAGGCAGCCCGGTGGATATGACTTAAGGAGGAAGGATGTGAAAGGATATGTGGTGGAGAGCAGTGTTGAGACTGAAAACTGACAGGAAAGAGCAGAGACTGAACGAGAAGTAGCTATCTAGGTAGTAATTACCGATTTCTTCACTGTGCTGCCCGTCACTAGGCGTGCAATCCTGAAATGGCTGTACAGAGTGAAATCCATTTATGTGACGAATCTCTTGCCCCAATCCTCTGAGAGGGACAATATGAAAGGTATCTTGACAATGGGGTGAGGTTCGGTGAAGCCAAAAGGTTCACAACAATGCTTGCCGCAATGTCTGCACAATAGGTAAGGACTATTGCTTGAAATTGCTCACTGGAGAACTCCCAGAGTCCTCCAGAACGAGTGACTATATACTATCTACTTTTGGGTGCTCTCATGTGCTCTATAGAGCTCCCTAGAGCTGGTGCTCTGTCGGCTCCATCGAGAGCTTCCCTCATGCTGATTGGTTTACTGTCTTGAGCTCTCATCTGCTCTCTAGAGCACCCTAGAGCTTCTTCTCATTGGCCCTAAATGATTGGTTCGGGTGCGTCCTGCGCCACCCACTGGGTTGTCCCACCTGCAGCTGTCCTGTTGGCTTAATTCGTGACAATTTATCCTGCTCCTAATGACGATTTGGTGTCGCAAGCGGAAGAATAATGAGGCGGGTTACGGTGTTACTAGCGCAGATTCCATAGAGGATAGCAGTTAGAAGTACTCGTGTGGTGCTTTTTAGATTTGCTAGCTGCGACGATATTCACGTGCGGTTCGGGTTCCCCAGTAACCTGGTTGCGCTCTTTTTTCTTGGATGTTCTGCTGGGACCTCGTAGATCGTGGGGTTTGTCAGATCTTTGAACAAAACTAGGTACTTGGGATGCTTTTCCATATTTTCTTCGCATTACTCCTCGCCGTTTCTATAGAGAGCGAAGCCGGAGCTAAGCTTCGGAGCTCGGACACCCTTCGGATCTGATAAGCATAAGGATCGAACCCCTGTTGCCCATCCCTTTTAGGCAGGACCCCATCTTATAAAGCTTTCCGGTTCGCTGCCTAGAAACTCTTCATCTGATAAGCACCACTCGTCTTCATTATTCCCCTCCCAAATGGCTCCAACACGCCTTAACAAAAGATACTATTGCAATATCTCCTCTACCTCCCAACGTAGACATCGAGCTCGGCCCCAACAAAGTCCCTATTAAAACCTCGGACCCCTATCTTATCGTCTTTAACTCCCCGTTCGATGCGGATAACCCTAAAGACTAGCCCTTGGGCCGTAAATAGGCCGTTATTGACGTGCTCTCCGCAACCGGCTTGTCACGAACCAACCGCATAAAGCGGCCAAGGGGCTGCAGTCGGAGCGCGGGGCACACCGACAGCCAATCATTTAACAACCAATCAGAGGAGGATCACGCTTAGCATAAGAAAGGCTTGGTGATCCAGCTATAAAGCTCACAGAGGATCACTGGTGATCTAGGGTGATCCAGTGTAAGGGATCCCCAGAGACGGGCAGTGATCCATGGGAAACCTATAGTATATAGGATAGCTAGTCATTCGTTCTAGTGGACTTAGAAAGTTCACCAGTGAGCAATACAAGCAATAGAGTAGCTACTACGTTACTGTGCAGACATTGCGACGCTACGTCCAGAGCCTTTGAGAATTTGCCTACGCCTTCCGGGAGAGCTCTCCCCTGTCGTTGTTTGGCCAATGCCAGCCTGATCGCGGTGGACTTGGCTTGGGGCATTTGGAGGTTGGGTATCTGTCCTTGCCTCGTTGTCCTTTGCGCTGCCGCCTTGGCCTCTAAGCCCAAGGCAAAGTTGGCTTCCGCTGGGATCCATAAGAAGTCGACCGAGTTCCCTTTTTCTTGGTGCTGTCTAGCCAACTCATAGATTTATCGTATAGTGCCTTGGCCAGACTGCTATTGCAGTTGCCTAATTGCTACTAGCGCTGACTAGTTCCTGGTGACGATGGTGATATATCTATGGCGGGCGTTGGCCGGAATCCTCTCCAAGGCCATTGCGATGGCTGCTAGTTCTACTGTATATAGGTTCTGCTCTTCCCTCGTGCCAAGAGTTATAGCAAATCTTGTCACGGTCTCGCTAGTCCTATTAAAGAGAGTATCTTGTGCGGTACCACTAATACTGACAATGCCTTTCTTTACGGATGAGCTGGTTACAATCACGATGCCTATGGCTCTGTTGGCTATCTTGGTCGCCTTCTCTCGGTCAGCTTTAATCATCGGCTATAGGCGAGGTGCCCAAGGAGCGATAGTATATTTCTGGATTGTTTCTATCCGTTCGGTTTTTATTCCTTCTACTATATAGGCGATCTTTTAAAACGGGGAAACAAATCGTACTATTGTCCGGATTTTCTTCCAAGCTAGGGGATAAGTCCCAGGCAATATCTAAATATTGATCTATAGTCTGGCTGCCGCCTGAGCGTATTATTCTCATACGGGGAGAATGCTCGCTTCAGCCTTTGCTACGACCATCGCCACGGTCCGAAAGACTCCTGTGATTGCCAGGGCCCTGATCTTCTACGCCCTATTCAGCCAGCTCAGTGCCTTTTCGCCGCAGGCATATATCCAGACACTGGCAGCGGAGTCTATGACAGGGGCTACTATTGCGATAAACAGTTGTCTCGCTATCTATGGGGAAAGCATCTTTAGTCTCTTCAGGGCTAGAGCGGCTATAAGATCCTTAGCTGCCGTCCTAGTAATATGTTGCTTATAGCGGAGTTCGTAGTCTATAATAACCCCTAGGATCTTTGTACTTCCCTATGGTTTGACCGTATCCCCTTTGACTATAAACGGCCTTTCTAAAGATCACTCTTTGTTCCTTATAAAGTATACAATGGCTATCTTTTCGCCCTCAAACTAGGTGCTGCTTTGTCTTCCCTAATCTAGGGCTCTATCTATAATAGCTTAGATGCTTACGCGGTTTGCCTCTGCTAATGGGCCTATAACCTAGGCTATATAGTCGTTAATAAAGGCGACTAAGCCTCCGTTTATGTTGATTTTATACTATACTAGATCTATATTGAAGAAGAGGAACAGTATCGGGGACAGCGGCGATCCTTGTGGCAAGCCCGCTTAGGGTAGCTCTTGCTGTTCTGACGTGAACCCGTTTAATATAATGGTTGCTATACGCTTAGAGCAGAAGGCATCGATCCATCTAACTAGGAATTCTAGTATGCCTCTTGCCCTAAGCCTCTAGAGCAATCTATTCTTAAAGACCCCGTTATATATACCTTTTATATCAAAGCTGATCAGGCTAAGTACTTTCCTGGCTCTCCATGCTTTATAGATTTGTTCTTGGAGTAGCAGGAGAGCCTGTTTAGTAGAGCGTCTTTTCTTGGCTCCGAAGTAGTTTGTAGATAGAAAGCCAAAGGTCTCTATAATATAGGACAGACGTTCTGCAATGACTGCTTCCAGTATCTTGCCAAGCATAGAGAGCAGTGAGATCAGTCTCCAGGCTTTGGCCAGTGTGTAATCGCTCTTTCCAGGCTTCTTCAATGGGATGATCTTGGCATTTCTCCACTGGTTGGAGATATTACCGTCTCGAAGCGACGTACAAATAAATAGAGCACCCTGTCTTTGACCACTAGCTAGAGCTGTCTCCATACCATTGCCGGTAGCCTATCTTCCCCAGGTGCCTTCTATGGTTTGGCGGATATAACCTTTTGTTCTACCTCTTCCATTGTCAAGTCTGGCATATATACCGGTGCCCATTAGGAGCGTTGGCCCTTATCTTCAATCCTCGCAGGCAGCGGTAGGAAAAAGGTGGCTAATAGCGCTTGTGCTTGCTCTGCTTTGCTCTCTATAACGGAACCGTCGGGTTGGACAAGCGGGGGTATTTTATCGCTTATTATACTGCTGCTAGATTGCAAGTACTTTGTTGCTTGCTAGATGTTAGCGTCTTTGGCTGGGAAGTCGTTCCAGTGCGAACTTTTCTGTCTGCAGATAGCGTTATAGTACTCCTTAGCTACCATCTTGCCTCGCTGTTCGAGCTCTGGTGCCGTTTGCCTAATCCTACGTCACGATCTCGCCTAGTTTCTCTAAAATATATAGGTCTGGCGAAGCCGTGTCAGGTCTATTGTCTACTACCACTTGGAGTATAGTAAGGGCTTGGCTTTAGGTGTCAGGCTATAGACCGCCTCGGTTACTACTGCCATAAGCCTATCCGTCTATTGCTAGACGCTGCTGTCCTAGGAGATACGTTCGAGGTTTATTGCCACTCTGGTTCTAATTTCCGCCCAGGGCATATTCTTAAAAAGGAACCTTATTTCGCTAGGACGGTCTTCCACCGTAATATCGAAAGCTATCTCGATCGCTCTATAGTCTAAGCCATAGTCGCAGAGGTGGATTATATATCTGAGCAGCTAGTCCGCTAGTTCTACGGATGCTAGTACTAAGTCGATTATACTTTTTGCGTCCCCTAACTGCCATATCTTTGTACCTCTTAGGAGGAGGTTGCGAAGGGAGTATTTATCCATGAGGTTGACAATATAGTCTCCTTTACCTTATCTTGTTAGTAAGACGTCGTCTCTACCCTAGAGTTGGTCGTAGCGGTTAAAGTCACCCGCCAGAACGATATCTATTCTAGTTCCCGTTCCGTTTTTAAACCTCCTAATTAGCCGGTCGAGCTCTCTTATTGCGGCTTCCAGTGTTTCGTCGCTGCCACCCTCAATATATACTGATACCACTAGCACTGCTTGGTCTAGGAGTCGAATCTATACTGCGGTAAGGTCTGCTAATGGCACTGGGATCTGTTCGACCTTTAAATCGCTTTATACCTATAATATGCTCTGAATTGGCCAAACTATCTCCTGCTTCGTTATTAGTATAAACTTCGTCCAGTTGTAATATCCCTTTGGGACCGTCTGTCATGAACCAACCATATAGCAAGACCCAGTGGGGCGCAACGGAAGCAGACACAGCTAATCAGCAGGGGTGAAAGCTGTAAGCGGCCATATAAGAACAACCCAGGTAGCTCAGAGTCGCCAGCGAGCGGAAGCGATCATGATAGACTTGGGTAGCCGTCTACCTAAGGTGATCGAGGGTAGACCCCGATAGCTGGCGAGCGGCGGCGAGCCAGTAGAATCGGCTAAGTATATAGTTATTTGTTCTGGAGGGCTCTGAGAGTCCTCCAGTGAGCAATATAAGTAATAGCCTCTATCTATTATATAGATATTGCGGCAAGCATTGTTATGAACCTTTTGGCTTTACCGAGACCTATAGTCCGATTAGTAGTACCTTCGACCGGCGAACCCTTTCAGAGGTAGGACTGCCTATGGTTTCGTTATACGTTGCTCACTCCCTTTGACTCTATCACGGTTTAGATCGAAGGTACCGCCGACCATCATAGCGCCTTAGACACCTAGCACCCTAGGCTCCTAGGGCCAGGCCGCAACCATGCAGCAGATATAGCAGGCTCTCAAAGCTCTTAACGCCAAAATCACCTAGCTCGAGGCCAAGAATGGCTATATATAATAGCTCGTCAACAAGGCCTATAATGGCAAGCCTAAGGACAAGGCCAAACTCGAAGTACCCCCTAAGTATAGAGACGATAAGGAAGGACTTACTAGGTTCCTTATATCTATAAGGGCCTATCTTAAGTACTACCTAGATAAGTTCACAGACGAGTCTACCAAAGTCATGTTTATCTCCTTGCAACTCAAGAGGAGGGTACTTCGATGGTTTAAATCTACTTTTAAAGATTAGCTAACTAATAATATAGACGCTTAGGACGACTTTACCATTGAAATCTTTAAGTTATACGACAAGTTTGAATAGGAAATCTAGAAGATGTTTAGAGATTATAATAAGAAGCTTTATTATAGGAGTAATTTATACGCCTAAGGTAGATAAAGTCGGCAGCTACCTATATTATATAGTTCCGCTAGGACTTACTTTAGTACGAGATCAATAATAAAGGTCTTATATAATTATTCTATGAGGGCTTGAAGGAAGAAGTCAAGGATAAACTATACTAGAAAGACTGATCCAATACGCGTAATAAATATATCGCTAGAGCCATCTAACGTACATGATAAGCGAGCGACGCAGATAAGCGAGCGACGCACTTTCTACCACCCTACAGCAACTATCCTCAATTATAATACAACAACGCTAGCAACCAACTACAATTACATCAGAAATAGATGAATCAGATGATTCTACAGCCTCCTGGCAAGTGCGAGCATTATGGCCAGGCCTGCTGCATACCCTATAGCATCGAACCTTCGTACGAGCCCCCCCTGAACCGCTACCATCCGGCTGCGTTTCCTGCACTACCTCCCCACCTACGGCGGTCTGATCTAGTAGATCCTTTGCATCTTGCACAGTAAGTGAACCTCCAAGCTGCACACGTGTTTTCTTGGCACGCCGGCGCTTGCTTAGTGCCTTATTGGCCTTGCGAAGCGAAGAGACCTCTGACCGAAGGAGGGCCACCTGGTGCATTACAGCCATCGTACCCTTGGCAAGCTGGTCTATAGCATCCAACATTGAAGTTGGGGAGCTATTTTGATGGTTCGCAATGCGAGTCTTGATAAGTGTTGACTGTGCGTCGGCTTCTCGTGGGTTATGTGGTGTCTGGAAGACCCAGGGTTGCGCAGTGCTGGGCCGTGAGGTTGGGGGTGTTGGCGTACGAAGCTTTATATCTAGCTTAGAAAGCACCCGCTCTGGGTCGTATGGCATAAGGCCAGTCCTTGCAAAGCCACCCTATGCGTTCTTCTCTGTCATAGAAGCAAAGAAGGCTTCTCGGAAGGCATAGAGGAACTCAAGCTTGCTGATATAGTTGATATGCATACGCATTAAGCCCTCGATCTAGCGACCGTATGCCTGCTTGAGTGGCCTAAAGCAGCCAACATCGAGAGGCTGGAGCCTATAGGAAGAGTATAGAGGCATGCAGAGTATGACAATATTGTTCTCCTTGCAATAGAGCTCGAATTCGGTTGAGTGGTGGCTCTCGTGGCCATCGAGGATCAACAACCGGTATATGCCCTTTGTTCGAGGTGCCGTATGGTAATCGAAGTGCTTGATCCAATCCAGACCTACTGCATTGGTAGTCCAGCCATTATCGGTGGTTGCAATACGCCAGGTAAGTGGTAGGTTGCACTCCTGGTACTAGTTACTCTAGTGGTACTATGCGGCTAGGATAATAAACGGAGGGATAACCCAGCCAAGGGTATTGACTCCCTAGATTATAGTCGCCTACTCCCGATTACTAGGCTGAGCTAGTTTTGCCTTGCCATACCCATCCGAGGTCGTAACTACTATACCTATAAAGATAACACCCATTATAAACCCAGTCTTATCAAAGTTATAGACATTGTCATTGATAATCCTATATTTAGCCCTAGTATTCTATACAAGTGCAAACCACTCGCTAATGACCTGTAGATCCTTGTATTTAGCCCTCTAGTAGTCGTACTTGCATATATACCGCATACGGAGCTCTAGCTAGCGTTTGATAAAGTTATAAGCCTAGCGTTTGCCGACAGGGGGCGCATCGCGTTCGCATAGTAGGTGGTTGGCCATATCTTCTATACCACTTAATCTAGGTGGGAATACGCGTGTAGATAGCTCAGTTATATACTGAACTATTGACTTCTCTTCTAAATCCGTAAGCTTACGCGACTTGGCTAGAACATCGCGTCTTGTAGCACGTCCCTTGCGCCGGTGGCGAATTGTTGCTTCTGGAACGTTGTATAGCTTGGCTACCGCCCGGATACTGAGATTCTCGCTCTGTTTGATAGCTTCGAGGGCTAAAAGAAGCCTGGCTTCTTTTGAGGGGCTACGCATAGCTTGTTGCGGTGGTATTTGGTGGAAAAGTTTAGAGGAGGCGCGTCGCACTGAAAGTGCGTCGCTCGCTTATCTGCGTCGCTCGCTTATCATGTACGTTATATCGA